GTTTGGGGTTTAGGGTTTTGGGCCTGAGGGTTGAGCGTTTAGGGTCGCGGGTTTACAGTTCAGGGTTTGGAGATTACGATCATTTCAGGTTCTCGAAGATCTGCGGCCTTTGTCTCTTATGGCATTCTGGCTTCCTGATCGTTGAGATGACACGGGTCTGGACTTCTCTGTTCCTAGGAACAGTTTTTAAATCATTGTAATTGTAATTTCACACCGGGGGGTTTTGCAAGTGTCTTTTGCTAAAGATTCTATTGGCATTTGCGTTGAAGTGGGTTTAGGGTGAGTTTGCTTTCTGGAAAGGCTGCTTAGCGGGATCGCGAAGACACCACCCTTTCTTCAGAGCCTCAAGCCGGAAATATCCGGAACTGCAAACCACAAACTCTCGAATCCTCAATCCCAAAGTCCTGTTCCTGAACCCACAACCTGAAGCTTCCATACTTCGTCCTGGCAGGTGTGGACGAATGATGCCGTAGGTGGCAGAATCTCGAACCCGAAGCCCCTGAACACTCGGACCCTGAGCTCTTCTTGCACCCTTACTTCAAGGATCCGGGGACTGTGGTTACAAGTACTTTTACTAGGGTTGCGCGGCTCTGCTTGGGCATCTGTCAGTCTATCATCCCATGGCACATACAACCAGTGCCACACGTGTGTTTGTTTGGGTCGGGGAGCTGACTGCACAGCCAGTGAGCCTTAGTACTTGAGAATAGGGTTTTGTTTTGGGGCGCATTATACTATAATTATAAGAACCGGAACACCCACAATAGTATTGGTTGCAGCTTGTGACCTATGCAGGGATCTTATCAAGCGAAGATAGGTTAGAAGCACATACAAGTGTACCCTACTCATACTCGCAGTGATCCTTTACCCCAAACTCCAGAACGCCCCTAGAAAACGCTTAGCAACAAGCTTTAAGCCTCTAAACCCGTAACCCTGAGCCCTAAACCCTCCTTAAACCCTAAACCCTAAGCCCTCTAAGTGAACCTGGTCTGATCTTCAGATGGGGTGACCTGAGCTAAACCCTGCACCCTGAACCTGAAGCCTGAAACCCCCTAAACCCCTAAACCCCTAAACCCCTAAACCCCACAACCCCTAAACCTTAATCCCTAAGCACTTAAAGCGAACCTGGTCTGATCCTCAGATGGGGTGACGTGAACTACGTCGACGAGCTGAGGAGGAGGTTCAAGAAGACCATCGAGCAGGCGGTGAAAATCGCCGGAGGACGGCGGACTAGGGCTTATGTAGTATATGGGTGGTTGTCAGTATTAGGGTCGCTTTTTGGGTCCTTATTATAGTACGGCACCACATATTTAAGGTACCCAAAAAAGGGGCCATAATTTTGACAACCACACAATATGTCAACTTTAAAAACAAGATGTTGTGTTTCAGTATATATATATATATATATATGTATGTATGTATGTATACGCTTTGAAGTTTAGGGTTCAAGGAGTTTAGGCTTGCAAGTTTAGGGTTTCGGGGTTTACGGGTTAGGGGTTTGGGGTTTCAAGTTTCGGGTTTGGGGGTGGGCTTAGGGGGTTTAGGGTTTAATTTTTCAAGCTGCAGTTTTGGGATTGGAGTATGTTCGGTCCTGGCTCTTCGCGGTTTGCCCGTCCTATGCTTCGAAACGGCCTTCAGGCGATTTGAGGTCTATTGGATTCTGGCTCTGCAGCCACAAACAATTCCCTTAGTGGTTCCTGTAAAGGGTACCATAAGGGTTCTATAACCGTACTATACGGTTTTGGGTATAAGGGTCCATGTGCCCTCATGAGGCCGTGAGGCGGTCGAGGACGTCTTCCAGGGGCCTGACTAGCTAAGCTTGATGAGAAAAACGTGGATAATGCCTGTTGTTCCCGACTGAAGCCCCAAACCCTAAGCCCTAAACCGCCTGTGCAGATGAGGTTGTCACAAGATTTGACTCAAGGCGGTGCGTTCGACCCGCCGACTTCTAGCCCAAGTCATGCATTGTGGGATTCTGTTAGGGTTTAGGTTTTAGGGTTGCGTTGTGGGCTTCTGTCATTATGATGGCCATTACTGTTATTAGAAAGTGCCTTGTAACAGCGAAGCCAACTGCAGTAGTATCGGGACGGTACAGTAGCAGCACTACAGGTTTTGATCATAACGATATTGCTCTAGCAATAGTAAAGCCCAAAATCAAAACCCCAAACCCTAAACCCTCCAACCCCACCCGCAAACCCTAAGCCCTAAACCCTAAACCCATAATCTCTAGACCTTATAGAACCATAGAACCCTTATGGATCCCTTGAAAGGAACCCCCTAAACCCCTCAACCCCCCAAGCCCTACGCCCTAAACCTTAAACCCTTTTCTGGCAGGAAAGCCGGTAGTCATGGTGGGGCATTCCTTAGGAGCCCAGGCCAGCGGCCGTCGTAGCTATGTTTTAGGTTTGGTTGAGGTTTTGTTTGAAGGTTTTATGGGTTTTCATGGGCTGTGGGTTTTCGGTTTTTGGGGGTTGTGGGCTTCGGGGTGTCAGGGCTCTCAAATGTTTCGTCACGGCTTGGAAAAGGCTTGGAGTTTAGGGGAATCAAGCTACTTTGGGCCTTGGGGGTCTGTACATTGGGCGGGATTTGGAGTGCCGGAATGATTGAAAGTTGACAGCTTGTCTTTGCTCGCGTTGTTGTCGGCACCGGTTTTTAGAGTTGATATGATTGTCTGAAGCAGCCGCAAGGTATGGAACGCTAGCACTACTTTATACTGCTAGTTGATATTCCTATTACGGCAAGCTTTAGTATTGTTGTCATTATCGTTGTCGTCAGAGCTTTTTCTGAGTACTCTTCCGGAAAGGACGATTGTTGTTTATAAATTGTAATTGTCTCATTGTTACTCGTGTTGGTCAGCTGCAGCACATACAGCGGGCCGCCATCGGAGCAAAGTAGCTCGGAAGGAACAGCGCACATTCGCAGTACTTCAACTAGCGCTGCCCTGCTTGCCACCGCTACTTGTCGTGGAAGTGTCTCTGCTCACCCTACTGCTGCCGCTTCTGGTCATGGCAATCATCGTCTTCCTTTTGGGTGGTTGTCAAAATTAGGGTCACTTTTTGGGTCCCTATTATTATAATACGGCACCTATTATTTAGGGTACCCACACAGGGACCCTAATTTTGACAACCACCCAACTTCATATCAAACCCAAGGCTGAACCGGTACTCAGTACTGTCCGCACTGTCTTTACAGCTTTTCATCTGTGCTCCTGGGTCGTTTGGGGTCCGTTAGGGTTTAGGGTTCAGGGCTCTAGAGCTGTGCCCTTCAGGGCTTTAGAGCTGTGCCCCAACGTAGATGAAGACGATGTTCCGGCTTGGCTCAGCATCTTGCCCGCTGCCGCGACATGCGAGATAAGGAAACCAGCTTGAGGGAAGCATCCGGGTTAGTGGTTAAGGTCGTGGAGGAGGATTCGTCGACAGTGTGTAAGACTGTCAGATGTTGACACGAAGCCCAAAACCCACGACGCTCTAAACACCCAGACTAGACTCCTCCTCGGAGCTTGAAAGCCTAACTAGAACTTTAGTCCAGGGAAAAATCCATGCCACCACAAGCCAATACGTACCTTAACACACGTTGTTGGCATCTCTCTTTCAGCATCTTTCAACCTTGTCCTGTTTGTGGAACTGCAACCAGAACAGCCGCAACAGCAGCAAACAACAGCAACAACCCCAACAGCAACACTAGCAACAACAGCAACAACAACTACTCCTGCTGCAGCTGCTGCTGCCACTGCCACTACTGCTCCTAGCAACATCAGCAACCCACTTTCACGGATGGGTGCGGCCCGCCTCTTACCGCTGCTGCTCCTGGGAGCAGCTGCCGTGGATCACTCCAAGTTCCGTATCAGGGCCAAACAGAACGTATGAGGGCTTAGGGTTTAGGGCCTAAGACGGTTAGAGGATTTCTTTCAGGCTTCCTGAAAGAGTGTCTATGAGGGATCTTCAAGGTGAACGGATTTAGGGTTTGGGAGCCCATTCACTGTAAGGGGTTGGAGGGTTCAGGGTTTCATTCGCTGATCGGGTTAGGTCTGAAAGGGGCTGTAACAGTAGGTCGACGAGGGCTTCGGGTTCCCAGCTGCTTGAAGGCACTTGAGTAGGCACAAGTCTGGTTGTACAGACCTTCTGACACCTTAAGGGCATTCACAACACCCACAATACCACAATGAAGGCTTCTCAAAGTCTTCATATCCCCCAAACCCCAAACCTCGAAACCGTTCTCGAGCTCAACCCGAAATCAACAGCCTTCAGAATGCTAAGGTACGTGCTCACAGGGCTCTTTCTGCCAGCGCTACCGAGCCTACATAAAGGAGGTCCAGGGCACTTCTGCTCAACTCCACTTCGTGGAGCCCGGCTCCCTGTCCCCGGGCTCTGATGAGGAAGGTTTTCCGGCTTTTAAGTGGGAAAGACTCAAGGGGATATTATGTGAATCAAGATAGATGGGCCGATAGATAGATTTAGATAGGGTGCACTGTTTTCTTTCCTTATTCTGGTAGCTCGAAGTTACGGTTTGTTCCTTTCCGTATTCTGGCAACTCATCAATATATTGTAATATATTCTGGCATGTTTAGTTCACTATCATGCTCTAGTACATTATAGTATCTTATACTGCATTCTAGAATTATAGTGTATGATATAAATATAAATGTATAAATATAAATATACATATAAATAAGTAAATAAATATGTAAATAAACAAATATATATATGTATATATATATATATATATATGTATATATATATGTATATATATATATATATATATATATATTTATATCGTATAATAAAGACCCGACCAGGTCCCAGAGGAGCGGGCACGAGGTCCAGTTCCAGATCTCCCAGCGCCAGGGCGCGGGGATTGTGGAGCCGCTGGAGCTTTCCGTGGGCTTCTTCCGGGCCGCCGCGGGGAGCGGGAGCGGGGGAGCGTGTGGGGTGCTCCGGATTTCGATTTTGGCGCCGGGAGAGCCTGGAGAGAAGCGCTTTCGGGTTCGGGAGGGCGATGTGGCGATGGTGCCGGAGAGCGGCTTGGAGCCGGACCCTGTTACGGTGCAGTCGGAGGAGGCGATGGCCGTGATGATTGCCGGGGACTGCTCGGCAAGGCTCCGATATGATCCCCTGGAGCTGGACTTGCTGCGCTCGGGTCGGGTATTGCAGACTCTCAATGCCCGACACTTTCTAAACTTCGAGCAGCAGCGGAGCCGCGAGACCGGTACGACCGGTGCCCGACCCTTCCTCGATGCCACGGACATCGCTGGTGGGTCGCTGTGGGAGGAGACCTTCGATGCCTACTTGGCTGCAGTTTGTTGGAGACCACTCTGAGTACTATAAAGGCTTAAAGAATTCAGTACTATTTTCGGGTTCCTTATTATAACTATAGCATAATATCCCCGCAAAACCCTATTCTAGTTGTTAAGGCCCCTCCATTAGCCGAAGCAGCAAACGGCGCCTGCAGTACCCCGAAGTGCAGTTTGTATCACCACGGGTGTCCGGCAACATGGGAAACCTAGCCATCAGCAGATCGCAGTGAATCCTAGGTTCTGGATCAGGATCGGAGGGAAGAAGCTCAAACGTGGTGGTCAACCCCGAAGCCCTAACATAGGGACCTTAATAATAATACTAATAGTAATACTAGTACTACTAAAAAATAATAAGAGGGTTTTGGGGCCATTATCATATAATTACAATAAGGAACCCCCTAAATAGCATAGGTAATTATGTAGGCCCCTATAGTAAATCCGAAAAACGTCTCGGCCCGTGGGATTGCGTTTGACAAGGGCCATCTGGACTCCAAGCCGCGGGGCCCCACGGCCGTTGGCATTGACATCAGCTTTCACCAGGACTGGGCTTTAAGTCATCGGAGGCCAAAAGGGGTTTTAGCCTTGTGGGTCTAGTAGGGATTAGGGGTCCCATAATAGGACTCATATTAAGGAATCCCTACCCCAAGAATCTTAAAGCCCCGTTTTGGCCTCCCATCATTAAGGTTTGGGATCGTGGGGGTTTCAAGGCGCAAAGTGGGGTCTGAGGATTTCGACTGAAGTTTATTTCAGATGAAGTTCTAGTTGATGGACAAATCCTGCATGACCCATTATGAGGAATATACCATAGTTCCCATAGTATAGAGTCCTTAGGGTCATGCAGGATTTTGTCCATCAGCAGTGGCTCCGAACAGGCATTTTTTCACAACCTGCAGAACCAGGAAGCCTGACAAAACGGCTTCGCAACCCCAAGCCCTACCCGGACCCGAACTCCCTGCACCTTGAAGCCCCTTGTCTGAACGAACTGACCTCACGCGCTCAAGCCCCTACCTTTCAAAGAAGCACCTACTTGGAGGATCATGGGACTTAGTAAGTCAGGTCATAAGTACCCTAAGTGGCCCTTAAAAATAAGTATAGTTACCTTATTTGTATCCCCAGTTACTAAGTCCCATGATCCTTGAAGTACATCTCGAAGGCCCCAAACCTTCCCGATAAAAACCGAACCTTCGCAGCCTGAGGCCTGAAACATCGGGTCGATAGTCTGGCAGGATTCCTTAGGGAGGGGTCGAGAGTTGAGACAGGTGCGGAAACGCCTAAATCCTAAACGCTGCCTTCAAAGAACGCCTCCCTTCCAAAAAGCAACTTAAACACTAAAAACCCACCCCTCCAAAAAACAAAACAAAACCCTAAACCCTCGATCCTAGAAACCGCCAAACCCTAAACCCTAAACCCTAAACCCATAAACCCTAAACCCATAACCCATAAACCCTAAACCCTAAACCCATAAACCCTAAACCCATAAACCCCGAACCCTCGATCCGATAGCCGAGCCAGGCCTCGCATGCCGTGGGCCTGGCAGAGCATGCGACGCAGCTCCACCTCGCCGAGCCCCGCTTCGAGGAGCCTGCGAGTTTCGCCGGTTTAAAGGGAACTCAAGAAAGTTGGAATATGGAATAATGGCAGGATCCCTTACAATTAATTTACCTTAAAGGGGTTATGATAATGATATTCCAACTTTCCGGCTTCTACTGTAGGGCCCAAGAACCCTTTGGGAACCCTGAAGGTTTAGGGTCAGGGTTTTGGGGTTTCTTGGGAACTTTGAAGGTTTAGGTTTCGGGTTTCGGGGTTTCGGGGTTTAGGGTTCATGGCTTCGGATTTTGGGGTTTGGGGTTTCGGTTCGAGGTTGGGGGTTTGGGAGTATAGGGTTTTAGGGGTAAGGGTTTGGGCTGTAGGGTTTTGGGTTCGGGGTTTTGTGCTTTTGGGCCAACTCCCGGAGGTTTCTAAAACTAGTTTTTCCCTTGCTGTTCTGATTTTCGTTCTTATGTGAAAAGGCTTGCTTCCTGCATTCTTCCCAAACCAAAGATCGTGGTAGAGACTTGTGCAGCGTAGGTTCTGCGTGTATTTTCGGATTTCGTGGCCTTTCTTGGCGCTGATCCCAGACACTGTCTTTACGGATTTGAGATTTTTGGGTCGTTAGACCTTCTATGCCCTCCTTTTACTTAGGATTGCCATGCCAGGGGAGTTTTGGAGAGCCGTCCCTAATACGCCAAAAGCGCCAAGAACAATCGGAAACTACAGCCCGAGATCATCAACTTTGCACAGCCCTGAGCCACAGCTCCAACCCCTAGACTTTTAATATTATGTGAAAATCATACAAGATATAATGTAATATTATAAAACAATGTCATATGTGATTATCATGTGTGTGGTTGTCAAAATTATGGTCCCCTTTTGGGTCCTTCAACTAAAACGGCACCTCAAACTTAGGGTACCCAAAAAGGACCATCATTTTGACAACTACCCATGTAGATCCTCAACCCTAAACCCATAAACCCTGAACCCATAACCCATAAACCCTAAACCCTGAACCCATAACCCATAAACCCATAAACCCTAAACCCTGAACCCATAACCCATAACCCATAAACCCTAAACCCTAAACCCTAAACCCATAAACCCTAAACCCTAAACCCTAAACCCATAAACCCTAAACCCATAAACCCTAAACCCCTAAACCCATAAACCCATAACCCTAAACCCATAACCCATAAACCCATAACCCATAAACCCATAAACCCTAAACCCATAACCCATAAACCCATAACCCATAAACCGAAGCTCCAAAGCCCCCAGCCGTGAAACAGAAGCCGTAGAGGATCCTACACCTCCCCATGGTTTCGGGCTTCGGTGCGTAGGGATTTCGGCTTTGGGGCTCAGGGTTTAGGGTTTAGGGTTTAGGGGTGTAGGGTTTAAAGTTTAGGGGTGTAGGGTTTAAAGTTTAGGGGTGTAGGGTTTAAAGTTTAGGGGTGTAGGGTTTAAAGTTTAGGGGTGTAGGGTTTAAAGTTTAGGGGTGAAGGGTTTCGGGGTTTAGGCCTGCCCCAAACCCTAAACCCTAAACCGAAGTTTAAGGGCCTAGAGACTCCAATATCCCTTAATTAAGGAATACACCTTAAACAATATTCAGGATCCGACTATAATTTAAGGGAATATCCGCTAAAGGGGAAACATACCTTAAATCTTATTCAGGATCCTACTATAATTTAAGGTATATTCCCTAATTAAGGGATATTGGAGTCTCTGGGTGGGGTTCCGTGGGGCTCAGGAGCCTTATCGCTTGTTCAACCTGGACGTCTTCGAGTACGAGGCTTGGCCGGGGAGAGCTTGAGTCTCCCCCAGAGACTCCAATTTCCTTAATTAGTGAATATACCTTACATTATAGTAGGATCAGGACTCCAATATCCCTTAATTAGTGAATATACGTTAAATGATAGTAGGATCCTGAATATGATTTAAGGTATATTCACTAATTCAGGGATATTGGAGCCTCCCGTGGTTTGGAGGCGCTCTTGCTTCAGATCCTCAGGGTTTAGGGTTTAGTGGTTGAGGGCTTAGAGTTTAGGGTTTTAAGGTTTAGGGGTTTAGGGCGTGTAGGTTTAGGGTTTAGGGGGGTGTGTGGGTTTAGGGTTTAGGGTTCGGGGTAAGCACCCTAAACCCTAAACGCTACACCGTTCCTCCCATGTCAGCGAGATGCCTCTGAAGCCTTCAAAGAGCTCCCTAGACCCTAAACCCTCAAAGTCTTCCGGGCCTTTTCCGGGCGGAAACTTACGCTTTGCAACTACACACGAGCATTGAACTACAAGGCGGATCGAGACCGTAAGTTGGTGTTTGGAAGGGTCGTTTGCATGGGAGTTTCCCAACAGTAGGGGTACCTCATTTTGTTGTCGTGATAATACGGATCCTACTATTCAGGGTGCTATATTAGGGTACCCCTATTTTCGGAAACCCCCACATATAATATGAAGGTTTGGGGGCTAGAAGCAGATAGTGCTACCCAGTATAAACCCTTGAGCTATGCAGCGATTCATCCAAAGTCCCGAAGTTTTGGTCATAAAGTGGGAGTTGCCGAAAATTAGGGTGCCGTATTTTGGGGTCCGTACAACAAGGACCCTACTATTTAGGGTACTTTTTTAGGGTCCCCTAGTTTAGGAAACTCCCAAGTGGAGGCTTAGGGTATGGGCTTTATGATCTAGGATCTAGGCTTCAGGGTTTCTGGAGGTGGATGTGCCCATGGCGCTCTACGGCAACATCCCCATGATCACGGCCGTACACAAAGGGCTGGATGGAGGCCTCGGAAATCGGTTTGATGTTTGGGCTTCTTGGTGTTTAGACTTCATGAATAATGTTTTGCATTGCAGGTTTCAGTGTTTTTGGTCTACGTTTTTCGCCTTTTCGGTTTCAAGTTTGAGACTAAAGACGCTCAGTTGATTTTGTGTTTCGAGTTACCGAGTCTTGGTTTTGAGGGCAGGGCTTCAGGCTTTAATCTTAGAGGCCTAATATTGGAGTCGGGGTAATGAGCAGGAGGTATTGTGCTCCGTATATATGTGCTTTTTCATGTTTCAAGAGCATATTCTAATCATTATGTTGACTTGTCATCCTCTAGACCGTAAGCCCGAAGTCCAGCTTAGGGAATATACCTGAAATTTTAGTAGGATCCTGACTATGATTTAAAGCATATTCCCCAACTGAGGAGCATCCCCGAACTCTAAGCCTAAAGCCCTGAACCGTACACCCCATAGTCTGCAGCTTCGGCCCTGAGCGCCTAAAACTCTTTTCATAAAGACCCTTAGGGGGGCTGGGGCGAGGAGGGGGGGGGTAGGGGGCCTTAGTACCTCTAGTAAGGACTTAGTAAGGCCTATTACAGGAAGTATAGTCCCTTACCATCCCCATAATCTTTCCGCGCGCGCCCCGCCGCAGGCGGCGCCAGCGCCTCGGGAATCTTGCTGGTGAACCCGTCAGAGGGCTTTGTGAAGGTGGGGATTTCGGGCACAAGGGGCAAGATATCCGGATACTTGCTCGTACAAGGGCGGATGCTAAAGGTTGAGAGGTAATTAATGTAGGAAGCTGATTAAGAAACCTTGGGCCTTTTTATTCGGGACCCTTGTATGAATCCTAGTATTTTGGGGTTATAGCCCCAGGGTTTCTGAATCAGGTTTTCTTGGGGGCATTGGCAGGTCATGGTCATTCTCGCCTGAACCCCTTAGCCCAAATCCCCAAACCCTTACTTTAGGAAAGCCAGGTCGGAACACTTAGTAGGAGTATCCCCAGTCCTCGAGAAAGTTATACAATAATATAATACTATACTCAGCAAACCCCATTGCCGGCACTAAGACCTATGTTGCACTAAGCCTCAGAGAAACCCCACAAAGACACTTGCGAAACCCTGTTCTAACTGTTAAGGCCTCTTAAGGCCCGACCTTCTATAGCCGTTGCTACTTCCTCTACAACCCTTATAGAACCCCCTTCTAGAACAACCCGTAGTTAAGGCCCCTGTGACCACCCTAGAAACTCTTGTAAACCCCTGAACCCTGAACCGAAAACCTTGTAGGACCTTGAAACGGAAGGAGCCCTATCACAGAACACTGTAGTGCCCCTTGAAGGGAACCTTGTTAAAGAAGCCTTAAAGGGAACTCTGAGTGTTTATAGAACCGGCAAAGTGGATCCCGATTACAGAAGCCTGCAGCCTATTCGAGAATCCAAACCCTTAATCAAGGAATATACCTCACATTATAGTAGGACCCCTACTATGATTTCACGTATATTCCCTAGTTAAGGGATGTTGGAGTCTCTAGGAACACCTTAAAGGAACCCCTAAAGCGTGGTAGGTCGATGCGGCCAACAACGGCAGCGACACCGAGACCTGGTGGACCTTCGAGGCTAAAAGTCTTCGCGGGGTTCCTTTAAAATGTTAGTATAGGGGCCTTAAGAATTACTTATATTCCCTTGGTGGTTCCTTATCAAAATTATAGTATGTATAATTCAGGGGCCTGGAAAAAGGCTTATATTTAATTCGAAGGCTCCTTATTAAGATTTCAGTATCATGGGCACCAAAACCCTATTCCAATTATTCAGACCCCGATATCAGAGTGTAGGGTTCAGGGTTCAAAGCAGGCCCTTCAAGGGGAAGTTTTATAAAGGGATTCCTTAAAGGAGGCCCCTAAGGGTTCCTGTAAGATTCTCTGAAGGGTTCCGTAGGGGTGGAAGCCTCGCTACTGCTGTCTATGGATATTTCCTAACGGCTTGCAGGACCCTCTAATTAGTCAGGCCCCCGGAAGGATCTAGAAAGTAGATCCCCTACTTTGGGGCCCTTTCTTACTAAGGGTACTTTATAGGAACCCAATTCAAGGGATCTACTTTTTGGATCCTCCCAGAAGTCTGGGTAGTCAGGCCCCCACATCAGTTGTGAAGGCCGGCGTCCTCGACTTCTTCGCCTTTTTGGGCCCGTCTCCGGCGGATGTCTTGCGGCAGCGCCTCGGCGTCGGGGGTGGAGGTTTTTTGGGGTGATAGTTAGGCAGGGAAGCCCCCAGATTCGAGGTTTTCGAGGTTCAGTTTAGGGCTGTTTTGAGAGATTTCAAGGTGCCCTCTCTCGTTCAGGTCTTCGCATACCTCTGCTTGGAGGGTCAGGGTCGCACATGTAAAACCTCGCTTAGTTCTGAAGTAGCCCCGAAGCGCGCTAAACCCTAAACCCCGAAGAGCCTCTAAGGCCACATGCGAAGGGGCTTCGGTTGTGTGTTGTGTCAATGGTTTAGGGCTTAGGGTTTAGGAGTTCAGGGGTTTAGGAGTTTAGGGTTTTAGGAGTTTAGGGGTTTAGAGTTTAGGGTTTAAGCTCAGCGCGGCTCGCTTTGGTGGCATCCCGGAGGTTCGTCGAAGCTCCGTACATAAGGGGCGGAGAGGTACCCAGAGACTCCAATACCCCTTAATTTAATTAGGGAATATTCCTTAAATCATATTAAGGGTCCCGCTGTAACTTAAGGTATATTCCTTAATTAAGAGATATTGGAGTCTCTGGGTAGTGTGGTCTGTCGGCTGCGTAGTCCAGCAATTCAGGCCCCTCCATAGTAGACCTTTGTCGTAACACTTATAGAATCCTCAGAGCGGCCCGTATCGAACCTATATTTTGCGGGAGTAGGCCTGGGACTCTAGGGACGGGCTAAGTCTGAAGCTGCAAGGCCGAAATCTGCAGAAGTCACATGAAAGAATTCAGAGCCAGGATGTTTAGGGCTTGGGGTTTACCCTACACACGAGAACAGGAAACTCCAAACCAACAAACCGGAATTCCGACCCTCACTTCCAAAACAGCGGTGAACCTCATGCTCCCTGATATCTTCTGTCTTGGACGGCTGTGGCTTTTACCAGTTCTCATCCTGCCTCTAAGCCATAAACTTTAAACCCTACACTTCAAACCCGAAACCCTCTGCAGAAAGGCCCATTGCACTTTAAAAAAACCTTAAACCCTAAACCCTAAACTCCAAACCCTAAACACGAAGCTCTGAACTGTAGCCCGAGGTACCACGCGGTCACGGGGTGGCCTCGCATGCCACCTCTGGCCGTCCTGGGCAAACACCAGTCCAGGTGGAATTACATCACTGTCGAGGACAGAGATGTTCAGGGTGTGGGGTTTTCGGCTTGATTACCATGGTTTAGGTCATGGTCCAGAGTTTGATGATTTCGGTTTAGGGCTTGGCTTGAGTGGGTTTAGGACCTAGCATCAGGATGCACGGGTTCCGCTGTTTCGGTCTTCGCCCCTGGCCCGGCTGTTTGCAAAGGATGTGCTGGAGGTGGCAGGGAAGTTCGATCAGCACCGGATACCCCTGGACTTCATCTGGCTGGATCTGGAGCACACGAATCAGAAGCGCTACTTTACCTGGGACCCGGACCACTTCCCCCGAGAAGGTGTGCGGCGGATGCTGGACGAACTAAACCGGACCCAGCGAAAGCTGGTGACCATCATCGATCCACATCTCTTCGCCGGTGATGCCGACTACGCCGTGGCGGCCCGCATGAGAGGGCAGGGCCTTCTGGTGAAAAGGCCCGCCAACTCAAGCTCGCCCGCTCAGGATTTCGAGGGGTTCTGTTGGCCAGGCCCTTCGAACTATCCGGATTTCTGTGATCCGAGAACGAGGCAAGAGTGGGCTAAGCTCTTCGACTTTTCCTCGTATCCCGGCTGGCCGGCAGAGATCTATACTTGGAACGACATGAACGAGCCAAGCGTCTTTGATGGCCCTGAGATTTCGCTTCCGAGGGACACCTTGCATAGGTGCCATGAAGATGACTTTAGCATTGAGCATCGCGAAGTGCACAACCTTTACGGCTTCTATGTGCACGAGGCCAGCACCCAAGGCCATCTGCAGCCAGGCTTGCTCAAGAGGGCTTCTTCTCGGTGTCGTTCCCAGTAGATGGACAAAATCCTGCATGGCCCTAAGGACTCTAAACTATGGGAATTATGGTATATTGCTTATAATAGGTAATGCAGGATTTTGTCCATCAGCAATATCTATAGCTACCGCCTGATCACCTCCCAGACCAAATCCTTGCAGACCTTCCTCTTTTCAAAGCCCAATGGCCCCATGAGCCTCGTAAGCCCAAACCTTGTTCCACCAAAAAAACCCAACCTAAACCCTAAGCCCTAAGCCCTAAACCCTAAGCCCTAAGCCCTAAACCCTAAGCCCTAAACCCTAAACCCTAAACCCTAAACCCTAAACCCTAAACCCCAAACAAAACCCCCCCGAAAAACCGCGGAGCACCAGAGCCTCGTAGCACCCGAGGCAGAGGGCTCCAAACCAGCGCCCCTTCGTCCTGACTCGGCCACTGGGGTGAGCAGGAAGGTTTAGGGTTTTGGGTTTAGGGTTTAGGGTTTAGGGTTTAGGGCTTAGGGTTTAGGGTTTAGGGGTTTAGGGTTCAGGGTGTAGGGTTTGAGGCTTGGGATTGTCAGGGTGTAGGGTTTACCCTCAACCCTAAACCCCAAGACTAAGCCTCCAAGTTTTAGAGTTTGGGGTTGGAGGTCATCACAGCAGTGACCCTGGTTGCAGTGTTGTTGTAAGGCTTGAGCTGCAACGACTTTGCTTCCATATGGGAGGACCCCATCGAGATTCTCCTTAAGCCCTAAGTTCCAAACTCTAAACTCTGCACCCCTGGCTATCGAACGGCCGAGGTCTTTCTTCGCAGGTTCCCACCGGCACGGGCCTGCATGGACAGGCCGGAAAAATGTAAGCAGCTGAACATAAGACTATTTGGAGGACCATGGGGCTTAGTAAGTCAGGTTCGAAGTACCTTAAGTGGGCTTATAAGTGGTTATAAGTATAGTTACCTCATTTATAACCCCAGTTACTAAGTCCCATGATCCTTTAAGCAATACCCGCCTTTGGGAGCAAAGGGCCCTTCTCAACCCTCAGCCCTGAACCCTAAAACGGAAGGCAAAGACCCTTCGGAGTGAGATCCTTACGTCCACTCAACACTTCCGGGGAGGTTGCCTCACTTCCGAGCTCGGAATTCTACCCCACCCTGAACCCCAAGCCCTAAAGCAGAAACCCTAAGTCCAAACCCAAAACCCTAAGCCAGATATCCTAAACCCTAAGCCAGAAATCCCAAGCCTTAAACCCAAATCCCAAACCCAGCGGCTCGAAGCCTCCGTCCGAAAGCAGGCGACAACATGGCAAACTGGAGGCACCTTGAACGGTCGGTGCCCATGCTGCTGTCGCTGGCTCTTTGTGGCTACTCGCTGGTGGGGGGTTTCCAGGGTCTGGGATTCGGGCTGAACCTTCCTAAACCCTAAACCCCTAAACCCTAAACCCCTAAACCCCTAAACCCTGAACCCTAAACCCTAAACCCTAAACCCCTAGACCCTAAACCCTAAACCCCAAGCCATAAGATCCTTCGGAACCGGCGGGCTTGGAATGTGAGCATCGGAGAGTCTTGCGTACTGTGGGTTGTGCAGTGCTAAAGCTAGGGACAGTCTATCCGCAGATACGAACGCAATTTGACGAAGGTTCTGGGGTGCAGGAGATTTGAACCATGAAGAGTGTAGTGTTGACAGGGATTCAGTTTACATGGTTTGAGGTCCGGTGCTTACTTTGTAAGGCACATCCAGAATGCAAGCCCTTGAACCAAGCCCCTAAGCTCCCAACTCCTACAACCCTCCATCCCAACTCTCCTTTGTGATACTGGTAGTTCGCAGAACCGGACTTAGGGTTTAGGGTTTAGGTACCTTAACCTTGAATAACCTAGAAGGGTGTCATGGGGCTTGAAATGGTGTTGAAGGCTTCATGGGGGCTTTGTCGCAATAAGCCTTACACCGGGACCCTACACCTCTAACGTTTTGATACAAAGACCTTTATCTATCCGTGACCATCACCCCGAAAAGGGAGCTTTTTAAGGATTTCTATAAGGAAATCATAATAAGGAATTTTTACGGACTTCTATAAGGAAATCATAAAAAGACTTTTTACGGACTTCTATGAGGAAATCATAATAAGGAACCCTAAAAAGGTAGTTTATTCCGGGATATCCACAGGTGGGTGCCGATGTGGCTGGCTTCATGGGCGATCCCGACCCGGAGCTCTTCGTGCGCTGGCACCAGCTTGGTGCGCCTTGGCCTTCGCCTGGGGTTTCAGCACATTTGCCAGTATCCTATGGGGCTTAGATAATTACCAATACGATTTTGGAGATTCCTTGTTAATTATAGTATAATGGGCCCCAAAATCCTACTTCAATGATTAAGGCCCCTATATTATTTCACTGGGATTTCTTGTACTGAACTGACAGAATGCGCGTGCAATCATGCCAGGGAACACGCGCGTGGGAATGTCGTTCTGTGTCAGGGCTTTAGTGGGATGTTGGGTGTCAATGCTACGAGAGAGTGAAGCAACCCTAAACCCTAAACCCTAAACCCTAAACCCTAAACCCTAAACCCTAAACCGTCGTCATGAAGTGCCACGCTTCAGCCATGAGCCCTGAACCAAATTCCTTTCAGCGAAACCCGCGGGACCATAGAGCAACCAGAATACCTTAGTGCACATTATAGGAGTGCAGTTGGTTGATCCTTAAAGGTAAAACCTTTGGACCTAAATCCTGAGAAGTCTTATAGAATCCTTGTAGAATTTCGCTGCGCTAACTGGAAACATCTCCCGTAACCCACAACTGAACCCTTCATCTTAAACCCTAACACCCTAAGCTCTACAGGAACCCCAAAAGAAACCCTGAGCCCACTGGGTCTGGCATCCCTTCAAAAACCAAGCCCTCAACCCTAAACCCTCACCCCTAAACCCAAAACCCCAGACCCACAACCCCACAACCCTCAACCCAAAACCCACAAGCCTAAACCCTAAACCCTCACCCCAAAACCCACAACCCAAAACCTTCAACCCAACACCCTCAACCCTTAGGTGTGGTATCCCTTCTACCGGGCCCACGCGCACCTCACCACGAAGCGACGGGAACCTTGGCTGCTGGGCGGCAGCGTCCTGGCCAAGGCGGCTCGAGGTTTCTTAAAGTTCCCTTAAAGGGCTTTAGGGTTCCTTTAGGGTTCCTTTAAGAGGCTTTAGGGATCCTTTAGAGGGAACCTTCGAGGGATCCTTCAAGGGTCCTTTAGGGGTTCTTTAAAGGTCAAGGGTGTAGAGGTGAGAGTTCCTGAAAGGGTTCCATACGGGCACTGTAAGAGTACAGGGATTGGGATTTTGCTTAGGGTTTGGGTTTATTTTTGGGTGTAGTTTCCGGCTTAGATCCAGGCTTAGGCGGGGGTAGCATTCAGGGTTTAAAGTTATTAACGCAAGTTTTTGGACGAACTAAAACCGCAAGAGTGCACGAGGTGAGGAAGGCCGTCTTAACGCGGTACCGGATGCTTCCCACCTGGTATCTGCGGCCGCAAGGGTTAACGTTTGCGGTTGGGCTTTGGAATTCAGGATACTAGGACTGCGATTTTACGGCTTAGGGTGAAGAGTGTTGGGATTTACGCTTCAGCATCTGTGCCTCGATTCCATGTGGGGAGAGGTAGTATAAGGGATACCCCTGAACAAGGGACCCTTCTTGACCCTACTTCTGGCTCTCTTGAAAGGGAGCTTGCTGAGAGGGTCTATATCCCCAAAGGCTCCCCCAATCCTAACCCTGGACTCTAAGCCCTAAACCTTGGGGTGTATGGTTTAGAGTTTCGGGTTTGGGGTTTAGGGTTTAGGGGGGGCGAGAGGTACACGCTGGCTGCCGAATGGGCTTTGGCGGGAACGCCCATGGTACGACCCATCTGGTACCACGACCTGGAGGATGCTGCAGCTGGGCTCCGGAGTACATACTTTGAAAGAAACCAAAGTGGGTAGTTGTCAAAATTGTGGCCGCTTCTTGGGTACCCTGAATATTAAGTGCCGTATTAGAATAAGGACCCAAAAAGGGACCCTAATTTTGACAACCACCCTCACAGTTTATCCTTTTTTCCATTTGGTTTGCTGCAAAGCCCAGGAAGCCTTCCAGCATGCTGACACGCACTTCTTGGTTGGAGATGCCCTGCTGATTCGGGCTCCTTCCGAGGGGGCGAAGTCTGTGAAGGTGTACCTGCCAGGTGGAAGGGCCCAGAAACTCCAACACCCCTTTAATTAAGGAATATACCTTAAATCATATAAGGGATCCTACCATAATTTAAGGAATAAAAGGGATTCTACCATAATTTCAGGAATGAAAGGGATCCTACCATAATTTAAGGAATAAAAGGGATCCTACAATAATTTAAGAATTTAAGGAATAAAAGGGATCCTACCATAATTTAAGGAATAAAAGGGATCCTACCATAATTTAAGGAATATTCCTTAATTAAAGGATGTTGGAGTCTCTGGGGGTTTGGGTTTTGGGGCAGTTCGGGGTTCAGGGTCCTGGGGTTGAAGGCTACTTGGAGCATCATGGGACTTAGTAAGTCCGGTTATAAGTACCTTAAGTGGGCATATAAGTGCTTATAAGTATAATTACCTTATTTATAACCCCAGTTACTAAGTCCCATGATCCTTTCAGTAGGGCTCAGGGCTTGTGCAGGTCGCCACTGTCTGGAGAGCGGACTTTGCTTGAGAGAAAGGGAGCCCCCAACACCAAACCGAACTCTCCTTAAAACAGCGCCCCTGCCAGGTACGGTGAGGTGGTTCGATTTCTGGCATCCCAGGATTCATGCGCCCGGGAAGGCCTTCAAGGTGTCCTTGAACAAGAACCTCAGCAGTTTAAGTTGTTTGTTTGATCGGGTTTGGGGTTGAGGGTTTGGAGGTTAGAGTTTCTGCAGCTGTGGCAGAAGACTCCAGAACACGCAAGTTGAGGACTGTAGCTCAAATCAGCTCGAATCATAGTACGGGTCTCCTTATGACTCAAGTGCTTCTTTTTGTTGAGCGTCAGCTGTCCTGCAAAGCCCGTCTGAATCTAACGCCCTCAAAACTGGGAACTCTAAAACCCTGAAGCCCTAAACCCTTAAATAGACCCCCCAAAACTCTACCCAACTCTATAAAACCAGACAAACCTGCAAAGCAATTATCGACCCTTTATGCAGAGCTCCAACAGATCAGCTCCCAATACAAGTGGTAAACAGGACATCCCAAATCCCGAACCCTAACCCCGAAGCCCTACAGTAATCCCCATAAAGTTGGAGACCGGATTAAGGCTAAATAGTTCTGGGATTCCCTATATATTACTCTTGAGGATTTAGGCTATTGGGTTTCCAACTTTTGGGCTTCTACTGTAACCTTTCGAGCAATCCCTTCCCCAGGGCTCCAAGTATACAAACACTACCGACTGTCGGGTCGAAAGTCGATAAACTCTGGGCTGTTCGAAGTCTATAAATAGTTCCGAAGTGGGGCTGTTCGAAAGTCTATAGATAGTGCCGAATTTGGGCTATTCGAAAGTCTATAGATAGTTCCGAATTTGGGCTATTTGGAGCCCCCCTAAACCCCAAAACCCCAAACCCTAAACCCCAAACCCCAAACCCTTAACCTAAACCCAAACCCCTAAACCCGAAGCCCCCAAACCCGAAGCCCAAGACCCCAAACCCTAAACCTTAAATCCCAAACCCTAAACCCCAAACCCTAAACCCTAAACCCCAAACCCCCAAACCCTAAATCCCAAACCCCAAACCCGAACCCCCAAACCCCAAACCCTAAACCCTAAACCCCAAACCCTAAACCCTAAACCCTAAACCCCAAACCCTAAACCCCAAACCTAAACCCTAAAGCCCAAACCGTTACTAGGATGCCCAGGAGTACCCTTATTCCCTTTTTGTAGTCCTAGGTTCCTTTTAAAGTTACCCAATATCAAAAAGAGAGGCCTTTTTATTCTTAGGTTACTGGGTATCCTAGGTTACAGAACCCAAGGAATCAACTCAAACCCTAAACCCCTAAACCCCAAACCCTAAACCCCTAAACCCCAAACCCTAAACCCTAAACCCCAGACCCTAAACAAAAAAAAACCCAAACCCTTATAAAACCCAAGGAATCATCTCCCAGTCTTCGTCCGGGCCGGCCGCTGCCTCTTCCAGCGCCTGCGCCCGCGGCGCAGCGCCACCGCCATGGCCAAAGATCCTCACACGGTGCTCGGCATCTATCGTTTTTTCTTTTTTATTTATTTTGATTTGTCAATTGGGGTGTGTATAGGGTCCTGAGTTGGTGCGGTTTCGCAGGATTCGTTCGTTGTTTCGGTTTGTATCGGTGTTTGTTGGGGTTGCGACCCCTGCGCGTCTGATTTAGGACTCAGGCCGACTATTGGCCTGGTTTTGGTTCAGGATTTGGGGTTCGGGTGTAGGGTTTAGGGTTTAGGGTCCTTTAAAAGAGCTCCGACAAAGGACCTATAAGGGTTCTATACAGGGGTTTAGGGATTTGGGGGCTTGAGGGCTTGCTGAAAGGATCATGGGACTTAGTAACTGGGGTTATGAACAAGGTAACTATCCTTATAAGCACTTGTAAGCCCACTTCAGGTACTTATAACCTGACTTACTAAGTCCCCTGATCCTCCAAGTAGGGTTTAGGGTTGAGGGTTTGTGTGTCAGGGTTTGGGGTTTAGGGTTTAGGGGTAGGGTTTGGGGTTAAGTCTCGGCATCGTTAAGTTCCAGTCGCCTCGCACCAAAAACCCTTAAACCGAATCTCTAAATTTTAATCTGTGAATTTAAACCTTGATCCGTCTCCAACCCCAAACACGCATCCCTAAACCGTATACTTACCTTTGGTTAGTATGGAATGGAAGAAAGGTAGTAATAGTAGTGATAATGGTACCCCCTTCCTGCATTCCCTACTAACCAAAGGCAAGTATATAGTCCTCAGTCTTAAGCACACAACCTGCAACCCTCGGCACGAAAGGTGGTCTGCTATGCGGACGAGGAAGGCCAGGCTTCCGGCAAGGTGTACCTGGGTTCTTGTGGACTATAATTACACCATAATAAGAGAACCATATATTTAAACCATAATAAATGAACCATATTATTTACTGTAGATCCCGATTATGGTAGCTTAAACTAAGTTCTTTAACAAGAACCCAGGTACCTGGACGATGGCTCCAGCCATGACTATCAGTCGGGGCGGTACATCTTTGATCAGAACCTTGGGCTATTAATGCATAGGCTTGTTTCAAGCTTCTACCAGGGATTCTGAGGTTTTTTCCGATATTTTGTTGGTTCGGTTCATATTTTTGAGGATTAAGCTGAGATTGAAATTGAGATATGACTGAATGAGTCTCAGGTTTCGAGACAAGTAAGGATAACGATGACAGGCTCCTCTTTGAGGAATGCCCCTGCGCAGTTCCTGGATGCCGATGCTGCTTTTCGATCCGGAGCTGCGGCGGCGTTACATGCGAGGGCCATGCCGGAGGCTGGCTTCAATTTTGGGGTTGCCGCGGGTCCGTTTCAGGTCCTTATCATGAGGATCCTTCTATTTTCGTGGTTTTGGGTCCCTTGTTTTTCTGAAATTTGTTGTTTGATGGGCTAGGGCATGCCGCGTACTGTCCTTCTCCCCGACTGTTGTTGTTGTTGTTGCTGCTGCTGCTGCTGCTGTTTCCACTGCTTGTGCTGGTGCGGCTGCTAGTGCTGCTGCTGGTGCTGGCGGTGGTGGTGGTGGTGGTGCTGAAGCTGCCGCTGCTTCTGCTACTACTACTGCCACCACCACCACTACCACTATGGCCACTACCGTTGCGACGATCCTCTACTAAACCCAAGGAGATAGACCCTAAACCCTAAACCCTAAACCCAAGGAAATAGCTGACAGCTCCCTTCGCGTTGAGCGGCTCGTCTTGGTCGGCCTCCAGAAAGCTCCTTCGAAGATTTCGGTGGGTGGGAGCCCCTTACACTTCCAGGCGCGGCTGGGGTGTTGGGTTTAGGGGTTTAGGGTTTAAGGTTTAGTGTTCAGGGGGTTTGAGGGTTGTGCGGTGTGGCAGTATCTGCCATCATACTTTTCCCTTGGCCGCTCTTATGATTGTTGCTGTTTTGACCATTGTTTTACTCATTCCGAGCTCTTCAATCTAAGCCGATGCCCCTGAACACTAAACCCCAAGTCCTTAAAGCACCTGAACCCCTGAATGCTAAACCGGGACCCCCTCGTCCCAAGACCCCTAAACGGTAGACTCCAAATCCCTCACCGCCAACCCTAAGCCGCCAAACCCAACACCCCTTTTAAATCCCTTGCAACACCCGGACAAAGCCCTCACAAGCCCTGGAAAACTGCATACCCCGTCTTATCCATTTCTACAAGACCGTGAGAACCAAAGAAGAACCCTTTCCGTTTTAGGAGTATTCCTTAAAATCATAGAAAGAAAGAAGCCCTATGCCGTAAGGTAGAGCCCCGAATACGCATCAGAAAGGGCATCGAGCTTTCTGAAGCCCCGAAGAAACACAGCATTTAAACTCCCCAAATCGGCCATTGCAACAGCTCTTCTAGAACCCATGTGGGAGTGTCCGAAAATTAGGGGTACCTTGTTTTGGGACCCTTATCATAAGGATCCTACTATTTAGGGTACTATATCAGGGTCCCCTATTTCTGGAAAGTCCCCAATTTTCAACTCGCCTAGAAGCCTTAGTATCAGAAAGTCTTCGGCGAGAGACGTTAGAGAATCACGAAAACCACCATCAGCCCGACAGAAGCCCTTGTAAGAGACCTCGACAAATCCCGTGAGTGACGAAGCCAAACCCCTAAAACCCTCAACCCAAACCCCGAAGCCTTTTAACCAATAAGCCCCAGCCCTAAACCCCAAACCCTAACCCTAAATCCCGAACCCCAAATCCTGAACCCCAAATCCGAAATCCCAAATCCCAAACCCCAAGCCGCACACCCCAAACCCTAAATCCTAAACCTTCCAAAATCCCGTAATTAAGGAATGTCCCTTAGATCATATTCGGGATCCTATTGTAATTAAAGGCCTTAATTTGAAACGCTTCGCGTCGTCCGCCTCGGCCCGGCTTTTTTCGCGCATGCGGCGACTGGCTACCATCCGGCGCAGCAGGAAGCTCTTGTACGAAAATAGCAACAGTTGGAATCGCACTTGTATTAATTGTAGGGCAGGGCAAAGCAGGGCAGAGCAGCGTAATTAAGGCACAGGGCTTGTCTCAAGAAGCCAGCAAGAGGTTGATGTGACCATTGTAGCATCTCCACGTTCTGTGCCTGATATTCGACATAGCCAATAGCTGGCGATAGCGATGCTTGAATCTCCGATGCTATGAGAAGGTTAGGTCGTGGAGCCGCGTGCTGTGCTGCCCAAAGCAACGCTATTTCCGAACTTTGCCTGGAGGGGGGCAGGGGGGAGCGGGCAGCCAAAATCTAGTGGAGGAGGTGAGAATTCACCACCGGACCTTGGGGGCTAATCGACACGTTTCCATTTGTAAGGGGGGGGGGGGGGGGGCGTGGCGCGAATTTTGGGGGTGGGGTCAGGGATTAAGAGGTGGGGAATAGAAGGAATCCGAATAGGAACCTCTGACCGCTTCGGCCGGGGCCGAGGCGAATTAAGGTATTTTGGAAGGTCTGGGCTTAAACCCCACGCCGCAAACCCTAAACCTAAACCCTAAACCAAAACCCTAAACCCTAAGCCCTAAACCCTAAACCCTAAACCCGAAACCCTAAACCCTAAACCCCAGCCCAAAGCCCCAAGACGAAGGTGGAGTCGATGGCGGAGTCCGAGCTGAAGGTGGTCACCGTGAAGGAGCCGCTCGCGACCTGGGCTTTTCTGCAGGTTGGTTTGGGACATAGGGATTTAGGGTTTTAGGTTTTAGGCTTCTTTGGGTTGGTTTGGGGTTTAAGGTTTTATAGGGATATAGGGTTTTGGGATTTTAGTGTTTGGGCTTCTTTGGGTTGGTTTGGGATTTAGGGATTTAGGGGTTTTAGGGTTATAGGATTCTAGTTTTTGGGTTTCAGGGTTTAGGGTTGAAGGTTTGGGGGTTTAGGGGTTCAGGGTTTAGGGGTTTGGTCTCTAGGAGTTGGGGTTTTGGGGTTTCGGGGTTTAGGGTCTAGGGATTTAGGTCAGGGTTTTTTCGTAGGGTTTCAGGGGAGTTTGGAGGGTTTCAGTTTGTGAGGGTCTATGAGGGTCCTATGAGCGCGGGTGGAAGGATTGGTACGGGTTCTGTGCGGATCTTACCCTAAACCCTGAACCCCTAAACCCTAAACCCTTAAATCCTAACTAAACCCTGACCCCCTAAAACCCTAAACCCTAAACCCTAAACCCCTAAACCCTAAACCCTGAACCCCTAAACCCGAAACCCGAAACCCCAATGCCTGAGGAAGGCCCTGCACCTGTGGGGGTTCTTAGCTCTACCTTCACCTACCAAAACCTACAAAAAAGTAGGGTCCCTATAAATTCCATATTGGGGTTTATAATAAGAACCTACAAAAAAGTAGGGCCCCGATAAGGGTTTATAGTAAGAATCTACAAAAAAAGTAGGGTTTGGTAGGAAGTCAGGTTATAAGTACTTTAAGTGGGCTTATAATATTTATAGCCCCAGTTACTAAGTCCATGATCCCTTTAAGAACCGGAGCCCAGGTGAGGCTGGGGACGTCCTGGAGCATCGATCTCCACCCTGCCGACTAGAGCGGAAGTGCGCCAAAAAAGTCCGGAGGTGTCAGGGTTTAGGGTTTTGGTTTAGGGCGTAGGGTTTAGGGTTTAGGGTTTTGGTTTAGGGTTTAGGGTCTCGGATTTAGGGTTTAGGGTTTTGGTTTAGGGTTTAGGATTTAGGGTTGCCCCAAACCCGGAACCCCGTAGACTTGTGCAGCGGGAAAAGCGGCCTTCAAAAAAAGAAACCCGAGCCCGAAATCCTAAACCTGGACCCTTGTGTGGATCCGAAACCCAAAGTTCTACACACAGATTAGCTACGTTCTTGGGTGATCCTTTTGCCCTTTTTACTATAGGGTTCCCTTTTACAGGAACCTAGTCGAAGATCTACTTGGAGGGCTTGTAGCAGGGACTTCCCGGCAGACGGAGCTCCGTGACTACGTTTGAAACCCCCGAGTCCCCAGCTTCGAGGCTTGCAAAGCTTTCCGGCGTAAAGTGTGTACTACTATAAATACTTCTATTATGATTACTCGTATTATTACTATTGTTATTACTATTACTACTATTGTTACTATTATTACTATTGAGAATCATTCTATTCTACTATAATTTATACTACCTCAATCCCAGAGCTTTCAGTCTCACAGCCCCAAAGCCCTAAAGCCTTCAAGCCCCGAAGCCTGAAATGTAAAACCCCAAAAGGCTCGAAGTTTCCTTCCAAGCATAGTAGAAGCCAGAAAGTTGGAACATGGCTTTAGGAGGATTAGTCCTAGGATCCCTTATACTTTACCTTAAGGGCATGGGGATAATGATGTTCCAAATTTCTGGCTTCTACTAAAGGAAGACATAAAACCCCAAAGTGCCCACTCATACCCACGCTTTCAACCCTAAGCATCGCCATGAACACCTCTAAGAACCGAGCCTCTCCCAAGCTTTGACTATAGTCTCCTTAGGAATCATTTTTTTCATAAAATTTTTCTTTTAAAACCCAAAAGAATATTGAAAATACTGTTTTTAATGTGGTTCTAAGGGTGGATTAGTTGAAGGTCACCAACTACATGCTGGGCTACCTGGGGCAGCGGTGGACGGAGGTGCGCGGGGGGCGCTTTGTTGGCTCAGGAATCCGGCCTGGGGGTTCTATGGTCGGGGCTCCAAGGAACCCTAAACTCTAAACCCTGAACCCTAAACCAAAGTTTAGGGTATAAGGATTTCGGGTGGCGGGTCTCCGGCTTAGGCCTTAGGGTGCCGATTCGGGGTTGAGCATGTCGGATCCTGGGTTCGGGGCTTCTAGCCCTAAGACTCCAATATCCCAGAAGGAATATACCTTCAATCATATAAGGAATCCTACTACAACTTAAGGTATGTTCCTTAATTAAGGGATATTGGAGTCTCTGGGAAATGCAAGGCAATGAGTGCCGTACTTCAAAAACCCATGCACTACTTCAAGAGCCTGAAGAGCAATGCAGCTTCTTGGTCCACCCCGACAGTATCAACGTAACAGACTGTACCTTCGAAACTTATGGTTGCAACCGTACAGTTCCACCTCGGTATGCGGGATGTAATCTTCCGTCACTACATGGTGTGAAAACTTTGTCAGTCCCTTACAAAAGCCCTCGATAGTCAGTCTTTTCTCTAAAGTCCTCAACCCTAAACCCAAAACCCTTTTCCCTAAATCCCCAATCATCCCCTCACATCCCAAAACCTTCCAACCCTAAACTCTGAAACCTGAAATCTAACCTTTGGTTAGTAGGGAATGGAGGAATGGTACAATTATAACTACTATTATTACCATTCTTCCATTCCCTACTAACCAAAGGTAAGAAATCCGTCAATCAAATCCTCACGCCCTATACAACGCACACTTCAAGTTGATCCGAGAAGCCCGTGTTTTATCACTGGAGCCTGCGCCGTGCTAGGGAAACGTCTCCGACCTAGTACTTGTGGGCCCGGCGAACATGGGAGCCTCGATTTGAATGGATCTCCCGATGGCCCATTTGGGGCTTGAGGGCTTGCTGAAAGGATCATGGGACTTAGTAATTGGGTTATAAATAAGGTAACTCTACTTATAAGCACTCATAAGCCCACATAAGGTACTTATAACCTGACTTGCTAAGTCCCATGATCCTCCAAGTAGGGTTTTGGGCTTTCGGGTTCAAGATTGAGGCGGTATTTTTTAAAGTAAGCGTGGGACTTGGGGGTTCAGAAAACTTAGGCTTAGGGTTGGGTTTTTTTTGGGGTAAAAGACGGGTGCTGGCGATCCAGGGTTCGACGGTATTTTCTTGCGCCAGAGACTTGCCGACGCGGGCTTTGGGGGGTTCAGGGTTTAGGGTTTAGGGTGGCTTTGGAGATTAGGGTGGAGGGTTTGGGGTTTAGGCTGGCTTTACGAGTTACCATGGTGCCTTTATGCGGGAAAAGAGGGTTTTCAAGATTGGGGAGCCAGCTATGGAGACACACTCCTATACCTGTAGCCACTAAAACATGTTATTTGTCGGTTTTTGTTTAGGGTCCCTGTCAATCCCATACTAGGGTTCAGCCTAAGAGGCTGCAACAAAAGGATTATGGTAGTTTAAAGTAAACTCCACACCTGCACCTCAAACCAAGCATGTTCCAGCAGCACTTCTGAGACCTAAACATGGGACCTCAAGGCCTAAAAATTTCCTGAGACCAAAAGTTAAAGGGTTAAGTTTAGGGTTTAGTCACTTTAGGGCTCCTAACCCAAAACCCCAAAACTCACTCTTAGTGCCTAAGCCGGCATAAGCAAAAGAGCGCACCTCCTCCGCTTCGAAGACCCAGGAAGTCCCTGCTCCCTTGCCGCCTATGCTGCCCGGTGGCGTTTTCTTCGTGGGAGCCGGTCGTCTGGGCTCAGGATTTCGGATTGTGGGTTGGGCATGAGAGTCTAGGGAGTCTAGAGTTTAGGGCTTTACGGTTTAGATGACGTCCATATGCATGGCATATTCTATTTTATTCTACTCTGCTCTGCTCTATTCTGTTCTATTCTACTCTAGTCTATTCTACTCTGCGGCTTCAGGGTGTTTGCGGCCTGCAAGCTTGCATGGGGTACTTCGTGACATGATCCCTACATGCTTCCGAGCTTCCTATAGAAGCTTCTTGTGTACATCCCTTTTTTTGCAGATTGCTTGTGGGTCTAGCTAAGGTTTGGGTTTTCCGCGACACAACTTAGACTTAGCTGCAAACACCAAATGCAGGCCCGGGGGTGGTTGTGGGAGCTTGGTCTTTGAATCGGTATCTCCGAAGCTCGATTCTTCAGAAGCATCAGCTTTCACAAACAAACATACCCTAAACCCTAAACCCGAAACCCTAAGCCACGACGTGGGGCTGCCCCTTGCATCTTCGTTTGGGATCCGGGTTTTGCAGTTGGGCTCCAGTTTTTATTTTGGATCTGCGCCTGCCGCTTCCGCGATACTTCGGACGCTCTGAGTTTGGACATGATTTGAGTGACTTCTACTTGGAGCTTCAGGGGTAGTTATAAGGATTCCTTTAAGGGCCCGGTTTAAAGGGATCTATAGGGCTTCTGCAAGGGTATAGGGTTTAGGGCCTACTTGGAGGTTCATGGGTAGTTATAAGTAGGGTTATAAGTCTCCTAACATGGGTTATAAGTATAGTTACCCTACTTATAACCCTACTTATAACTGCCCATGAACCTCTAAGTAGTTCATTGTTTCTACGGGCGAGCCATGCAAATCAAGGGTCAACCTTAGACCCAGAGACTCCAATATCCCTTAATTAAGGAATGTACCTTAAATTATAGTAGGATCCTTAATATGGATTTAAGGTATATTCCCTAATTAAGGAATATTGGAGTTTCTGGGGACCCTGTAGCTTGAATCCTGCATCCTACATCCCGAGATCACCATGCACGCCCACCCCTCATCCCCAAGCCCTAAGTCCAAAGCCTTAAGCCCCCAAAGCCCTAAGCCCTGAACCTTAAAGCCCCTACACCCTAAACCCTACACCTTCACTAGGATGCCCGGTAGTACCCTTATTCCCTTTTTGTAGTCCTAGGTTCCTTATAAAGTTACCCAATACCAAAAAGAGAGGCCTTTTTTATTCTTAGGTTACTGGGTATCCTAGTTTTTGTTTGGGCAATCTGAGGCGAATGGCCCCAGCATCTTGTCTTGGCGAAGGAGGGTGGGACTTCAAGGGTTCGGTGGGCTATAAGGGTTCCTAAAAAGGGTTGCTTTCAATGGCTTCTGTATGCAAGGGTTGTTCAAGGCTTCCATGAGGGGCTTTTGTGGAGGTTTCTTTTCAAGCTTTCTTTAACTTTCAGAGTGGAGGTTTGGGGTTTCATTAGGGTCTCCGGGTGCTGGTATACGCTAAACCCTATAAACGCTAAAGCCCTACCTGCATCTGTGGACGCATCATCACCGCCAAGCCGCGGTAGTTCGATTGGGTTCCTATAAAGGGATCTAGAAGGGTTCCATCAGGGTTCCTTGAAAGGGGTACTTGGAGGATCATGGGACTTAGTAAGTCAGGTTATAAGTACCTTAAGTGGGCATATAAGTTCTTATCAGTATAGTTGCCTTATTTACAGCCCCAGTTACTAAGTCCCATGATCCTTTAAGTAGAGAGGTTTGGGGTTGAGGATTTTAGAGTTCCGATGTTCGCGTGACCAGCAGTTACCGGGAGCCTTGAAAACCACGTCGATACATGGGTAGTTTGAAAATATTAGGTGCCGTATTATAATAGGGACCCAACAAGGGACAATGATTTTGACAACCACCCCGCATGCAAAGCTGTGCATCCGGCTGCATATGCATAGTCTCGTTCTACTTATACTTATGGTTCCGGGACCTGTAGCCCGTAGCTGCACCCGCAAGCTGGTTGCAGGTGTCTAAGCCTTGCAAGCTTAAGCCTTAAACCCTAGCACCCTATTTCCTAAACCAAATCATCTCAAAACATTCTAAAACCCTGAACTCTGAACCCCATTCTGGCATTCTGGCTTCATACAGTTTGGTTGGAAAAGGGGTGCCCAAAAAGGAAAGACCGAGTCCCGGCCCCGAAAACCTTCGCAGCCCCGAGCTGTATGGGGGTTTCAGAATTTTGGGGTCGTTCTAATAGGGATCCTGCTATTTAGGGTACTATATTAGGATCCCCTTATCATCGGAAACCCCCGTATAGATCAGCCACCGACGCTTCGCGTGTGTGTGTGTGTGTGTGTGTGTGTGTGTGTGGTTTCGGGTTTCATGTAGTGTCGAAAATCATTACCTGTGCTTTTTTGGCCCCCCCAAATCCTCTGATTGCTAAGGCCCCTAGTTTAGGCTTTAACGGTTTGGTGTTGTGACGGTCTCTTGGAACCACGAGGACGCTTCTTGGTGCCCTTATGGTTGATATCCTTCTGTTTGATAAACCCTGGCACTAAGTCCCTAAGCGCCTAGAAAACTTTCCAACACTATCTGAATCTTCCAGGTACTGTGGCGCACAGCAGTGTGATCCCGCTCGCCGACATGTTGGCCCTTTGGCTGTGCTGGCATGCAAAAGTGAGGGAACCAAAAAGCACATGAGCACAAGCATTTTACAGGGATATCCCGACCTTATTGGGCTTCACTCTAAGGGGGTGTATATGGGATATTCGTATCCCAATTTTTGCTTATGTGCTTTTCTGGGGCCCTAAGAAGAAGGTTTCTGACTCAGGTATAACTATATTGAACTTAGAACCCTAGCAAAAGTTAAAATTTTTCTGGCTGTTTCTTAGGGACTATAGTAACCAAAAATTAAAAACTTATTTCTAAGTACCCCTAAGATAACAGTTGGAGGCCTTTGCCGGGTTCCTACATGGCTTCCTTTTATGGCTTCCTGTGCGGGTTCCTGGAAAGGTGCCTAGGAAAGGTCCAAAAGAGTTCCTGTGAAAGTTCCTACACCCTAAACCCGTATAAGATAGGGGCCTTCATAATTGGAAGAGGGTTCCTTTAAAGGGGCCTATAAGGGCTACTATAAGGGCTATTATAAGGGTTTAGTATAGGGCTTTTTTCAGCGTCCCTTCAGGGTCAAGCTGTTAGTGGAGGTTGTGACACTGCGGTCTGGGCAGGGCCAGGGTGAAGGGGAACGCAAGGCCCTCAAACCCTGGAAAATCTTTTCTGCCGTGGGCGAGGGTCTAAGGGTTTTAGGTTTTGGGTTTGGGGCTTAGGGTTTTAAGTTTAGGTTTCTTCAGCGGTGTCTTTCGGGCTGAGGGTTTTTTTCGGGGCCCGGAATTCTCAACGAAGGAGTTTTTCTTAACCATGGTAGGTTCAACTTGGCCGATTCTCCGTCTTCTTGTAGCTTAGAGCGGACATGGTAAATTACGAACTTTGCTTCTGTTACTTGTGGTATAACGAGATGAGGGCCGCAGATTGTAAGCTGGTGTTTTTACTATGCTTGTACCCAGAGATCCCAATACCCCTTAATTAAGGAATATACCTTAAATCATAATATGAAGGCCTCTATCATTTAAGGTATATTCCTTAATTAAGGGGTATTGGGTTCTTTGGGTAATGATGACTCCTGTCTGACTCTCTGCCGACAACAGCGGCTAAAAAAAATCGCGTCTGGGGGAACTTCCAAAAGAAGCCCTATCGGTTTAGGGTTTAGGGTTGTCTTTACTGGCCTCCGAAGCCGATATCCAGGAAATCCGTCTGCGGGACGTAGCGTCGACGTGGCCAGGCCAGCGTGCTGCTGACGGGTGACGGTTTCGGCTTCGGGCTTTACAGGGAACTCCAGAAAGTTGGAATATGGCTTCATGGTAGGATACCCTATAATTTACCATAAAGGGTTTAGGATAATCATATTCCAACTTTCTGGCTTTTACTTTAAGGAAGAGAGGCCTTTTTATTCTTAGGCTACTGTGTATCCTAGTTAAGGGGGTGAGAGTTTTGGGATTTAGGGTTTGAGCACGGATTTCGGGATGGGGATGTGGAAGCCTACATCCGCCAACTGTCGGAATTACGTCCACACTACAATAATCAGAGCAATGGTACAGCAATAGTGGTAGTAGTAGTAGTAGGAGGAGTAGTAGTAGGAGTAGTAGTAGTAGTAGTAGTAGTAGTAGTAGTAGTAGTAGTAGTAGTAGTGGTAATAGTCATGGGTTTCTTCTGTCGATGACCCTTGGGAGTCGTATGCGGCAGCTGCGAGAGGTCTCGTCTGCTTCAACCTTCAGTACTTGTTCATACCTCGCGGCTGTGGGCCGGCTACGCAAGAATACGCAAGAGAATCTCCGAAAGGGGGCTCTCACCCGGCACTAACCGGGGTTTGGTACAATCCCGCGATTAGCGCACGCACACTACCGTTCGAGCTTCTCAGCTCTCTCTTGGCCAGGAGCTCTTGAAGTTCTTTGTTGGGTAGGGTTTTCGCCTCTCGTATGCTAGCTGAGCCCTAAAACCCTGAAGCCTACACCCATGGAGCCCTAAAGCCCTAAACCCTGAATCCGAATCCGAAGCTTTTTGACCATTTCCTAAACCCTTTAGCCCATTCCCGAGCCCACGACCACCATGACCATGGCGCAGGCTTGATATCGGTGTTGCCGAACAGGTTGGGCGGCTCGGATGATTCTCGGCAGCAGAGGTGTGCTGAATCCTGGGACCGACTGTGTGGTCTTACCCTGGCACCAAACCCTAGGCCCTAAAGTCTAAACCCTATACCCTACACCCCAAGCCCTAAAGTCTAAACGCTATACCCTAAACCCTAAGCCCTAAAGTCTAAACCCTAGAATGTAAACCGAAAGCTCCTGAAAGCAAGTCCCCGAGCCCCAAAGCCCTAAAGCCTATGCAGCCCGGTAGTAGTCGATTGCTGGACGGTTCTGGGGTTCAGGGTTCAGGGTTTAGGGTTCAGTGGTTCAGGGTTTTAGCGTTCAGTGTTCAGGGTTTAGGATTTAGCGTTCAGGGTCGCCCCAGCCCAATGCAGAGAGCCCAATGAGGTGCAGAGCCAAGAGTTGTGCAAGACTTCGAAAGGGGTTTCTCGAGGTTGAATGCAGAAGCCCAAAGCCATTGAGTGAAGAGGAGCATCCCCGTAGATGATGATAGAGAGCCTGAAATTGCGATTTAGCTGTCATCAAGGTGTACACTTGCTAAGTGGGCTTGCCCTGCGGGGTTTGGGGTTTAGGGTTTGGGGTTACGGGTTGAGGTCAGAGCTGCAGGTAGGCAGTCCGTGAGGGAACCCCTTGTCCTACACACAAAAAACCACTGAAAGTTCCAAGCCCGTGAAGAGCATGGACCCAGCGTGGCACAATACACCGAAACCTTAACAGCACATTTCCGGGGTCTGATCAGATAGTGATACCCTTTTCGGGGTGCCAACATCTAGGGATACAGTAGTATGAAACCGCCCCAGACCCTTGATGTCATATCTTATGCCCCTCTACATTGGTACCTGTTGTGGTTGTACTAATGTAGATAATCCGTGAGGCCTCGAAGCCGAAACTACAAATTTTCCTTGAAGCTACACCCTAAACCTTGGATATATCCATACGTGTGTACGTAATTAGTTGATGTCTTTGATGAAGAAGTACCGTATATGCATACATGCATACATACGTACATGCATACCTACCTTCGTACGTCCGTGCATGGATGCATGAAGCTTGACGGTATATGTATATGCATCTATGTGTCTCCACATGACGCCAGCCCAGGTTTTCGAATTTAAGCCCTTTGCTATGCGGAAGGGGAAGCGAAAGTGGCCCAGACGCATGGGAAACCGAAGCACTTCAACCTTCCGCTAACGGCTGGAGTGGTGCTTACGTGACAATCAAATTTGGTCTTGAGGGTGTTGGGTTTAGGGTCCAGATTCGTGCAGTGCTTCGTGGATGTTCTAACCGCCACTTACTAAGTCCCAGGATCCCCATTATAGAACCCCTATAGATCCCTTTTACGAACCCTACAATAGAACCCTATAGTACCCTTCTTAAAAGGAGCCCGAAACCTTACTTACTAAGTCCCGTGAGCCTTTAAGTAACCCTAGAACCCTCTTATAGAACCCTTATAGATCCCTTTAAAGGAGCCCTTTAAGGAACCCCAGTTACTAAGTCCCATGAGCCTTTACGTAGCGGCCTTTTGAGCAACAAATCCGAAGCCCTAAACCACCAATACTGTCGGGGGCCTCAAGAGGTAGGATTTTGGGTTTTGGGTTTAGGGTTTAGGGTTTAGGGTTCTGGGCAAAGTGTGCGTTTAGATGCTACGTTGTTCGGAGGCCTCAACATAGGTAGGTGGGATATTCCCACATAAGAGTCCTTATATAAGGGATCCCTAATCCCACCTATCTTCATCCCACCTTGTGAGGCCTCCGATACTGTTAAGACGACAAGTCCCAAACCCCAAATCCTAAAATTTTCGGGGCATGTGCGGCTAACAGCCGTGATCTGGTGGATCGCGAGGTTTTCACAGGTTTGGACTTAGTTTCGGGTTTAGGTTCACGGCTAGGGTTTAGGGTGTATGATGTGGGGTTTAGGTTTTAGAGTTGAGTTTAGGCTAAGCTTGTGAAACCCTGAACCCGAAGCCAAGTGCCGATCTATTTACAGCCTCAAGCCCTAAACCCTCAGTTATATTCCGAAGCCCATTTCCTAAACCCTAAACCCTAAACCGGAACACCAAGGGAAAGTTGAGGATTCCCTGAGGCCTTCATAAGCATGCCTCCGCACTCTTAAACCCTTGCAACAGCACATCGTGCCCAAGACGCAGGCCCTGCAAAGAACCGATCCTCCAGCACCCTGCATCCTAAACCCCACATCCTACACCCGAAACCCTAAACCCCAAAGCCCGAGCATCTTCAAAGACCTGCAACGTCCACAACCCTAAGCTCAATATGGGGGCTCGCAAACCCCAAACCCTAAACCCTGTATAGCCGGATGTTAGACAGAGCGTTTGACGGAGTCCAGACCTCAGATGAGGAGTGACGAGGTTCTATAGTAAAGCTGATGAGTTCTGACAGCGCACAGGGTTAAAGTAAGCATGCAAGGCCTCACTGAAACGAGTGAGTGCTCAAGTTGCCGGTCTCCACGGGAGACTTCCGACTCAGACTCTGCAGACGGAAAAGGGCCCTCAAAAAAAAAAACCCTAAACCCTAAACCCCTAAACCTTAAACCCTAGGTATTTCGCCGGGGACTGTGTTCCGTTCCTGGAAGACCTTGCGACCTGCGAGGATGAGGAGCCCGGCTTTTGGGGGGTCTACTTGGAGGATCATGGGACTTAGTAAGTCAGGTTATAAGTACCTTAAGTCGGCCTATAAGTGGTTATAAGTATAGTTACCGTATTTATAACCCCAGTTACTAAGTCCCATGATCCTTTAAGTAGGGCTAGGGTGTGGGGCCTCAGGGGTTTAGGGGTTTGTGGGGGAAGTTTAGGGTTTAGGGCCTGGGGGGTTAAGGGTTTTGTGGGGTTGAGGGTGTAGGACCTGAAGGGATTTGGGTTTTGTTGGGTTTAGGGTTAGGGTTTAGGGTTTAGGGTTTAGGGTTTAGGGTTTAGGGTTGGGATTTGGGTTTTGTTGGGATTAGGATGTTGGGTTTTGTAGGGTTGAGGGTTACCATTAGGATTTGGCTCGCCACCGCAGCCGTGTTTTTTAGCCCAGGCGTCGCCACCTCACACGTCAAGGTTGCTTGCCCAAATCTCTCAGTCCAACCCTAAAACCCGAACAAAGACCATGGCGGCATGGAAACTGGTGTTTAGAAAGGATACGCAAGCTTCGCATTACATGCCTAAGCCCCAAGCGTAAACCCCCAATCCCCTAAGCAGAGATCAGCAAGGACACCTTTGATCCAACAGCAACCTGGTTTTGCTGAAAGTTGTCACAAATCTCACAAACCTGTCCACACACCGGAAACCCGAAACTCCGCGGAAACACCGAAGCTCCTTAAGCCATGTCCCAAGCCCTGCACCTCAACAGGACCAGACAGGCCTTTACGATGAAGACTCCTCCATCCACGAAGCTTGCCTGCAAGACCTTAGCAGCGCGCTTTCTTTGTTGCTTCGGGATTGCGGTTCAACAGGGCTGAGGGTTTCAGAAACGATGAGTTAGAACATTGGCTTCTTGATCTGTCGTTTACAGTTCGTGTCTATGGGCTTACGCGTCGGGGGACTCATGGCTGCGCGTTCATCATAGGGACCCTTGGCGGGCTAGGGGGGAGGGGGTAGGGGGACTATACTTCCTTAATAAGGCCTTATTAAATCCTTATTAATTACAGGTGGTAAGGCTCTCTGACCCTTAAGGGTCCTCATGAATTAAGGCCTCCATTTTGAAGCCTAAGCCCTTCTTCTGGCGTCTTCTTGAAGGCTCAGGGTCCGGCTTGGCTTGAGATTTACGCGGTTTGGGGGTTCCCAGAAACTCCAATAGCCCTTAATTAAGGAATGTACCTGAAATCCTATTAGGGATCCTACTCTAGTTTAAGGTATATTCAGTTTATTCCTTAGAGGGATATTGGAGTCTCTGGGTTTCCGCTGCAGCGAAGCATCGCATTGAGTCGTGAACTGCAGGAGCAGGTGAGGCATCTGCTGGAGGAGTATAACTTGGTGGATACCAAGCGCGAGTGGGAAGCAGGTGGGAGTATGCTGAATCGCTCAGCCCCTAAACCCTAAACCCTAAACCCTAAACCCCAAAACCCCAAAACCCTAAACCCTAAACCCTAAACCCTAAACCCCAAGACCCCAAAACCCTAAACCCTAAACCCTAAAGCCCTGTAGACCCTAAAGACCCAACAAGCCCTGAATCCTAAAGGTTTTCCTAAGCAAGGCTGCTAGCATCCCTGAGCGTCACAGTGGTTTAGGATGTATAGGATGGCTTCCTATAAAAGGTTACAAACGGGTTCCTATCAGTGATAATGGTAGGCAGCCTATCAGGGTTAGTAAAAAGGTTACCAAAAGGACACAGCAAATGTTAGCTTACAGCCTGCTGCAAACCCTAAACCATAATGTGGGAACCCGATTAAGAAACCCTGGGACTAAAACCCCAAACCTTTACTAGGATTCATATAAGGAGCCCTAATAAAGGCCCAAGGCTTCTGAATCAGGTTCCTACATCACACCCCTAAACCCTTAAAACGAACCCCAGAGATGCTAAGCTTCTGTGGTGCCAGGCTTTCCAAAAGCCGCAGCTCGACAGCATCTGGACCCGATGCCCACGCCCTTTCAGGGATTTGCGTAGACGGGGTTAGGGGTTCGGCTTTTGGGTTTAGGAGCCTCGACCCAGGACAACCCGAAAACTGTCGTAGTAGTAGTAGTAGTAGTAGTAGTAGTAGTAGCAGCGGTAGTAGTAGAAGCAGTATACCATGTCTCTCTTGGACAAGCAAAGCATGCAGGACTTCATGTGCTCCAGATACTTAGAGTTGTGTTCCGGAGTCCACAGACCCTCAACCTCAAACATTAAACCCTGAATGAGATAATCACTGGGTTGTGCTTTGGGATACTTTTTAATTTCCCCTGTTTCCTTATAAAGGGAACCTATTCATAAATAGTTTTCAAAGGGTTCAAAGCACAACCCAGATCATCTTCAGGCCCTTAAAGAGAGGGGGGTTCAGATCCATTCGGGGTCGACATTTCGCTGTCGCGTTCGAGAAGCTCGAGGCTACAAGCTCAAGAGGCATAGAGAAAGCCTTTAATGAACCAGCATATAGGGTTCTTATAGGGCTTCAGAGGTATGTATACTCATAGGACCCGTTGGGGGGGGCCTGAATACCTATACTAAGGAGTTAATAAGGACTCAATAAGGCCTATTTAAGGAAATGTAGTCCCCTACCCCCCCGAAGGGTCTCTATGATAAAGGCTTTTATACGAGGGGTATAGTATGTACCGTAAATCGAGTACAGATCCCCTTGTGCTTGCTCTTGGCTGAGGCCCTGTAGTCCCTCACACCAACTTCCCTTAAGCTTGAAAGCCCAAGCCCTACGGTTTAGAGTTTGGGGTTTAGGGTTTAGGGTTCCGAGTTTGGGGTTTAGGGTTCCGAGTTTGGGGTTTAGGGTTCCGAGTTTGGGGTTTAGGGTTTAGAGTTTAGGATTTAGGGTTCAGGGTAGATAAACTTTGAAAATGGCTAAGATGTGTCTAAACCTTAAACCCTACCTTAACCCGGGAAGAACCTACCTTTTTGAGGACTTATATAAGGAAATCACAAGGAAACCCGAAAAAGGTAGCTTATTCAGGGTTAAGGTAAACCTTAAGCCTGAACCGCTGGCCAATGGGCCTTTCCCCATAGCCACTACTGCAGTCGCTGGAAAAAGGAAGCTCAAAAACAACTCGGACCCCTTTCCCAGAATATCCCGAAAGTTTCTTGGCCCACCCTAAACCCTAAACCTTACACCATAAACAATGAACCCTGAACCCTAAACCTTACACCATAAAAGCCCGAATCCCTGTTTGGCCCAAGGCGAAGATTCGCCAGGCCTTCGAGAAGAAGATCACCCCCAACCTGAAGCCTCCAGTCGGCTGCCGCGCTCTCCTTATCCTTCCGATCTCCTGGTTTATTATTATTATTATTATTATTATTATTTTTATTTGTATTTGTTGTTGTTGTTTTTGTTTTTTTTGAGGGGTGAATGGGGGTTTATTTCGTTCCTTCCGATCTCCTGGTTCATGGTTTGTTGATTTTTGTTTCGACTCTTTTGGTGTGAGTTGGCTTTGTTTTGTAGGGTATGTTTTCAAAGGCTCTTGCGAGTTTGTATGCGTACGTGCTTGGGGCTTTGAGGGGTTTAGGGTTTTACAGTCTTTTCGTTGTTCATGGGTTTAAGGGTTGTTCAGGAGTTGCGTCGCATTCGAGATTGGGTCGGGTAAGACTTCGAGTTCAGGGCTGTTTAGGGTTCAGAGCTTAGGTTTCAGGGTTTAGAGTTTAGGGTTTCGGGGCGACATGTGTGTTTGTGGATTCCTGTGGGTCTTTAGTCTCAGGGTTCCAGTCATGAGGCCAGATTCTCTGGAAGCCTAGCTAATTACACCAACCTTATTCCATACAGCGGGTTCCTGGTTACACCTATACCACAACATGCCGCAGAATTCTATTAAGTCTTTAGGCCTTGGACTTGCGACCCAGAGACCCAACAATCGCTCCATGAGGGAATATACCTTAGAATGCATGGGATCCTCATGTTGATTGAAAGCATATTCCATGATGAGGTTTTGGAGTCTTTGGGTGGTGTTTCGGGACGGTAGGGATGCCCTGGTGAGGTATGATAGCTGGAGAGGAAATCTGGCTAGTTAAACCCAAAGGGGCCCTGCAGCCAAAACCGAAGATCACTGCAGCAGCAGTTTTTGATGCCAAGCCCGACACCGTGGACGCAACACATTTGGGTGGGCTAGGGCTGGGTGAGTGGGAAATCCAATGAGGGCGAATAAAGTCCAGATAGCGGGTAGGGTCCCCAAACCCCTCGATCATATAAATGAAAGCCTACCAAGGATCCCCTATGCTTTGAGGTCTATTCCCTTGTTTCGGAGTTTTGTGTCACTGGGTTGAACGGCTTGGAGTTCACGGCCAAGATGGGATCTGTACTGGCTTGTGATTTTGCGATTGGCACAAGTTGATGCAGAAGTCTTAAACGTTCATGTCCCAATGCCTCATTGCCAAACACCTTGTACTACTGGAGAACAGTACAAACACAAACAATGCATGCACCTGAGCCTTAAACCCTCAACCCTAAGGCATTAAACCAAAACTGTCAACTGAACCGACTTTGCGTTGTCTTTCTGTTCAGAGGGGTCCAGAGTGGAATGCTCTAGGAAGTTCGTTTAATCCGCAAAATCTAGAGCTTTGCACGTGCAGTTATGCTACTGTCTTCGGGTGCAAACTTGTTGCTAACGCTTAAAGTTAAGCGAGTTTCCATCGCCTGGCGCTGTCTCCCAGGTGTTCACGTGGTCTACTCTATGGGGGTGCCGACACTGAGCCACATGATCTTCCAAGAGAACTTGCGGAACAAGGTGGGCCGCAAACCGCAAGCTTGAACTTCAAAAGCCTAAACCTTAAACCCTAAACCCTAAACCCTAAACCCTAAACCCTGAAGAAACCCCAAAGCCAAGAGAGAGTCTGCATATTGAGTCGGTCCAGGGCCCCTGATCCCACTGCCAGCAGGTTTAAATGAACTAGCATGACGGGTCCTAACCAAACCGCCCTAAAGCCCCGGGTTTAGGGTCTAGGGGTTTAGGGTTTAGGGTTTAGGGTTTAGGGTTTAGGGAAGCCCTAAAGCCTAAACCCTAAACCCCTCAACTTCTGCTCCCCTAGCATCGAAAGCTGAGCCCGCTGCCAGACGACGTTCTGAGAGCCCAAGCCATCCCTTGCGCTTTGATGGACCACATCGGGGCTGACAAAAAAACGGAATAGTCCTAAACCCTAAACCCTAAGCCCTAAACCCTGAAGGACAGTAGGGCCTGCCAGGCTTCAGAGTGCTCAGGATTCTGCAGGACCTTGTCAGTGCGGGTTACGATGTGGACGTCAGGGTCCAGCGACTGTGCCCTAAAGCCTAAGCCCTAAATCCTTAACCCTACCTTAACCCCAAGTAACCTAACTTTTTTTAAAGATTTGTATAAAGAAATCATATTAGGAAACCCTGAAAAGGTAGGTTCCTTAGAGTCCAGGTAAAGCCTAAACCCCATGGATGGTGGAGGGGGTAATCGATTCAGTGTTTCCCCACAGCGGAGGAACCTCCCTAGACGCGACGTCAGTTTTTCGAGTGAGGCCTCAAATTTCCGCCGGGACAGACAGCTAAACGTCTGATTTTAGAACCGCTGGCTGCATGCAACCCGTCAGCACTAATCCTTAATCCCTACCTTAAACTACCAAACCCTACATTTTTGTAGGTTCTTATTGTAAACCTTAATGCGGAATTCTTAGGTAGGGTTTGGTATGTTAAGGTAAACCGTAAGCCCGTCAGGGTTTAAGGCGACTCGAACCTCTAAACCCTAAACCCTAAACCTTTAGGGGTTAAAGCGACTCGAACCTCTAAACCCCAAACCCTAACCTCTAAACCCTAAACCCTAAGGCGGAGCAAGCTGCATGGGACAGCGGTGATGATACCATCCTCGCCAGCACCGTGGAGAAGATGTGCGAGGTGCCTCTGGCATTTCGGATGTTTGGCACTAAGCCCTAAGCAACTTCTATAATCCCCTAGCCTGAACCTTTGTCATAGTTGGGTAGCATTTTTACATCTTTATGGGTAGTTAAGACACAATAAGGAATAACAATCTAGGTTTTTAACCCTATCCCGACCATGAGCTAGTTTCTATAAACCCCTAACCCTAAACCTTCAGACCCTAAACGGGGTCTCGGCTTATGGGCTTTGTGTTGAGGATCTACAGCGAACTTGCTCTAGAGTTTGGGGGTTTAGGGTTTAGTGGTTTAGGGATAAGGGTTCAGCGGAACCTCCGACCCGCTAGAAATACAGGGGGAAATCTCGAACCCCTCAACCCTCCAGTGATCCTAAACCCTAAACCCTAAACCCTAAACCTTAAACCCCTAAAACCCCAAAACCCTAAAACCCTAAAGCCCTAAACCCTAAAACCCTAAATCCTAAATCCCCAACCCTCCAGTAGGTTCCGAAGCCTTGGGTTAAGGGTTCAGGGCTTCATTTCAAAGCTTCGGGTTTAGGACCAGGGTGCGGAGTTCAGGAGCTTGAACTCGGAGTTTAGGGTTTAGGATTTAGGGTTTCCTAGTAGAGAGTAAATAAACCCTAAACCCTAAACCATGAACTCTAACGGTTGATGATATAAATCCTGCCTTGCCCATAATAGGGCATATACCATAATTCCTATAGTTTCGGGTCCTTAAGGTAATGCAGGATTTATACCATCAACAGAAGTAGCCCTAAACCGAAATCCCTAAGCCGCCTCAGCCAACTGCAACCGCTACAAGTAACCTTGAACTCACCCGATCTCCAACTTTGCGAGGTGTGGAGGGCTGCGGGGGTGTCGGTGCACAAGTACCACGCGGCTTTGCCTGGAAACCTCAGCCCTGAACCCTACAATATTCCTTAATTAAGGAATATACCTTAAATCCATATTAAGGATCCTACTATAATTTGAAGGTATATTCCTTAATCAAGGGATATTGGAGTCTCTGGGTTCCCAGCCCTCAACCCTCAACCTGAATTCCTAAGCTTTACGCTGTAGTGCAAGACAAGGGGGTTTTCCGATACGACCTATGCGTCTAATTGTTGAATGCCTCTGTATCCAAAGTCCGCGATTTGCGGCTTGATGGTTAGGGTTCATGGTTCCAGGGGTTCAGGGTTCAGAAGCTCATGGTTGAGGGGTGCAAGGTTCAGGGCTCAAGCTTCAGCGTTTGGAAGTTTACAAGGCTGGGGTGTATGATTTCGGGTTTAGCAGTGTCTTAGGGGTACTTAGAATTAGTTGTTAATTTTTGGTTATTATAATCCCTAAGAAACAGCTAAAATTATAATTTTTGCTAGGGTTCTAAGTTCAGTATAGGTGTCGGGTGCAAGGTTTGAGGGTTGGGGATCAGCGGACCAGGATTCGAGTTGGCTTTGGGCGGAAAGGGCTGCTGTACGGGTTACTATACGGGTTAGGCTTTTGTGTTTTGGTCTGTATGGTTCGCAGTGAAGGAATGCGGGTTTAGGGCGTGCTCCAGCTTTGTAAAGCGCCTTTTTTTGACGATGTCGCGGTCGTTTTGAGGTCACTCCAGAACCCTAAACCCTAAGCATTGCTCTGCAACTTCGCAGCAAGGATTCTCGGAGTCAGGATTCAAGCGCCCTTAACCCCAACGCCTAAGCCAAAGCCCGGGGCCCTGAATGCCGAACCCACCGAAGCCCGAAACGCAGAAGTGCACAGGGTCGAATATAGGGGCCTCAATAACTAGAATCCGGTTTCCTTTTAAGGGATCCTTAGAGGGGTCTATAAGGGATCTATAGTAGGGTTCTATGATCTAGGGGCCTTAATGGGTTCATCTCCGAGAGGCCCACAAGATCCACCACAAGGAGCTCATCACGTGCCCTGTCTGCTGAAATCGCTGAGCTCCCACGTAGTAGGCAGCTTAGGGGCTTAGGGGTTCCGGGTTTAGGGGTTAGGGTTTCGGGTTTAGGGTTTAGGGGTTTAGTGTTTAGGGTTTAGGGTTTAGGGGTTTAGGGTTTAGGGTTTCGGGTTTAGTAAAGGGTGCTGAGCAGGTTCAGGTTCAGAGATGCCAGAGGCTTCAGGGACCTAGCATCCGCGGGGTTCAAGGGGCGGCTTGGAGCCTTCGGGGTTGAACTGCACGCTCGAATGGGTATACTGTGGCCTTTCAGGCTCATGTCGGATTGTGGCACGGATACCAGGGTTGATGATAGCGTCAGCCATGAGTGCAGTCATGGATCTCCATAACAATGGAAGTTGTAATATCAAGGCCATACCAGGGCGACAGTGACAACCACGACCTCAACGACGACGACAACTGCGATGATAACTCCTACTTCTGTTCGTTCTGCGACCCCTCCTCATACTCCGACTACTGCGTCCATTACTGCTTGATGATACCTATTATATTAAAGCAACTACGACTAAACGACGACGACGTTGACGACGACGACGACGACTACTACTATTGAAAAAACAACAACAACAACAACAACAACAACAACAACTACTACTACTACTACTACTACTACCACTACTACTACTACTACTACTACTACTACTACTACTACTACTACTACTACCACCACGACTACTACTACTACTACTACTACCACTACTACTACTACTACTACTACTACTACTACTACTACTACTACTACTACCACCACGACTACTACTACTACTACCACTACCACTACTACTACTACTACTACTACTACTACTACTACTACTACTACTACTACTACTACTACTACTACTACTACTACTACCACTACTGCTACTACTACTACTACTATTACTACTACTACTACTACTACTACTACTACTACTACTACTACTACTACTACTACTACTACTACCACTACCACTACTACTACTACTACTACTACTACTACTACTACTACTACTACTACGACGGCGACTGTGTCGACTGCTGAGAGTCGATTGGATCCTGGGCCCGAGACTGGGGAAGGCCGAACCGAAGGCCTCGTAGAGCCGCGTTTCGCCAGTTCGTCAGGGTCCCTGGGGGGGCCCAGGGCTCCCCCAAAGGGATCCGTAAAGGGGCTTGCAAGGCTTATGTAAGGGATCTATAGTAGGGTACTGGGATATAGGGGCCTTAATAATTCAAACAGGGTTTCCTGTGAAGGGATCCTTAAAAGGGTCTGTAAGGGATCTCTAGTAGGGTGCTATGATATAGGGGCCTTAATAATTCAAACAGGCTTTCCTCCAAAGGGATCCTCAAAGGGGTCTGTAAGGGATCTATAGTAGGGTACTATACTATAGGGGCCTTATTTTTTGGAATAGGGTTTTGGGGCCCATTACACAAAATTCATGATAAGGAGCTCCCAATTATAGTCTTCGTAATTATTTAGGACCCGTATTACATGATACCGACACCCCAAACCCTAAACCCCAAGCCCCTAATCCCCAAACACCGCTAGCCCAAACCCTGAAACCTAAACCCTAAACCCCAAACCCTAAACCTTAAAGCCCAAACCCTAAACCCAGGTGCCCGTACATGATGAAGGTTATGAAGCGCCTTGGTGACATCGATGTATGAGCTTTGCAGCTAAGCCTTGGGGTGCTCCAGGCTTGCGCATGGGCCTTTGCCGTTCAAGCTTGGGGTGTTGAGGGTTTTCGGATTCGCACCAGGTTTGCTCCTCTTCCTTGAGCTGAGATGTGCAAGCGGGCAAGATTCACGCAAGATCATTCCTACACGATTCACACGACCTCGTTGTAGTATACTTACTCTCCATGTCCCTGCAACATTCAACCTTTAAGTAATAATTGTACAGCCTCCCCACAACCCCAAAAGAGAACCCCTGAAGCCTACAGCCTCCAATCTTAGAGCCCGTCGCGTGCAGCTGCCGTGCAACTAAGTGAAGTGATGGAGCACGGCGGCGGCGAAGAAAGCTCTGAGGTCGGGTTTAGGGTTTAGGGTTCCGGTTAGGGGTACTTGACTTGCTTTACGCATCTTACTACTTAATTTTATGTTAGTTTCTGAAAATTGCATACGAGCTACAGCTACAGTCAATGTTGGGGGTTCTGGGCTTTCGGGTTCGGTTTGCTACGGGTTCATGGGTGTGGAGTGTTTAGGGTTTTGCGGGTGTAGGCGGTTTTTAGGGATTATGTCTTATGGGCCTTATCAGCATGCTTGCTGCAGTATGCAACTACGTCCTTTTGAGCTTATCGATGATGTTGACCGCTTTCATCCTAGGTAGGCCAGGAGTTATGTTAAGGCTTTGGTGGATGTATGTAGGGCTCGTAAGGGTGGTCTTCTGGGGATACTAGTACCACCGGCCTTGCTTCGGGGTTCTGGAGTTTACAATTGCAGTTGTGGCGGGTTTGTGTGGATAGTTTAGTATCCTAATCATGGTTTTTCATTCACAATAGTCTTGTAGTTATAATATATATGTATATATATATATATATATATGTATATATATGTATATTCTGTGTATATAGCAAAGCATAGTTTAGTATAGTATAGTAGGGCGTCCTCCACAGACTTATTCTAGCAATCAAGGCCCCAATGTCAGGCAGAAGATTTCTGCTTGCAGTGCCCGCTTAGGGGTAGAAAGAGATTGGTCTTACGAGTTGGGGTTTAATAAACTGATCGGAGTATTCAAAAAATCGTCCAGTATAGTCCCTACTATGCGTGTACTAGACTATGATGTAACCCAAAGAAGCACCATTGAAGTCATTAATGTCCCGAAATTAGGGTGTAGGTGATCGGGTTCAGGCTTTGAGGGCTTAGGCTTGCGTGTGCGCAGTACGAAGCGGAAGAAGACGAGGACGATCCTGCTTGTGGCTGTGCCTCGTCTGTGTCATCTGTTTAAGGTTGACGGTGTTCGCTTCTCGCTTGCGGCTTTCGTCTTTAGTGCTTGGGTTAGGGGCATAGGTTAGAGTGTTCTTTCTAGAAGTTCAGTCCCGAAAGGGCTCTGTGAAGGCAGGCGGAGGGTACAGAGCTCCGGTATGGGACTTAGGGGAGTTTGATGAGACTATACTCTGCTTTTCTACAAGATACTCTATGCTAGATGCTAGATTCTGCCAGATGCCCATAGTCTATTATATTACACTATACTACACTCTTTCGTATTATTTCTTCTCTACCAGACTACGCTTTATATCTGAGCGTACCACCATACTGTATCACGCCAATCACCAAACAGGTTTCAAGGGCTTTCAGGGCCTTTGAGGGAGCCCTCTAGATCCCTTAAAGGAACCCGAGGGATCCCTTAAAGTAGTTTAAAGGAGCCCAATAGATCCCTTTCAGTAGCCCTATAGATTTTCAGAGACTCCAATATCCCTTAATTAAAGACTATTCCTCAAATTTTGGTAGGATCCCTTATATGATTTTGGTAGGATCCCTTATATGATGTTGGTAGGATCCCTTATATGATTTAAGGTATATTCCTTAATTAAGGGATATTGGAGTCTCTGGGTCCCTTCAAGGAGCCCTATAGAGCCTTTGAGGGGGCTTTGGGGTTGCTCTTAGCAGAGCTCCCAGAGGTCTGGAGAGCCGACGGCGTTCCCTAAAAACCCATTTTTGAATGTACGGTTTAAGGGCTTAGGGTTTAAGGTTTAAGGGTTCAAGGTTTTGGGCTTAAGGTCTAGGGTTTAAGGCTTAGGGTTTAGGGTTCAAGGTCTAGGGTTTAAGGTCTAGGGTTCAAGGTTTAGGGTTTAAGGTTTAGGGTTTAGGGTTTAAGGTTTAGGGTGCAGGGTTCAAGGTTTAGGGTTGAAGGTCTAATTGCAAGGAGCAGGCCGAAAATGGCCTTCAAAGAGAAAGAAACGGACCGCTACAGCGGCCTGAATAAATACCGAGGGTTCCCTTCAAAGGAGTCTGTAAGGGCTACAATAAAGGCTACTATAAGGGCATTATATAGGGGAGTTGATAATTACCTAAACCATTTTGGGGGTTCCTTATTATACATATCTATAATGGCCCCCCAAAACCCTATTCTAATTATTGGAACTTCCAGCATGACCCCTGCGCAAGGCTGACACGCATGCAGGCCTTTTTTGCTCAGCGTATATAAAGTTGTTGCGTGCTTTCGGGGTTTAGTTCCAGGGTTGAGCCTAGAGTCCCAAGCATAGGAACCCAGGTTCCTCTAAAGGCCTTCCCGGTAATTCCCTGAAAAGACTAATTATTACGGCCCCTATATTGGGTTTAGCAAACGGGCACCAGCAGACGCACATGTAAACAGCAAAGATGCGTGAACAGAAATCTCAGTTTTAGAACCCTTAAATGTCCAGGGGCGAGCTACTTGGAGGATCATGGGACTTAGTAAGTCAGGTTATACGTATTTTAAGCTTGTAAGTGCTTATAAGTATAGTTACCTTATTTCAACCCCAGTTACTAAGTCCCATGATCCTGGAAGTAATGTAGGAGTCGAAGTAATTAGTAGCGGCATCCCCTTATAGTCCCCAATCTTGAAAACTCTAGTATAACCCAGCACCCTGTTCAAATTACTGAAGCTTCTATGGGGGTAAGGGCCCGAAAATAAGGTACCCCCAATTTTCGGAAACTCCCCTATCGCAAGCCCGATTGCAGCCTTGAGGTTGATATGAAGTGACCTCCGCAGTGACGTCGTTGCGGTGAGGATATTCCCAGGTTTAGGGTTTAGGGTTATTATTGAAGGTGTCTCTTGGGGTTTGGGCTAATATCGGGGCGGCCTCAATAATTACCAATACTACTGTGGGGGTTCCTTATGATGATTACAGTATAATATACCCCCAAACCCTTAGTCTAATCATGAATAAAGGCGCCTATAGTATCAGGAGTTATGATCTGCGGGGTAGACTTCCGAAAGTTGAAATATAGTTTCTTCAGCTCAGCGAAGGCTGAGCCTGATCGGCGGAGCTAGTTGAGCTCGCCTCAACACGCAAAACGTGGTGTAGCTGCCCGGGTTTTCACAGCGTGTTGGTTGGTTCAAAAGATGCCAATGCGGCGACTGTACCCACTGCTTGGGCGTTCGGTGCAAAAGGTGTTTGCGTGCAACAGAGTAGCAGCTGCAACAGTTGGAGGAGTAGTACTGGTGCGGTAGCTGCGCCAGCACTAGAAGTTAGTGGTAGCAGTGGGAGTCGTAGCGGGAGTAGTAGTGGTTGTAGTAGTAGCAGTAGCAGTAGCAGTAGCAGTAGCAGTAGCAGTAGCAGTAGCAGTAGTAGCAGCAGCAGCAGCAGCAGGAGTAGTAGCAGTAGTAGTAGTGGTAGCAGTAGTAGTAGGAGTAGTAGGAGTAGGAGTAGGAGTAGGAGTAGGAGTAGGAGTAGGAGTAGGAGTAGGAGTAGGAGTAGTAGTAGTAGTAGTAGTAGTAGTAGTAGTAGTAGTAGTAGTAGTAGTAGTAGTAGTAGTAGTAGTAGTAGTAGTAGTAGTAGTTGTAGTGGTAGTGGTAGTGGTAGTGGTAGTGGTAGTGGTAGTGGTAGTGGTAGTGGTAGTGGTAGTGGTAGTGGTAGTGGTAGTGGTGGTGGTGGTAGTGGTGGTGGTGGTGGTGGTGGTGGTGGGGGTGGGGGTGGTAGTGGTAGTGGTAGTGGTAGTGGTAGTGGTAGTGGTAGTGGTGGTGGTGGTGGTGGTAGTAGCAGTAGCAGTAGTAGTAGTAGTAGTAGTAGTAGTAGTAGTAGTAGTAGTAGTAGTGGTAGTTCTACTACCACTACTGGTAGTACATTATGATCGTCATCATGCCCACTGTCCGCGTCATAGTACTATTACTATTACTGTTATTATTGCTATTGCCATTACTACTAGTATTAGTATTATTATTATTAGCATGATTCTTATTCTTGTTATTACTACCATTATTATCAATACGTCTATTTGTGTTATTATTATTTGTCGCGGGCATGAGCATTACTGGAGTGTTGTCACCACCATGTGACGTCTATCACCGTTGTCGCAAGTAATCGCCATGTTGAATATCAGTAGCAACATTATATCATCGCCATCATCACTACCGCCATCCCGACCATCACCACCATCGCCACCATCACCACCATCACCACCATCACCACCATCACCACCATCACCACCATCACCACCATCACCACCATCACCACCATCACCACCATTACCACCGTCGCCACCATCGCCACCATCGCCACCATCGCCACCATCGCCACCATCGCCACCGCGACCATCACCACTCTCACCACCCTCACCACCCTCACCACCCTCACCACCCTCACCACCCTCACCGCCCTCACCACCCCCACAACCCTCACCACCACCCTCACCACCACCCTCACCACCACCCTCACCACCACCCTCACCACCACCCTCACCACCACCCTCACCACCACCCTCACCACCACCCTCACCACCACCCTCACCACCACCCTCACCACCACCCTCACCACCACCCTCACCACCACCCTCACCACCACCCTCACCACCACCCTCACCACCACCCTCACCACCACCCTCACCACCACCCTCACCACCACCCTCACCACCACCCTCACCACCACCCTCCCACCCTCACCACCCTCACCACCCTCACCTCACCACCCTCACCACCCTCACCACCCTCACCACCCTCACCACCCTCACCACCCTCACCACCCTCACTGCCCTCATCACCATCACCACCATCACCACACTCACCACCCTCACCACCCTCGCCACCCTCACCACCCTCACCACCCTCACCACCCTCACCCCCTCACCACCCTCCCCACCACCACTCTCTCGTCGTTATCATCGTGATCTTGTTTTCATTGCCATCTTCATGAGCAAAAGCTGGCTTTAGCATCACTGTCATTTCGGCATCAGCATAGGCAGCATCTTACGATCTTCTACCTCCTCCTCCTCCTCCTCCTCCTCGTCCTCGTCCTCCTCCACCTCCTCCTCTTCCTCCTCCTCCTCCACCACAAAATCTTTATCTCGATCATCATGCTCATCATCGTCATCTCCTTTCTTATCATCCTCGTCGTTCTTATCATCCTTAGCACCAGGTCATGTGAGATTTCCACGAGCCGCACGTCTGGGGGTCTATCCTGAAACTTGTTTCTGTGGTTGCAGGGTGCCTGTCCGTCATGTGCAACTGGGAGTTTCCGAAAATAGGGGGGACCCTAATATAGCACCCTAAATAAACATCAGGATCCTAATTTTAAGGACCCCCATAATAAGGTACCCCTGATTTTCAGAAACTCCTAAACGCTTCGTAGAACCCTTATAGATCTCTTTAGAGGAACCCTTAGAGGATCCCTTTTCAGGTACCCCCCAATAAATTCGGAAACTCCCAGCTGGCAGTCGGCTCCACAAGGGGAATTTGGTGGCTCAGTGCTGCTGGTCGCAAGTACAAACCCTAAACCCTAAACCCTTTTTTTTCCCCGAAATGAGCCGGAAGATGCGCTTGTGTTCCATAATTGGATGGTTGTCAAAATTAGGGTTCCTTTTTGGGTCCCCATTATAGTACGGCACCTATTATTTAGGGTACCCAAAGAGGGATCCTAATTTTGACAACCACCCAATTCTGTCATGCCAGGGTTGAAAGATGCAGTGGAACATGTCCGCAATGCCGATCGTGCTTGCCGACTTTGCAGATGCGCTGGCCAGCCTGCTTGGTCTCCGCATGCTGCGTCTCGCCAGCTGTTCCAAAGCCTGCCAGCACGCCTTCGACCACGACCCACGAATTTGGGGCGCGCTGCTTCAGTATGAAATCAACTTTCGGAACATCCAAAATAGAGATGCTGTGGCAACGTCGATCTTTAAGCGACTTCCGTCGACGGCGAAGTACTTGAAGCTACCTGGCGGCAAGAGGTCGCACACAACTCCATTTCTAGTGGTCAAGTGGTCAAGTGAAGCAATAAACCCTAAACCCTGTCATCCCTCCTCTTTCTATTCCCCTGACCGCCAAAACGTGGGTGTAGAGAGAGTTTTTCAAGAGGGTTTTGCTGCCCAACGATGCCATCAGTTCTTCAAATGGCACAATGATAGTTGGGCTTAAGGCTTCGGGTTGAGATTGTAACAGCCAGCTCTGCAATATCCCTACAGTCACTACATAGCTATTTTCGCATCCCCCGAGGCCCTGTTCTAACTACTGTTGATGATATAAATCCTGCATTACCCTAAATAAGGAATATACCATAATTCCCATAGTTTAGGGCCCTTAAGGTAATGCAGGATTTATATCATCAACCGTAGTAAGGCTTGCTGTCAACTCGAATAACACCATATGAAATCCTATCAATTCCTCATCCCTCAGCATTTCTCTTGAAGCCCCCTCTACCCTAAACCCTGAACCCTAACTCCTGTATCGTCACGGTTTTCGTTGCAAGGGCCATGACTTGTTTTATGGGTTTTGACACTCGGTGCATGACAGCCCCAACTGTTTTCAACCTCGAGTTCTGGACGTTAAGCTGCAGCCTAAAGTGATCTGTATAGGCCCCTAAGCTGCAAGCTCCTCCACCCTAAACCCTAAACTGCCGAGAAGGGGCCCCCCACCCAGCGTCTCGTCAGGACGGTGAGGGAGGGCAAAGTCTTTCAAAATTCTGGGGGAACCCAGAGAACCCAATGCCCCTTATTTAAGGAATATACCTTAAATGATAGATGCCTTAATATTCTGATTTAAGGTATATTCCATAATTAAGGGGTATTGGGATCTCTGGGAAGAACTGGCCTCCTTGCCACTTTTGTTGTGGATTTCCTGGATTTCTGCCCGACCCTTACAGGGTGCAGGGCGTTGCTTGTTGGAAACTCTCCGTTCTCGTTGAGCGGCGGGCACAGGCCGCGAGGACCCGCAACCCGACCAATCAATCATTTCAGCTGCGGTTTGCCGTGAAATGTGGCGATTATGCGGCGAACTGCGAAGGGAAGCAGGGAGCAAGAAAACCCCCCTTGAGGAGGGTTTGGGGCGTGAACCCCAAATCCTAATTCAGAATGGTTGGAGTGTTATAAGTAGGGTTATAAGTCCCCGAATATGGGTTATAAGTATAGTTACCCTGCATATAACCCTACTTATATGACGCAAAACGCGCGATAAGCGGGTGCGCCCCTATTCCTAAAGAGCAATCCGCACTCGCTGCGCGCACATTGTATGTGCTCCCTCTGCCCTAAACCCTAATCCCTAAACCCTAAACCCCATCCCTCAACCTCAACCCGAAACCCTAAAGCCTAAACCCGAAATCCTAAAGCTTTAGTTTAGGGTTTAGGGTTTAGGGTTTAGAGTTTTGGGTGGAAAAATTAAAAGCCTTAGAGTCCTAAAGCCTTAAAGCCTTAAACCCTAAACCCTAACCCTAAACCCGAAATCCTAAAGCCTTAAAGCCCTAAAGCCTAAACCCTAAACCCTAAAACAGAAATCCTAAAGCCTTAAACAGAAATCCTAAAGCCCTAAACCCGAAATCCCAAAGCCTTAGCTTAGGGTTTAGGGTTTAGGGTTTTGAGTGAGAAAAAAAAGCCTTAAAGCCTTAAAGCCCTAAACCCGAAATCCTAAAGCGTTAAAGACCTGAAAAAAAAGCCTTAAAGCCGGGCCTTTGGTGGCGAGGCTCGATCTGGGCAACTGTTGTTGGAAGCGGGAGGGCGATATCATCAGCGACGAGACGTTTAGGCGCCTGAGGTTTAGGGATTAGGGCTGAGAAAATTTGGGGTTTAGGGGTTTAGGGGTTCAGAGGTTTAGAGGTTTAGGGATCAGGGCTGAGAAGTTTCGGGGTTTAGGATTTAGAGGTTTAGGGATTAGGGTTTGGGGTTTAGGATTTCGGGTTAGGGTTTGGGGTTTAGGGTTTAGGGTTAGGGATTAGGGTTTAAGGATTAGGGTTCGGGGTTTAGGCTTTGTAAGAGAGTGTATAGGGTTCAGGTCCGGGGTTTTGTGTGGGTTTTGACCCGGCTCTGACCGCGTTTTGCCTTTCGAAATGTCATTGTTGGTCAGACATCGGAGTAGAAAGTGCGGCAACGCACACGTGAAAACAAGCAGTGTCTATTTATCCTGGGTTGAGGGTTTAGGGTTTGGGGTTTAGGTTTTGGTTTTGACAGCCCTTCCACTTCGAGCAGAATGACTTTCGCAAGAGTATATGTATATATATATATATATATATACATATATATATATATATATATATGTGTATGCGCGCAATCACAACACCCAACACTTCCTTTTTCAACCCGAAACCCCGTAAATTTTGAGAGCTAGGCCAAGCGCCAAGAGTTCCAGAGTACTGTCCAGGTCGGAAAAACTATTGATTGTATCGCCTTATAGTCCCCACTAGAGTAGTACCATCAAAACACCTTCAGATCCCCTATTCTGATGATTACGAGCCCTATATCATAGAGCCCTTATAGTTCACCCTTGCAGAACCCTTTGAAAGAACTCTTAAAGCAACTCCGTTCTAATTATGAAGGCTCCGATATTTGTTGAGGGTTTGGAAAATCCTGGAGTCGACTGAGAGGATCGGAGGGGACTTCCCAAGTAGGGCTTTGAATGGACGGGGCACTGTTAAGGGTTCCTTTAAAGGGGTCTAGGAATACTATCAGGAATTGTAGAGTATAGGCTTCTTATGAAAACTCAACTACCGTTGCAATCGCCCTAGGTACTAAGCCCCCTAAGCATTGTGAGGCCCTAACTGCGAAGCTTGCAACCGCACTTGCAGGCATCCGTTACCTTACCCAGAGACTCCAATATTCCTTAATTAGGGAATATTCCTTAAATCATATTAAGGATCCTACTATACTTTAAGGAATATTCCTTAATTAAGGTATATTGGAGTCTCTAGGTAAGGCGCCTGAGGCTTGGGTTTTGGGACTTCGCTTAGGGTTTGGGGTTCAGGGCAGGGGTTCCTACTGGCCAACGCCTTATGCCACCCCAAGCTCAACTTACCCTAAGCCTTGAACTGCCTAGAGACTCCAATATACCTTTTTTAAGGAATATTCCTTAAATTATAGTAGGATCCTTAATATGATTTAAGGAATATTCCCTAATTCAGGAATATTGGAGTCTCTGGGTGCAAGCCTCGAACCCCTTAACTTCAACCCTAAACCCCACCATCCTGAACCCGCAGACTCGACGCCAAACACGCACAAGTCCCAGAAATCCTGATTTGAGAGCCGAAGCCCCTGATCCCAAGTCATAAACTATAACTCCAAGCTTTAAGCCCCAAGCCCAAGCCCTAAATCCTAAACGCCAATCCCTAAACTTTGATCTCTAGACTCTAAACCTTAACCCAAAGCCCGAAGCTCTAAACCAGTAGGCTGCTGGTGCGGAGCATTCCGAAGTCTCTTCACGAGCTCTCCCTGATGTACATGAGGTCGGGTGTGATTCTGGGATTTCTCAAGTGTTATTTTTGAATATTTGTTTTGATCATTTGAGGCTAAGGTTTTGGAGTTTAGGGTTTAGCGCTTTGGGCTTGAGAGTTTGTGGCGGGGCTTGAGGGCTTTCGGGTTTATAGTCTACGAAGGGGAGGAAAGGGGGAGGAAAGGTTATTTCGTGGGTACTGACCCAATTTCAGCGGCTGAGGATCCAGGCAGGGCCTAGGGTTTGCAGATGCAGAGTTGAGGATCTAGAGGTTGGGGCTGCGGATTAATCTTTCTTTTTTGGGCTTGGGGTTTTCAGGTTTTGGGTCAGTGTCGAAACTCCGGTGTACTTAAGCCGTAGGGGTTCGTTAAAGAGTTGGAGTTATTGAGAGCCACCTTGATAACTCTTGGATGACTGTCATGAATCATGAAGATAACCAAAAATCATTTATCAGCAGAGCATGAGGCTTTGAAGTTGTGGTGAAAGGTTTGGGCTTCAGGTTTGGGGTGCTTTAGCGGGCTTAGTGATGTGTGGTCGTCAAGCAGCGACTTCCTTCCTTCAGTTGCCAAGAGAGGGTCCGACAAAGGGGACGGGTTTTGGGGTGATTGGGGACATGAGTCTGAGGCGCGAAAGTTTCAGATGACTTGTGACTTGTGCATCCCTCGAAAGTTTGCCTACTCTTTGAGCGAATCGTTCAGCTAAGAATGGAGATAGCCCGTTCAATGGCCTGCAGAAACTGATGATACTTGGAGGCCAATATGTCCAGTAACTGTACAGGAAAGTCACATGGGCTCGGACACCTTCGTGTGATGTTTCGCGGCTCACTTGCAAAACTAAGCATGTTGTCGCAGCATGCACAGTCCTCGGTAGGGGCCTAAACAAGCTGCGGAACTCACCTTCTTTTGTGAAAATACAACTATTCGCAACATCATCCTGCAATTGCGTGATCTGTCGGATCCAGAGAATAGTGTCTTGGGGTGCCTGATAGTATGTCTAGCTATATATTAATTACAAGAACCCGGAGGAACAGTATTGGTATTCTTTGGCCACTTATATTGCCACTCTAGGCATGGAGTTCGGCGTGTCCGAGCAAGGTGGAGGAGACAACGTTTTAGCCCGCCTGCAGGCACGGGCAGGACACAGACTGGTGGGCATGCACTACGCCCACAGGCTCCAACTGTGCAGTTGTGACGCTCTGGCGGCGAGTGGCCAACACCCGCGGGAGCTGGAAGCGCGCTTGAAAAGCTTGCAGCGACACTTGAAGGCTTCGCCTGCTTCCAAGATCGACTTGATCTTATGGGCTGAGCTTTGTCACGGAGCCTGGTACGTTCTGGCACCCTACACTCACCTGCAAGCCTGAAACTCTTAACCTCAAGCCCAAACCCACACCCAATACATCAAACCCTGTCGCCTGAAGCGATAGAAACCCCAAACAAAAGAAGCGATAGAAACCGTGCACATGAACTACTCTTTGAAGCCCTCAAGAAGCTCTGTGAAAAACCCTAAACCCCAAACCCTAAACCCAAGCCAGCTCAAGTGCGGCCCTTAAACACCACCCTAGAGGACCATGAGCTGCAGACCCAAAGCCTCAGCTGCCCAGAGACTCCAATATCCCTTAATTAAGGAATACACCTTAAATCACATTAGGGATCCTACTACATTCTACAAGGTATATTCCTTAATTGTGGGATATTGGAGTCTCTGGGCTTACCCCTAAACCCCAAACCCCTTTATAGAACCCTTATAGGTCCGTTGTAGGAGCCCTTATAGATCCCTTTAAAGGGTCTCTGGCTGTCTTCTTTCAGGCCACGAGGGAAGGTGTGCAGCGCTCTCGGTGTGGACTTCGCCAGGAGAGAGACGGAAGTTCAGTGCTTCGGTTTGTCGTTTAGAGCTTAGGGCCTTAAGGTAAAAGCCAGAAAGTTGGAATATGATTATCTTAAACCCTTTATGGTAAATTATAGGGTATCCTACCCTGAAACCATATTCCAACTTTCTGGAGTTCCCTGTAAGGGGTTTATGGTATGAGGTGTTGGGGCTTGTGTGGTCAACTGCGGGGTTTCGGGTATAATCTTAGGGCTTGAGAGGCTTGAGACCTCAAAGCCCTCACTCCTATAAAACCTAAACCCTAACCCCATCCTAAATCGTAGTATAAATCGTAAGTCATCATCCCCATCCCCAACCCCTAAAACCTTACGCCCTCACCCCCTAAGCCTTAAATCTTCATGATCCGTACCCTGAACCCCAAGATCTTCGCCTCGTGGTGCGGGAGCCCGCTTAAGCAGGAACCTTTCAGGAGGGGGCTGGCGGTTTAGGGTTTAGGGCTTGGGGTTTAGGGTTCAGGGTTTAGGGCTTAGGGTTTAGGGCTTAGGGTTTAGGGTTTAGGGCTTAGGGTTTAGGGTTTCGGGGGGGGGCGTAAACCCTAAACCCTGAACCCTAAACCCTGAACCCTAAATGCAGTGTGGAAGCTGCAGAGCTGCAGGTTCCGATTTGGACATAGAGGCTCAGGCTTGCCTGTATTGGCCTGTATTGCTATTACTGCAGATGTCTAGTGAGTCTAGTGTTTTCATAATCCAGAATTGCTATTACTACAATTACAAGTATAATTACTATTATTATTATTACTACTACTGTTGATATTATTCTCATTCTTACATTATTGTTACAGTTAATTGCCACCACTACCGCTATTACGACTACCACGATTGTTACGATTATTTCGATAGTTTCACGTCGTATTGTTTCTGGTGTTCTCATGTAGTACATCTGCTAGTATTGCTGTTATTATTACTATTACTTTTGGTTTTGGTCTTACTAAGGTTTTCTTTATTATCATTGTTACTTTTGCTTGTAATACAAGGGTTGACACTCTTTTTGTCACTGTTATGAAGTTTAATACACGTATTACTAATGTTACTGTTGCACTTGTTGTTACTATTATGTACTATCCTGAGTATTATTTATTATTGCCATGGTTACTATGAGGACCACGATTACTATGATTACCATGATTACTATGCGTATTATTCTGGTTAGTATTGTTGTTTTTATCATCAATGAGCACTATCGTTTCTACGGTCATTCCTAGTACGAGTATTCGTATTATTCCTAATACTATTGATATTGCTATTGTCTCAGGGTTTCGAGTCTTTGGGGTCCGGAGGGGTTTTGGGTGGTCGAGGTGAGGTAGGGGAGGCGTTGTAATTAACGATTTTGCAGGGCTTAGGCTTCTGAAGTTTCGATGCTGCATACCTGAGATGTAAGTGCTGCTACGCTGTCTGTACGCGCAAACCCGCAACACCGAGCCTTCAACCCCAAACCCAAAATCTCTTCGCCGCAATTCCTTCCTGCTGCATGCACGAAGTAGGGTTTAGAGTTTGTTTTCGGGGTCGATTTTATCAGGGTTCTTGCTAAGGAGCTTACCTTACGTCCCTCACCATACCTGATCACGCACCCGGAGTGCTTGCCTAGACCCTGAGAAATGAGACGCAAATTCCCGCGCACCGAAGACTAAATCCTAAATTTGGAGTCTCGGACTTCCACGCCCCAATTCTTGAACCCCAAGCAGTAGGGACTGGAAGGCTCCGGAGCACCAATCCCTAAACCCCTAAATCACTTGCAGGAGCGCACACATGCACCACCATCCAAAAGTCCCAACGACAGGCAGAGCTGAAGCAAAGAGACGTCACGGTTTAGGGTTTAGGGTTCCCGAAACCCTGAACCCTAAACCGTCCTAACCCCTAAACCCTAAACCGCAAATCTGTAGTAAATCTGCAGGAGCTTGCCTAGCAGCCTACGGAAGCTGGAGCTCTTCGTCGACCTGTCACGGGAAGCGACGCTGACACTGTTGGGGTGATCCGGCTTAGAAATCAGGGGCTGCAAAAGGTAAGATGAAGGTCGGTGGGGTAATCCCAAATAAGGGTCCTGATAGAAGGGGATCCTTAATCCACCTACCATAGGTACCTAGATAATTACCTATACTATTTTGGAACTTCCTTATTATACTTACAGTATAATATGCCCCAAGTATAAGCTTTCTCCCACCTTTTGCCGCTTCCCAAGAAAGAGCAGCCCCAGCACTGTTGCTGTAGTTCGTGTTTGTTGAGTTTCTATGTCTTGCCTTCCATTCTCTAGCACTGCTTCGACTGTCTTTGTTTATTAACTGGCTTTTTTAGTAATCGCTGGCTGAGTTATCATGGCTTTTGGTAGGGGTTTAGAGGAAGGGGCCTCCTTGTCCCGAAGCTCTTGTCTAATTAAGTGGTATCCGCCTGTATTAAACCGAAATATAAGAACCTCTGACTTGGAAGCATAGTATATTCTACTTCTGACAAGGAATCCAGAGGAAGAGTATTTGAGTATTATATCATTAGTACTTCCTCCCACACCTATATAAACCGCAGAGTCTAGGCCCAACAAAGCAGGACTAAGCCTGAGACCATTTAAGGGTTTTGGGCGTTTATAGTTTAGATGCACGGGACCGGAGAGAGTATAGCATTCGGGTGTAGGGTTCTGTTTCATGGTCTCGGGCGTGGGCTTGGGCAGTAAGGCACCGTCTTGGATGGGGTACAGCATCAGGTGGGATAGTGTGCAGAGGTACACGGGCTTTGGGCTTGTTTCTACCAGGGGTAGGGCAGTCTCAGACCCCGAAGCCCTTGTTAGCGAAAGCTGAAGAAAGCTTGTCCAAAAACCTTAGCACGACAACAAACACAAGACTTTAAGACCTTTACCCAGACCCCCGGCAGGATCCAAAAAGTAGATCCCTTATGGAGGTTCCTACAAACTACCCTTAGTAGTATATGGCCCCAAATTAGGGGGTCCACTTTCTAGATACTCCCGAGGGTCTGGGTAAGGGCTGGGGGTGTAGGGTTTGCGGGGTTTTGGGACCAGAGAAACACTCACACGAAACCTTCTGGGAACGCTCAAGCCAGGTCCAAAACCGGTTTTGGGACCTTCGGCCTTGCCTACGAATTCCATTAAATACAGGGGCCGAAATCATTACTTATACGATTTCGGGGGTTCCTCAGTATAATCATAGTACAACATACCCAGAAACCCTGTTCCAATAATTAAGGCCCCTATGGTAGAGTTTAAGTTAAAGTTTCTATGTGATTGAGAGGTTTAAGCTTTAGGGTTGTCAGAAAAGCAGTTTCTCAGCCTTAGGCTTATATTGAAGGTCCGGATGATTCGAGGGCAAAGGCGACAATCGGACTGTGGCACGCCTAGGGTCTAGGACTTAGGCTCTAGGGTTCAGGATGTAGGCCTCTCGGCTAGGATTTAAGCGATTGGTTGTCCGAAGGAGCATTTTACAAGCGTTAGGGTTGTCTACAAGGCATTTGGAAGGTTCGGAAGATTCGTGGGCAGAGGCAAAAAATCGCATTGTAACTCTAGGGTCCAGGATTTAGGTTTGAACATTTAGACTTTAGGGTTGTCTGCAGCATGTTCGAGACCAAGACACCGGCAACACGTCGTACTTCTTAGAGTTTGGCTTTTCGAGACCACGACACTGGCAACACATCTTACATCCTTTTAATTGGGCAGCACTTTCGAGACCAAGACAGCGGCAACAAATCGTCTTAATGTTCTGTTTAGGGTTTCGGGTTCTTGGCTTTAAAGGTTCGAGACTTTAAGCGCTTAAGGTTTAAACGAATTAAGATGGTTTCTTAATGTTATGGGGATCTGTGGGTGGGTGGGGTGGTTTCCGATACCAAAGTAGCTTGACCAGAGGTTGCTACACTCTAAACCCTAAACCCCAAACCCTAACCTCTAAGCTCTAAACCCCAAACCCTGAACCCTAAGTTCTAAACCCTCAACTCCAAACTCTAAACCCTAAACCCTAAGAAACCCTAAACTCCAAACTCTCAACCCTAAGCCCTAAACTCTTAAACCCTAAGCCCTACTAACAAAACACGAGCCCTGAGAGGCACGAGAGTCGAAGTTCCGAGGTGCCTTCCGCGCCAGCTCTGCGAGCTGAACATGCATGTCGGAGACCGCGCCTGGGACCATCTTCCCTCAGAGCTACAGCTTCCCATTAAGGAGCCCCCAGGTTCCTCCTAAGGGGTTCCTTGAAAGGGGTCTATAAGGGCTGCTATAAGGGCGTTATAAGTATAGATAAGAGGGGCCTCGATAACGACCTGTTCCCTAAGAGCTACGGCTACGGTTCATGGGTTACGGATCCTTGAAGGGTTCTTATTAGCGCTTTAGGGTTTAGGGTTTTAAGTCCCCAAGAGCTAAAACAGGGGCCTTAATGATTACCTCTACTATTTTGGGGCTCCTTATTGCCCCGAAACCCTATTCCAATAATTTTTAAGGCCCTATATCACGGTTCAGGGTTTAGGTTTTTAGGTTGTTAGGGTCTAGTGCTTCAAGGTTTAGGGTTCAGCGTTCAGGTTTCAGGGTTTAGGTTTCAAGGTTAGCAGGGTTCCCCGACAGGTTCCCTGAAGGGTTCTGCAAAGGTTTCCACGAAGGTTTTCAGACGGCTTTTACAACTTAGGGGCAGCAGCAATTAGAACAGGGTCTCGGGGTTTTCTTGTAATAGAATTCATACGGGAGGGAGAAGGACTCTTAAATTAGGGTTCAGGTTAGGGCTTATAGTAAGGAACCCAGTCTTGATAGGTTTCCATTGGTTAGATTTGTTAGATTGCTGGGCAAATCTAAGTGGCAATAAGAGGGATGTGCAGCAAATAATGTGCTGTTCTTTGTCTGCTAAAGCTTTTTCACACGCACCATAAAGCTCTTGGCAAAAACTATGGAACCAACCCCAAACCCTCCCGAGACCCTAAACCCTAAACCCTACAACATCACCATCGTCATCATCATATTGATGGAGTTTCCGAAAATAGGGGACCCTAATATAGGACCCTAAATAGTAGGATCCTTATTATAAGGACCCCTAAATAAGGTACCCCCAATTTCGGAAACTCCCATATTGATCGAGGCTGGACCCTAGTTCCTCCGCAGCCATGGCGCGAAGCCGCACTCGCACGCAGCGAACGGCCGCACGTGTCCGGCTTCAGGAGACGGAGGCCATGCACCGGCGCCATTTGAGGAAGCTGCCAAAGCATCTGCCTGCAGAACTGGGCGAAGCAGATGCGGATGCAGCTGGTAGAAAGCAGCTGAGGGATAATGTCAAAGACAGCTTCATCAACTATTTTTCCAGAGAAAGAGGCGGATTGGCACCACCAGTTCCGCCTTGGGCTGCAGGTTCGAGCTTGGGCGGCCGTTGAGAAATACACAGAGATACACCAAGCTTTCGGTGAGATCGTGAAGTTGGGGTGGCCTGTTTACCGCTAGCCGCGAATAGCACTCCCCAAGCCCTAAACCCTAAACCCTAAAACCCCCCTAAACCCTAAACCAGAAAACCCCCTAAACCCTGAACCCCCTAAACCCTAAACCCTAAAACCCCCTAAACCCCCAAACCCTAAACCCTAAACCCCCAAACCCTAAACCCCTAAACCCTAAACCCTAAACCCCCAAACCCTAAACCCCTAAACCCTAAACCCTAAACCCCCAAACCCTAAACCCCTAAACCCTAAACCCTAAAAAGACGAGCCCAGGCCTGAAGTGGAACGCGGAGGCCTTCCGGACCCTGGCAGAAGGCCGGAGCGACCGGCTTTGCCGCCAAGCCCCAAACTTCCTCAGTCACGATGTGTACATATATACACATAGATAGAGAGAGAGAGAGAGAGAGAGATATATATATATATATATATATAAATACATTATATACATTTAAAATAAAATATTTGAATAAATAAATATGTATATATATATATATATAGATACAGAGCAATAGTCGAAAACCTTTAGACCTTCGGCCCGGGTTTCGGGTAATACAGGGGCCTAAACTATGCACGGCCCCGAACTTCAGACCTTTGAGCCGGGTTCGTGTGATGGTTTGGGGTTTAGGGGGGTTTTAGGGTTTAGGGTTTAGGGTTTAGGGGTTTAGGGGGTTTTAGGGTTTAGGGTTTTTTTGGGTTTTAGGGTTTAGGGGGTTTTAGGGTTTAGGGTTTAGGTGTTGAAGGTCCAGGGTTCAAGGAGCTTAGGGTTGCGGGATCAGGGGCTGAGGTTTCGCGCAGTTTAGGGGTTGGTTTAGAGTGCACTTCTTCTAGGACCCAGAGTAGGCCCTTATTCCCTTTTTTTAGGGCTGAGGTTCCCTTATAGCCCCCTTTAAACCAAAAAGGGCGTCCTCTTTATTCCTAGGTTACTCTTAGGTCTAGTCTTTGAAGAGCGTTTTGTTGGGCTTGAAGCAATGGTGTATGAATTTGAAGAGGTCGTGTAACCCAACCTGACAGAATTCTTCAGCCTCTAAGCCCTAATGTAGGAGCCTGATTCAGAAACCCTGGGTCCTATACCCCCAACATAGTAGGGTTCATACAAGGAACCCTAATAAAGGCCCAGGGTTTCTTAATCAGGTTCCTACATCCTTACAGTACCCTTGCATAGATCCCTTATAGTAACCGCTTAATAGACCCCTTTAAAAGAACATTACTCTAATATCCTAGGCCCTATGAGAATCGAGCCCAAAGATGGTTGCGGCTTCTGAGGGCGCCGTGTGTTTCACGGCGCTGGCGAACAAGGTGTTTTCGAGGCCAAGTTTTTTTATGGTGGGGAAAAGTATGTATATATATATATATATACATACATATCACGAGAAGAATGCTGGTTTCAAGTGTCATCGAATCTTCGTAACTCTGCCCTTTTTTCGGGGGGTTTCATTTTTCCCAGTCGGTTAAACTGTAAACGATTTCTTTAGATCTCGTTCTGGAAAGCCAAAGCCTGCCGAGCTCCTCGAGCAACGGCTGCTGCGCGTGAAACAGTAGTATACTTGTATGTCATAGTACATGACAGTTTACTGTACTACATTTATAGTATATTATCGTATATCACTGTGTATTATAGGAGTAAGCATGGTCAAGTAGATCAGCAGGTCCATCTTCGACCTTCCTACAGGAAACTTCCTTTGGGATGAAGCCCAACTATGGGGGCCTAAATAATTACTTATACTATTGTTAGGGTTCCTTATTACAACTATAGTATTATTGGGCCCCAAACCCTATTCGAATTATTAAGGCCCCTATATTAAGCCCGAAACCCGAAGCATTAAGCCTTAAACCAACAGCCCTAAGCCCTAAATCTTGAGCCTTAAACCCTGGACCCTAGGCCCTCGCCCCACGCCTTAAACCCCAAGCAGGCTTCCCGCAGCAGCTGCAAATCCTGGACCTCGATCTCGACGCAGACCTCAGGCGCAGAAGTTCATCTCGGGGTTCCCTGGTCTTCAGGGCTGTACTTTATGGTAGTAGCCAGAAAGTTGGAGCATCATTTTCCTCATGCCCTTAAGGTAAAGTATAAGGGATCCTAGCACTAATCCTCCTCAAGCAATGTTCCAACTTTCTGGCTTCTACTGCAGGGGCCTGAATAATTTGAGTAGTCTTTGCTTTGAAGGGGCCTATACGGGTTATTTCAAGGGTAACTATATGGGTTCTGAGTTGGAATAGGGTTCCTTTAAAGACTTCCATGGGTTTCTATATGGGTTTGGCGTATAAGGGTCACTGTAATGTTCTGTATAGGGGTTTCTTCCCAAACGGGCTACTGGGGCCTCTTTAGTCTAGGCGCCCAGGGCGCAATATCATACTATGACTTTGTAGCGACTAAGGGCGTAGTATTGCTGCTCGCTCCTGTCGCTACACATTGCTTAAACGTTTAGGCCGGGCGCTTGCAACAGTGCTTGCCAAGCACCATGACCCTTCAAGTAGGCTTCAAGACGGTAGAGATAAACCCTGAGGCCCTAAACCATGCCTGAATTTTCTTCGAAGCCGTAGCTTTCATCGCACGTCCGGTAGTCCAGGGGATCCATCCACCATCACCATAGCATTTCCAGCCCAGTTACGTGCGGATGCAAAAGGATCGTTGAACAAGAAAGCCCTAAACCCTCCACTCTGAACCTCCACCGTCAGATTGTCTGGGAGCTCCTCGAAACTTGTGATGGCTGAACCCCCAAAGCTTGGTGCCTCGGTGTGGCTCAACCCTGAACCCTAAACCCTTAAAAAGGCTAAGCCCTAAATCCTCAACTAGAAGCCAAACTCAAAGCTCCCTCCACCCCAAACCTCCAAACCCTAAACCCTAAACCCTAAACCCTAAAGACAGCAACAATAGAAATTGTATCGTTTGTTTGAATCAGCGAGCTATAGCTTGCGTGCAGCCAATCGCCAGTCTACATACTTTCATTTCTGGACAGATTCAAGCTGTACATAGGGGAACATGAGGACAATCCCTTCTTCTCTGCGTTCACTCAACTAAAGGCGAACACAAGGTGCGTGATGCCTTGCCCTGTTACCCTTCAATGCTATCCCTCAACTACAGGCGAACATAAAGCACATGGCCTGTTCACCAGCAATCAAACGCAGGCATAAGGTATGCTGCTGCTGTCTTTTGGTTCAATTCCGTCACTCCTTCATGTGAAAGCGAACCTAAGGTTCAGAGCTGCCAACCTGTGCGTGCCAGCAGACTTACAAGAGCAAGCAGCGCCAGTTCTTCAGCAGTCTTTCCGTAGCAGACGGCAGGCAACCCAGAGACTCCAATATCCCTTAATTAAGGAATACACCTTAAATTATAGTAGGATCCTTAATATCATTTAAGGTATATTCCCTAATTTAAGGGATATTGGAGTCTCTGGGAACCCCAGCTGCAGCCCAGCCAAAAGGTTCAGGGACCCCGTCGGGCAACCCGGCCGCCCAGAGTTGAAAGAAAAAACTTTCGTTCCAAACGTTCGCGCAAAACTCAAGGACCCAAACCCTATACAATTTCTATTCAACCCTAAACTCTAAACCCTTAAACCTTTAACCCCTAGACCCTAAGCCCTAAACCCTACTCCGTAAACCCCTTTATAGAAGCTTTATAGGTCCCTTATTGTAGCAGCCCTTATAGATCCCCTTAAAAGAACCCAAAACCCCTAAACCCCTAAACTTCTCAGCCTTGTCGGTTTCAGGGAAGTGACCCCGCTGGCGACGCAGCTGGCCGCATCACAGCTCACCACGCTACGTCGCCCGGTGATGTATTTACCAGGTTCCTGGTTTAGGGTTTTAGGGTTTAGGGTTTTAGGGTTTAGGGTTCCTGGTTTAGGGTTCCTGGTTTAGGGTTTTAGGGTTTAGGGTTTTAGGGCTTAGAGTTTTAGGGTTTAGAGTTTAGGGGTTAGGGTTTAGGGGTCTAGGGTTTAGAGGGGGTTTGGGGGTTTGGGGTTAGGGTTCAAGGGTTTTAGGGTTTAGTGTTTAGGATTTAGGGTTCAGGGTTCCTGGTTTCGGGTTTGGGGGTTTTGGGTTTAGGGTTTAGTGGTTTAGGGCGTCTCGCCGCGCAGCGGCAGTATTTTCTATGTAGGATGGTGCCCCAACACTCCCAGGGGTGTGGGGGGGCGGCATATCTACGTATATCATTAGCAAACAATTGCAAATTTGTTTTTATTTCTTTTCCCACCCGCTGTGAGTCCTCTGCCCCTGCACTGGTTGGAAAAGGTGGCGAGGCAGAGGAGGGGTCAGGGGGCCAGAGGGGGGCACCGTTGCCGGCCTGAACCACCCGGACTCCACCCATTGTCCATCCCAAGAAATGGTGTCTATCATTGCCGGATGTCCACGCACCCTACGAAAAAGGGTGGGTACGGCCTAAGCAGGCCTGGGTGGGAATTTAGGGTTTAGGATTTGGGGTTTAAGGGCTTAAGGGTTCCTGGTTTAGGATTTAGGGTTCAGGGTTCCTGGTTTAGGGTTTAGGGTTCCTGGTTTAGGGTTTAGGGTTCGTGAGTATTACTTTCTTGCCCTTTTTGCATTAGGGTCCCTAGGTACACAAAGGGGCTAATTACTCAGGAACCTCGTTTAGGCTACGGGTCGCTGTGGCTTGGTGCTTCAGGCTCGGGTCCACGCCGTTTCTAGAGGCAGGATTACAGTAGAGGCCTGCCCTAAATCCCTAAACTCCAAATCCTTAAACCGCTTTAAACCCCTAAACCCTACATCTCTACATCCCCAAGCTCTAAATCTCTAAACCTTCAACTCTAAATCACTAAACCCTAGACCCCTGGGCCCTCATCAGCCCCCCCCCCCAAAAAAAAAAAGAAAGGGCCCGCGGCCTCCTAGTGCAGGCCCGCGTCAAACTCTGGAGTCTCGTTCGCCAGGATGATATAGGGATTATCATGTGGGACCTTATAATAACTAGGATGCCCAGTAGTACCCTTATTCCCTTTTTGTAGTCCTAGGTTCCTTATAGAGTTACCCAATACCAAAAAGAGAGGCCTTTTTAATCTTAGGTTACTGGGTATCCTAGTCGTTCGCCAGGATGATATAGGGATTATCATGTGGGACCTTATAACAAGGATCTTACTATCTAGGGTGCTATATTAGGGTGTCCCCTGTTTTCGGAAACTCCCATGTAGTTACTTAAGGTTTAAGGATTAGTATGATTCTCAGGATTATTATATTTTACTATAAATACTTCGGGGTTATTCTGACTACAGTTTTAAGTTCATTGATTTTTTTCTAGGGCGATCCGAGGGATTATAAGGTCCCTACTTTTTGTTACTTAGGGGCTCGAAGGACTATAGTCTAAGTTCAGAGTTTTCTAGGGGTTATAAGATCCCAACTGTAGCTACTTAGGGGTTTAAGGACTCTACTGTAACGGTTGATGATATAAATCCTGCATTACCCATAATAAGGAATATACCATAATTCCCATTGTTTAGGGTCCTTCAGGTAATGCAGGATTTATATCATCAACAGAATGATACAAGTTACCTAGGGCCTGTGAAGGATAATCACGACCCCTCGGAGGCTTCTGGGATTTCCTCGTGGAGTTTGCCTCTGACCTTCGCTCTGCTGAGCCCTTTATCTTACGGTTTAGGGTTTAGGGTTTAGGGTTTGGTTAGCAGGGAATGGAAGAATGGTAGTCATAGTAGTTTTGATTGTACCCCCTTCCTCCATTCCCTACTAACCCAAGGTAAGTTATGGTTGTATGGCGGAATTCGCCAAATATCTTTCTCTTCTCGTAACTATTTCTAGTGAATGGTTTAGGTCAAGAGCCTTAACTTGACCTCATACTCTCTCAAGCCACTGCTCCACCCGAATCCTTACACTTGAATCCTGAACTGCAAGCTCTGAATCAAACTTTCAATCCAAAGCCCTGAACACTTCCAAGCCCGTGAAAACCCTGCAACCGAAATGCTTCACATGGGAGTTTCCAAAATATGGGATCCTAATATACCCGAAATAGTAGGAGCCTTATTATGTATAAGGAGCCCCTAAATGAGGTACCCACAATTCTCGGAAACTCCCACATGCGAGGCTTGAGCCTGGGGAGCATCACAGGGGTGGAGGCTGGTTGAGGTGTTTGACGGTTGGGTTTAGTGTCTCGTCTTGGGGAGATTGTCAAAGGACTAGGTCTAGGGGAGATAAGATTTGTGCTAGGGGTTGGGGTTCCGGGCTGCAGTCCATGGAAGTAAGGTTATAAGTAGGTTATAATTAGGATAGCCCCACTTAGGGGACTTATAACCCCAATTATAACCTACTTACTAAGTCCCATGATCCTCTAAGTAAGAGTGCAGGGCCCGAGCCGCCAAGAGCTCTGAAGCTTCACCCGCAAGACTCGCGACTCGAAGATCCCTTCGGGCCCGAAACCCTTAGTAAGGGGTTCCTGTAAGGGCTACTATACCTTAAGCTACCAAACCCTACTTTTTGTAGGTCCTTATTTATAAACGCTAATATGGAATTTATAGGGACCCTACTTTTTTGTAGGTTTTGGTAGGTTAAGGTAAAGTGGCCTATAAGGGTTCCTAATCTCGCAGGCTGCCGAAAGAGACGGCACGGTGGTGTGTTCACTGAGCTCAGCATTATGCTGAGCCACGGACTCCTGCATGCGGCCTACTTGGAGGTTCATGGGTAGTTATAAGTAGGGTTATAAGTGGGGTAACTATACTTATAACCCATATTAGGGGACTTATAACACCACTTATAACTACCCATGAACCTCCAAGTGCTTAGTGGCAGATGCTCAGTCAGACCTGACAGCAGCTCATTGGTCATCGCCGCCCGTCCTTGGCAAGAGCTGGCTGAGCTTGGGCGCCCTGGTTCATGCGATCCTCGGCGCACTCATCTGCGCCACGACGACGGCAAGCATGGACTACAGCCAGGACCTGGCACACAACGCCGTCACGGCGTTCTACCTCCTACGCCATCGCTCAGAAGCCTCGTGACAATGGCTCGATTACGGAGAACGCTGCCGAAACAGCTTGAGCGATACGACGCTGAAAAATGGTGTGGCATTGTTGCATTTTGCAGTGGTCTGCTGCCCCGGTGCAGAGCCCAAGCTGTTGCAGGAGATGGCGATCGAGCAGCACTTTGGCAGGCTCAAAGCCCCTTTCCGAGGCAGTCCTTCCCTGAAGGACTTCCTCATCGGCCATCGTTCGCTCTTTGCACGCCAAGTGAAGCAGCTGAGTCAGACATCAGATGATCGCATTCGGGATAACATCCTCCTTCGACCGGGATGCCCTGGAGCTACCCCAGGTGAAGAGCATCGCCATGAAGGCTTTGCGGGCCGCCCGTGAAGGGGTCTGCAAGGGTTCCTTCAAGAGCTACTATAATTATAAATGGGTCTATAAGGGTTCCTACCATGACGGGCTCTGCAAGGGTTCCTACTATAAAGGGGTCCATAAGGGTTGCTTTAGGGGGTGTGCAGGGGTTGCTATAAGGGGGCTACAAAACAGCAAGAGCTTGACGACAAAGCCTGACAACCTAAAGTGAAGACCTTTTACCTGAAACCCTAAACCCTAGCCCCTAACAGAGCTCGGGAAGCGCCAAACGCCCGTCAGCCAAACAGGAAAGCAGAGTTGGGGGTTTAGGGTATTTCGGGAGCAACATTCCGCATTGAGTGGTCATGAATCCCACAATGAGGTGTTGAGCTTCTAAGCCGCAAGCTCTAAAGCCTTTGAGTCCTAAAGCCCGCACAAATCCCAAACCCCAAGCCCTCAACACACACTTTAATCTCAAACGGTGGGCGGATAGGCCCCAACCCCATAAATCTCAAACCTCAACCCCAAGCTGTAGGGTTTAGGGTTTCGAGGGGCCAGGCGAGCTCCAATCTTGTGTATAAAGGGGTCCCAAACCCAGACGCCAAGCTTTCCCCCAACCCTAACCCCCTCGCCCCCCGCAAAGCTTTTGGTTTAGGCGCCATCTAAACCCTAAACCCCTAACCCTAAACCCTCAACCCTAACCCCTGAACCTTTAAAACCTAAACCCTAAACAAACACTATAAACCCGAAACCCTAAGCCTTATATACCCTAAACCCCTAAACCTTGAAGCAGATATCCACAGGGTTTGGGCGCTCTCTTCGCGGCCCTCCCTCCAAGCCTGGAAGAGTTGCAGTTGCCTGGCCTTTCGGAGCTGTCTTCCTGAAAATCAGGTCTTACTGCTGATGGACAAAATCCTGCATTACCCATTATAATTAAGGAATATACCATAGTTCCCAGAGTTTAGAGTCCTTAGGATCATGCAGGATTTTGTCCATCAGCAGTATAACAGGGTTTAGGGTTTACGGCATTCTGAAACAAGTTCTTATAGGGTTAGGGTTTAGGGTATAGGGCATTCCTGAAACAAGTCCTTGCAGGGTTAGGGTTTAGGGTTTAGGGTATTCCTGAAAGAAAGTCTGAAAGTAGGGGCTAGAGGGGATTCTTGGGACCATAGGGTATCAATGGATTTAGAGATTTTAGGCTTCAGGGTTTAAGATTGTTTTGGGGGCCGGGGTTTGCAGGTTTAGAGAGTTTCGAGTCTCGGGGCTTGTTGGTGTGGGGTCGAGGGAGTGAATTTGGGAGTTTCCGAAAATAGGGGGTACCTTATTTTGGGGTCCTTATAATAAGGATCCTACTTTTAGGGTACTATATTAGGGTCCCCTATTTTCGGAAACCCCCATTTCGAGATTCAGTTCGGATTCGATTCTCAATGCTCCTTTAAAGCGAGTCCTTGTCTCCCTTTCCGCGATGGGAGTACGCAATGTTCCATTCCCCCTCCAGGCTAAACCCTATCATAGAACCCTTATGGATCCCTTGAAGGAGACTTTATGGGCCCCTTTGAAGGAACCCAACTAAGGGAGTTTGAAGCCTCTTCGCCCCGTGGGACGCCAAGTTCCGAGGCTTCTTCTGGATCACATCGGCGTCTGCGACCGCAGCTGCGAGGTCGGGTTGGGAATAAGGTTAAGGGTTTCAAGGTTTCAGGGTTTTAGGTTTTAGGGTTTAGGGTTTAGGGTTTAGAATTTAGGGTTTTGAGCTTAGGGTTCAGGGCTTGGGGTTTAGGATTCAGCAGCTCCAGTTCGAGCACTCTCTAGTCGAGCTCACTACTCTGGTATCGGAAATCATCCCACCCACCCACAGATTCCCATAACATTATGAAACAAATTGGATTCTATTCCCTAGGCCTTGAATCGTGAACCCTAAAGCTTGAATCTTAAATCCTAAGGCCCTAAGAGTGCAAGCTGATAGAATGCTTGTCAGACAACCTCGAAGCTTCCCTGAGGCTTAAGTCCTGAACCCTAAAGCTTTGCCGAAGGTCGGGGGGTCCAACTTGCCTTAAACCACGAAGTTGCTGAACGTTTATGAGCCTTAATCGGTTCGTGGTTTAAGGCAAAACTTGCCTTAAACCGCGATTTTGCTGACAGTCGCGGGTCCAACCTGCCTTAAACCACGAATGAATTAGAATTCAAATATATATGTATGTATATATATATATATATATATATATATATATGATAAAAAGGTTCAGAGTTCAGGGTTAGGGGGTTAGGGTCCATGTGAACTTCCTTTCTACCTGACAAGTTAAATCCGCCAGTGAGGTTTTTTAGTTTAGGCTTTACGGACTCGGGTTAAGGGTTGAGGAGCTCCCCTTTTCAAGAAAGCGTTTGGAAACCGGATCCCCGCGACCAGAACCCGACCCTAAACCCTAAACCCTTGAACTCCTAAACCCACCTGTGGATCCAAAAACCTACCGTTTTCAGGGTCAGACCCTCTAATTAAGGGGTCATAACCTACTATTTTGTAGGGTTCGGAGCCACAGGCATAAACCCTAAACCCCTAAACCCTAAACCACAAAGCCCTAAACCCTAAACCCTAAACCCTAAATCACAAAGCCCTAAGCCGTGAGGAGCTGGGCCGCAGCTTGCGGCGTTGCTCGCGCCTGCGGGATCTGGAGCTCTACATGGGCAGCTGCGAGGTTTGGCGTGTTTTGCAGGCCGGATCGCACCAATAGCAGTTGATGATATAAATCCTGCATTACCTTAAGGACCCTAAACCATGGGAATTGTGGTATATTCCTTATTATGGGTAATGCAGGATTTATATCACCAACCGTAGCAGTAGCAGCAGCGATTGTCGTGGTAATGGTCGCGGAAGGGGTAGTGGTGGTGGTAGTAGTAGTGGTAGTAGTAGTGGCGGTAGTGGTGGTAGTTGGTGGGGGTAGTGCTAGTACGAGTACTTACGACGGCTACTCCGACGGCCATTCTGGTTAAGACCTACAGGCCTATCAAGACCTATTTCAAACTCCATAAAACCGCATAGAACCACATCAACGCTAAGTACCCTCGAACCCTAAACACCCTAAGCCCCAAACCCCGTACTTCCGAGGCTCCGTGCAGGAGTCTCAAGCACTTGGAGCTGAGCTTGCAGAGTCTCGGTCAAGCAGATGCGAAGCAGCTCAGCAACTTTGCCCCCCGGACGTACATGGAGGCTCTCTTTCGATTCAGGGTTCGGGGTTTAGGGTTTGGGGTTTAGGGTTTGGGGTTTGGGGTTTAGGGTTTGGGGTTCAGGGTTTGGGGTTTAGGGTTCAGGGTTCAGGGTTTGGGGTTTAGGGTTCAGGGTTCAGGGTTAAGGCTTTCAGGGTTTCGATTCGAGCTTATTTTTGGTGTGCTGCTAGTGGGTTGCAACGTTCTATAAACGGTTTATAGGGGGGGGGGTTCGTGTTTTGTTTTTTCTATCGGGTCGTATACATGACCCTAATTAGTTTTGTTGGCGTTTGAGAAGGGGTTCAACACGGGCTCTACAGGAATCTATAAGTTTGCCGGGTTCGGGTCTGCTTTCATTTTTATTTTTCAGGGTCTGGGCGGGTTTTCAGAAACATTTTATACAATCTTTTAATGTCTTTTGCAGGGTCTTATGGGTTAGGTAGCAAAGCCCGGTTATGGTTTCATAACACAGGCAAAGACAAGGGGTTTTGCAGGGGCTCTTTTTTAGGGCTTTCGTGGGGCTTTTCGGTTCTACCAGGGTTTTACAAGGGTTTTCAGGAGTGAGAGGCTTTCTAGGCGTCATGCAAGAGGCTTATGGGCCAGTTTGTGGAGGTTCGGAAAGGTCTACGGGGATATCGTTTGGGAGTCCAAGCGTTATGGGACAATGCATCTTTTAATGGGGCTTTTGGTGTTTCGGTATAACGTAGCGGGCTGAGTATTCCTGTACAGACCGCGTTACGTGCAAGCCACATGCCGATGATTAGAAGTGTTCAGTGCGGGTATCTTCAAATCCGTACCAAACGGATCTGCAAACCCCTCAAGACCTTAAGCGCTAGGCCTTAAAACCACCAAACACCCTGCACCCTAAATGCACCTGAAACCGAAAACGAGGTTCCCCGGCTTCCGATGAAGCGTACCCCAAGCCTTTGAAGTTGGTGATATGAACCCCTAAATGCACCTGAAATCGTGAGGCCGTAACTACACACCCTAAACTTGGGTCTTGTCCCGAAGCCTAAACTCCTAAACCCCAAACTTTAAGTGCGAAGCCCGAACTCCAACCCCTAGACCATGGGACTTAGTAACTGGGGTTATATTAAGGTAACTCTACATATAAGCGCTTATAAGCCCACTTAACGTAGTTATAACCTGACTTACTACGTCCCATGCTCCTCCAAGTAAGCTTTAAGCCCGAGGCGCTATGCCCTCAGCCTGCCCTGATATCGGGACCTCCAAAAATGGGATATCGTTCTGGGGCACTCTAGGCTATAATCATTCTAAGAAACTCTAGGGAATACTATTTCTTTCAGGTTCCTTATCGCAACAATAGTATACAGATACAATAAACAGTATAGTTTATAATGCAGCAGCAACACCCCAAACCAAGCATTAAGCCCCTATCTCAAACCCTTTTATGACCCTGGTAGAACCCTTCTCAGACGACACAACATTTTTGCAGCACCCCATGAAACCCATGAAAACTCTATTGCGCCCCTGAGCTCTAAGGTTTAAAACCTAAACCTCTAAAGCCCTAAACCCCTAAACCCTATAGATCCCTTATCGAACCCTTATGGATCCCTTAAAAGGAACCCGAATGGACCCCGTTAAAGGAACCCTAGACCTATCTTAGGTGAATGCAGCCGATTTGGGCCGACTTGGACTCTACCTTGAGGGACCTCAGCCCGAGGCCAGTTGTTCGCATTTTAGGGGCTTAGGGTATAGGGGTTTAGGGTTTAGGGTTTAGGGTATTGGGGTTTAGGGGTTTAGGGTTTAGGGGTTTAGGGTTTAGGGTTTAGGGTATTGGGGTTTAGGGGTTTAGGGTTTAGGGGTTTAGGGTTTAGGGTTTAGGGGCTTGGGGTATACTTAGAGGATCATGGGACTTAGTAAGTAGGTTATAATTGGGGTTATAAGTCCCCTAAGTGGGGTTATCCTAATTATAACCTACTTATAATAGGGTATAAGGTAAAAGCCAGAAAGTTGGAATATGATTATCCTAACCCTTCTATGGTAAATTACAGGGTATCCTACCATTCCCTGCTAAGCACCAGACAGTTTCCGGGGTTTCGGGCTATGAGGGTTTGGGGTAGAGGGTCCGGGATTTAGGGTTGAAGGTTACTTGGAGGATCATGGGACTTAGTAAGTAGGTTATAATTGGGGTTATAAGTCCCCTAAGTGGGGTTATCCTAATTATAACCTACTTATAACCTTACTTACTAAGTCCCATGAGCCTTCAAGTAGGGTATACTGTTTAGGGTACAGGGGTTTTAGGGTATTGGGGCTGCTGCAGATCATAAGCCAGACTGAGCACGCCAGACTCCCGATGATGTTGAAGCGCTTGGCCTGGTTGTAAAGCCGGTAAAAATCCTAAGCCCTAAACCCTCAACGTTAAAACCCAAAACCCTCAACCCTAAACCCTATAACCCCAAACCCCAAACCCTAAAACCCAAAACCCCAAATCCCAAAAGCCAAAACCCTAAACCCAGAAACCCAAAACCCGAAACCCTAAGACCCAACATCCAAAACCCTAAACCCCTAGACCCCTAAACCCTAAACCCTAAACCCTTATAGTACCCCTATAGTAACCCCTATAGATCCCTTAAAGGGACCCGTAAGGCCTGAAAAACCCTACGCCCAAGCTCCTTGCATTTGCCGCCAGGTCCGCCAGGCCCTCGCCGCCCTTCCAGTATCGCTTCAGGAGCCCCTAATATGGGGACTTCATGGGGCTATATCGGTTTTGTTGATAGGGTTTTGGGACTATCGGGTTTTGCAAGGGTTTTTTTCTATGAAGGATGAAAAGGCTTTATCAGGTTTACAGGGTTTGCTACAGTGCCGAAAGTGGGGAGAAGTCCACAAGCAAGTGGAGAGGAGGAGGGGGGGGGGCGATGCCGATTTGGGGTTTAGGGTTTCAGAAGCCACAGTTAGGCTCTTTTGGTTCATTGGGTCCACGTCTGGAGCCGAGAAACACCAAGTCCCTTCTAGGGCGTTTTGAACACAGAGACTCCAATATCCCTCAACTAAGGAATATTCCTTAAATTATAGCAGGATCCCTAGTGTATTTTTCCTAAACCCTAAATCCTAAACCCTAAACCCTAAACCCTAAACCCTGTACATTCCTTACTCAAGGGATCATGGCATCTCTCCGAGCACCGCAGACTCGCATCCAAAAAAGGGCGCCGATCTGGAATCCTGCCCTGCGCTGGCTCTGCCATACTTAAAGGATCATGGGACCTAGTAACTGGGGTTCCTTAAAGGGTTCCTTAAAGGGCTCCTTTAAAGGGATCTATAAGGGTTCCAGAAGAGGGGTTTTAGGATCTACTTGAAGGATCATGGGACTTAGTAACTGGGGCTATAAGTAAGGTAACTATACTTATAACCACTTATATGCCCACTTAAGGTACTTACAACTTGACATACTAAGTCCCATGATCCTCCAAGTAGTCTCCTTAGGAATCATCTTCCATTTTGGTTCCTATAAAGCCCAAGAGATAATGTAACATATTGGTCTTTATTTTACATTTTTGTGCCTATAAAACCCAAGAGATTATGTAACATAATTTGTTTTAATTTTTGTTCTTAAAAACCCAAGAGAATATGCACCATGTTGGTTTTTAATCTGGTTCTAAGGGGGGTACGGTCTATGCCTGGCAAGGCCGCAATTAGCTAACCCCCTCCGGCCCGAAGCCCTAAATAAATTTAAAGACTCTCCAGATATCCCTTAATTAAAGAATATGCCTTAACTCATATTAGGGATCCTGCTATAGTTTAAGGTATCCTCCTTAAACAAGGGATATTGGAGTGGGAACCGAAAACTCCGTGAAACGCTGGCTCTTCGTTTGCAAACTGTTGGGAGCGGAGGGGCATCTGCAATCTACCCATGCAGGTACGGAGGTCCTTTACATAATGTCCATCAAACCCTGAACAATTGCAGAACCTTAACAGGGGACCGTGGCTACTTGGAGGATCATGGGACTTAGTAAGTCAGGTTATAAGTACCTTGAGTGGGCTTATAAGTGCTTATAAGTATAGTTACCCTGTTTATAACCCCAGTTGCTAAGTCCCATGATCCTATAAGTAGCCAGCTCCCAAGTCTATGGGACAGCCGTTCCCGGAAATCCGCCATGCTCAAGCATGCCAGCCCCTGCGAGTAGGGTTTAGGATATCCGGTCTAGGGTATTGGCTTTGGGGAGTTGAAAAACTCTAGTAAAAGACTCAGTCAACCCCGATAGAGCCCTTTTAGATGCTAGGATGCCCAGTAGTACCCTTATTCCCTTTTTTGTAGTCCTAGGTTCCTTATAAAGTTACCCAATACCAAAAAGAGAGGCCTTTTTACTCTTAGGTTACTGGGTATCCTAGTCGTTCGCCAGGATGACATAGGGATTATCATGTGGGACCTGAAAACAAGGATCCTACTATCTAGGGTGCTATATTAGGGTGTCCCTAAACCCTAAACCCTAAACCCCTAAACCCTAAACCCTAAACCCTAAACCCTAAACCCCGATAGAGCCCTTTTAGATGTCTTTCGGGCTGAGCCCTGGAGGGCCTGGACTTCAGCGTGTGGGATCGCAGCGTGGGGGACGACGCTCTGCTGTCGCTGGCGCGCGTGATTCCTCCTCAGCTGCGGGACACGGTTTAGGGTTGAGGGTTGAGGGTTTAGGGTTTAGGGTTTAGGGTCCGGGTCAAGAAGCATGGTTTATGGGTTTAGTGCCGGGGTTTATGCTATGCTATAAGTAGGGCTTGATGAGATTTTACAAAGGTTTCTCTAAACGCTCCCAGGGCCGTGACTGAGGACTCTACCTGTACGGGGGGGTATCCTTCTCATTATTACCACCATTATTATCGTCGCCAGCATTTGTATCAGTATTCTAGTGTCTCTTATTGTTCCCAGCATTGTTCTGTCAGAACCATTAGTGCTATCGTCATTATTTCTGCTGTCATTAGCATCTTCTTGATCATGATGGTGATGACCATTGTTGTTGTTATCATTATTATATTGTGTTTCATGATTATGCAGATAAGTTGTAATTATCTCTCATTGTTTTTGATGCTTTTATCATAGTAGTCTTGTTTTTGTTATGATTCTTCTTCTGCTCTTGTCAAGTTAATCAGGATAATGAATATCATGATTTCGTACGTGTTCGCTCCTTTATTGGCCTTCGGAGTTCTGGGGTTGAGGGTTGAGGGCCCAGACTTTCACTTTAGGTGTCCATGGAGCTGAGGGGGAGTTTCGGGTTTGGAGGGCTTACATGCTAGAGCCGCAAAAGCTTATGTATACCGCGACCATGGCCCCAAGTAACCTACCCTAACTTTTCAAGGACTTATACTACAAGGAGATCAAAACCCCCTTTAAAACCAAAAAGGCACGCTTTTTATTCCTCGGTTACTCCTGGGTCTCGGCAAGGGGGAACCCTAAACCCTAAACCCTAAACCCTAAACCCTAAACCCTAAACCCTAAACCCGAAACCCTAAACCCTAAACCCTAAGCACCTCTTAATGAGGAATGAGGCATTGCGGAGCCCGAAACCCTGAGCTCTAACCTCTAGACCCAGACCTTCCAAAATCCCAAATTTTTCAGGAATTTTCCTTCAATTATAATAGGATCCCTAATATGAGTTAAGGGATATTCCTTAATTAAGGGATTTTGGGAGGTTTAGGGACCAAGCACCCTGAATCCTAAAGCGTGGGCGTCTAGCGACTGGGACCCAGGACACCTTTAGGGTTCAAGGTTCGGGGTTTTAAGGTTTAGGGTTTAGGGTTTAGGGGGTTTAGGGTTTAGGGTTTAGGGTTTAGGGTTTAGGGTTTAGGGGGTTTTAAGCTTCAGGTTTAGGTGTTGGGGTTGGGGCTCTGCGCTTTGGGAGTCGGGGTTTGGGGTGTAGGCCAGTTTCGGACTTGAGGTTGAAGGTTTAGGCGTCTTGTAGTATCCTTAAGGGAGGGGGGGGTCCAAGGGGGGTATATATAGCCTAGTGATCCCTAATTCTCCCTAGTACTCCCTAAGGTTCCCTTACAGTCCCCTGGGGATTCCTTATACCCTAAACCCTAAACCCTAAACCCTAAACCCTAACTTAAGGATCCTATAGGCTTCAGGGTTCTGGGCCTTGGGGTTTTTGGGGGCCTGGGCCCTGAAAACTCTCAGCCGCAGGCTTTTGGACTGACTCTGTTTCGAGGCTTTAGGCTTTAGGGTTTAGGAAGTTTAGGGTTTAGGGTTTAGGAAGTTCAGGCTTTAGGGTTTAGGGTTTAGGAAGTTTAGGGTTTAGGGTTTAGGGTTTAGGGTTTAGGAAGTTTAGGGTTTAGGGTTTAGGGTTTAGGAAGTTTAGGGTTTAGGGTTTAGGCTTTAGGGTTTAGGAAGTTTAGGGTTTAGGGTTTAGGGTTTTGGAAGTTTCGAGGCTTTATATAGCGGCCCGAGCCCGTCTGATCACTGAACGTTGGGGGGTGTTGTAGCACTTGTAACACGTGTTCTGTACGCAACCCTGAATGCAAACCGTAGCCGCCACCCCATCCACCCCCAAACTTTTTTGGTTTGATCCTATAGCCCCAAGCCCGACAAAAGCCCAACATGCACCAACAACCCCAACCCCAAACTCCAAAAACGGTAGGATCTCCACGTCTCCTTCATGGAGGGGGACTATGTGCCTCCGGAAAGCATCAAGGACTCAGTTCCGGAGTATATGATGGTTTTATACGAGTTCTACAGGGCTTCTATGGGCCCATGTGGGTTTCGTAGGCGTTTGTAGGTTATGCTTGTTCAAGCAGGTTTCAGGAAACCATATCCAACAACCCGAGACCCCAAGAGCAAATTTGTGCGCAAAGCCTAAACCGCCTGAGTCCCATGGGGAGTGAACGCTTTAAGCCCTAACCCCCAAACCTCCGAACCTTTAGCCGCTCCCCAAACCCCAAGCCTTAAACCCTAAACCCCTAAACCCCTAACCCCCTAAACCCTAAACCCCTAAACCAGTAAACCCTAAACCCTAAACCCTAAACCCCTAAACCCTAAACCCTAAACCAGTAAACCCTAAGCCCCTAAACCCCTAAACTGGAGCGAGCCGCGGGCGCTGCCTTGGCCAGCGGCGAGCGATACCGCGTGGCGACAGGCCCGCGGACGAGCCCGAGCGAGCAGGCGTGAGCCTTGCGAGGGCGAGGGTCCGGAGCGCGCGGTGAGCGCGGCCCACGCATGGAAGGTCGAACCCGCGTGCCAGCGACAGGCTGGCCCTAAAGAGAATAACCCTAAACCCTCGGTTTTTAGCACTTGGATCTATGCATCCTGCTCCTTTAGGGTTCCATTTAGGGTTCCGCTTAGGATTTCCTGCGTTTAGGGTTCCTTTTAGGATTCTCGTTTAGGGTTCCGTTTAGGGTTCCGTTTAGGATTCTCGTTTAGGGTTCCGTTTAGGGTTCCGTTTAGGGTTCCCGCTTAGGGTTCTTTATAGGATTTGGGTCGGTATTTTGGGTGATCAATTCTGTTCATAAAAAGGCACTTTTAATTCGGCCGGTGGCCGAAGTCGGGGTCCCCCCCATTCTGGGCAGGGGTAGGATTTCCTGCGTTTAGGGTTCCTTTTAGGATTCTCGTTTAGGGTGCCGGTTAGGGTTGAGTTTAGGGTTCCGTTTAGGGTTCTTTTTAGGATTCTCGTTTAGGGTTCCGTTTAGGGTTCCTTTTAGGATTCTCGTTTAGGGTTCCGTTTAGGGTTCCGTTTAGGATTCTCTTTTAGGGTTCCGTTTAGGGTTCCTTTAGGATTCTCGTTTAGGGTTCCGTTTAGGGTTCCTTTTAGGATTCTCGTTTAGGGTTCCGTTTAGGGTCCGTTTAGGGTTCCGTTTAGGGCTCCGTTTAGGGTTCCGTTTAGGATTCTCGTTTAGGGTTCCGTTTAGGGTTCCGTTTAGGGTTCCCGCTTAGGGTTCTTTATAGGATTTGGGTCGGTATTTTGGGTGATCAATTCTGTTCATAAAAAGGCACTTTTAATTCGGCCGGTGGCCGAAGTCGGGGTCCCCCCCATTCTGGGCAGGGGTAGGATTTCCGGCGTTTAGGGTTCCTTTTAGAAATTCTCGTTTAGGGTCCGGTTAGGGTTCCGTTTCAGGTTCCGTTGAGGGTTCCTTTAGGATTCTCGTTTAGGGTTCCGTTTAGGGTTCTCGTTTAGGGTTGTTTTTAAGCCTTGACTCTGAACGTCCTCCTTTGTTTAGGGTTCCACTAAGGGTTCCGTTTAGGATTTTCTTCGTTTAGGGTTCCGTTTAGGGTTCCCCCCCAGATTGCGTTTCGGGTTTCTTTTAGGATTCCCTCCAGCCCCCACCAGAGGACTCCGCCAGAGCCGGAGCTCCCACCAGAGCACACCCACCAGAGCACCAGCATAAGGCATTCCCACCAGAGTCTCCACCAGAGCACCCCACCAGAGCACCGTGTCAGAGCACACCACCCAGCAGAGCACCAGCCTCCAGAGCACCTCCACCAGAGCACTCAGCAGCCGGCCCCCACCAGAGCACCCCCGCCAGAGCCGGAGGTATAAACCGAGATTTTGGGTGGGCATTTTTGATATAAATCCTGCTTATAAAAAGGCACTTTTAATTGGCGAAGTCGGGGTCCGAGCACCCCTGCCAGAGCACCGGCATTTGGCACTACTCAACCCCCCGCCAGAGCAACAGCCGGCCCCCACCAGAGCACCCCCGCCAGAGCCGGAGGTATAAACCGAGATTTTGGGTCGGCATTTTTGATATAAATTATGTTCATAAAAAGCACTTTTAATTAGGCCGGGGAACGAGGTCGGGGTTTCCTCCATTCTGCGCAGGGCGAGCACCCCCACCAGAGCACCGGCATAAGGCACTCAGCCCGCCAACCCCCACCAGCCAGAGCCAGCGCCATAAACTTTTCGTAGAAACAAGCCCAGCAACCATTGAAAACCCTAAACCCGTCAAGGTTGAGATGTGGGTGGGTGGGTTGGGCAGAGCGGTGAACCCAGGGCGCACACCACGACACACGTCCCGCGTGGTGGTGTGCGCGGAACATAGGAAACCCTAAACCCTAAACCCTAACCCCTAAACCCCTAAACCCCTAAACCCTAAACCCTAAACCCTAAACCCCTAAACCCTAAACCCTAAACCCCAAGATCCTCAAACCCTGAACCCCAAGATCCTCAAACCCTAAACCCCAAGATCCTAAACTCCAAGCCAAAGGCCCTATCCAACAGCCCCAAACCCACCCCCCTTCGACCTTAAACCCTGAACCTCAAAGACCTCAAAGCCTCAAACTCAGGGGCCTCAAAAGGTAGGATGAAGGTCGGTGGGGTAATTCCCAAATAAGAGTCCATGTATAGGGGATCCTTAATCCTACCTGCCTTCCTCCCACCTTTTGAGGCCTCCAAAAACAAAAAGCCTAACAGCCACTGGCGGAAGCCGACGGACTTCCGGGCTGCTGTAGGGGAAACCGGTGCAATCTCCCAAGTTCGCGAGTACGTGGAGCGCGCTTGCGCTCGCACCCAGACGATGTCAACAGCATACTCTGCAATCTCGCCTCGCAGTTTTACCCTCCGGCGACCAGATCGCCTACTCTACGACAATGGCAACAGGACGGTATGCAACTCAGCATTAAACACATGTGGGCTTTGAGACGTCAGGCAAAGGCTTATGCGATGGGCACACGCCGTCAACCTGGTGGCCAGTGCCTGCTTTTTGCAAGTCGCGCTTGGCGATACACGGTCGCCTTTCACAAGGTACACGCGGCCATACGAAAATCAGGTAAAGCCCTCAAAAAGACCCTCATGCAGACAAGTTCGTTTACCTTTGCTCGCCAAGAGCACATCTCTCTGTCGGAACTTCGTTGCGACGATGGTCCCTCATCGCACTTTGGCATTGACACTAAGTCGAGCGACATCTTTCTGGTCTCGACTGAGTCTCGGCGCCGGCGCGATCAATGTGCTGCGCCAGCTCGTGGCTTTTGCAGCCGGTGTCGAATCTTACGTTTCTTCCACCGGGGCCATGGTGAATGTGGATTCCGGGGCGAGCTTAAACTCTTATGATTTGCATGCTGCAGCTGACTCAAACCCGTTCAGGAAGCCCTAAACCCTAAACCCTAAACCCTAAACCCTAAACCCTAAACCCTAAACCCTAAACCCTATGCTAATCCCGAGAGGAACCCCGATCTGATCCCTTCTGCAAGCCCTTAAACCCCAAACCCCAAAAGCCATGTCGAACCCCAATGAACCTCCTACAAGTCCCGATTGAAACCCATTTGAAACCCAGCCTTCCACAGACCCAAACCCTATGATCCCTCAAAGAATATGACATTCTATAGAATTAAGGAATGATCTCCCTTACCGTCCTATGATAATGAAACTCTAACATACCGGCCAAGGCTCGTTCTAAAACGAATCAGGACTCTATAGTGCACCCTACGAGCTCTATAATCGCGGAGCACTATCCTTATCTTCACGGCCTCTCGAGTATGGAAGAAGCACCCTAAACCCTAAGCCCAATTCTAGGAATCAAGGCCCCTGGGCTACGGAAGATGCACCCACAAGAAGCCCGAAAGCTTCTTCCAATAATCAAAGCTTCCTAGATTATGGAAGAAGCACCCTAAACCCCTATTCTACTGTTCAATCGTCTAGGGAAAAGCACCCTAAACCCGAAAAACCGCTTTCTTCATAGTCAATGCCCCTAGACTACGGCAAAAGCAACCAAAGCTTTCTGCTAATGATCAGGGCCCCTAAACCCTAAACCCTAAACCCTAAACCCAAGACTACGGAAGAAGCCCAGAGGAACTGCTGACCCGGCTACCTGAGACGCTGCGCCTCGGCTGTATGGAGGGTGCAGGGCTTTAACAGATTTTTGTATTGGTATGAGCATTGATATGATTGCTATCATGAATATAGTAGTAATACCAACTTCATATTTGGAGTAATACTAAGATTAAGATGAATGCGCATATCACTTCCTGCATTATCTGATCGGCGAGAGTTATTATGATTATCAAAGATTGTTTGTTTGTTGCGGCTTCTTTTGGCTGTATTAGGGGGTGGCTTTGGGTTTTTCCTCTAGAATTTTGTGCGGCTCAGCTTTGGATTTTGGTGCGTTTGAGGGCCTCAAGGCCCATAGGCCTTGACCCCCCCACCAAAGTCCCGCCCACGGTTTAGGGTTTAGGGGTTTGAAGTTTAGGGTTTAAGGTTTAGGGTTTAAGGTTTAGGGTTTAAGGTTTAGGGTTTAAGGTTTAGGGTTTAGGGTTTAGAGTTTAAGGTTTAGGGTGTAGGGTTTGGCGCAGGATCTGCCAGGACTGCGACTCCCCCAGATTGTTCCTGGTGTGCCCATTACAAAGTATGCCGCAGAGCATCCCTGAACCCTTAGCCAGAACATCAAGAGGAGTATCCGGACACCTGCAGTTCCCACCACAAGGCTTATTTCTCATGTCCCAAACGCAAACGACCGTGCTTTATTAGCTCTATACTTCTTGGTTCATGACTTGGTGCAGGCAGGGATTCTGGTTGAGGCTTGAACTTGAAGGTTAAGGTTTAGACTTCTTTGTTCCATCCTCTGTGGGGAGTGTCAGATTGTACGGAAGCTATGCTGCAGTGTATCCCACGCTTCCAGGCTCCAAGGTTTGATTCTAGGGCGCCTCGAAACCCTAAACCCTAAACCCTTCGTCTAGGTTCCTAGAGGGTCTAGGTTTGACTTTGCTTTTTTTGGGTGCTTAGGCTTTATCGGGTTAGGGCTCGTGGCATGCAGGGTTTGCAGATTTTAGGGTTTTTTGGTTTTCGCGGGGTTGACATACTGCTGAGGCTTTTCGGACGCTTCTTAGGGGCTTCTTGCGATGGGGGTCCCGCCATTTTGGGCTGGATGTGGGTTGTTATGCTTGCCACGGACCTTATGAACCTAAGCATTTAGCTAGACCCTCAAAACGCCTAACTCGCCCAGCCTCAACAATCCTAAAACCCAAAAGTAGCTCCCTGGAACCTCCACAGAGCCCTTCAACATATAGTCCTGTCATGCCCTTGTAGAACCCATACAACTTTGCAGAACACCGATAAAAACCTACTCCTTACAGAACCCTTTTGGAACCCTCGTCTGGATCCTAAATCCTAAACCATTATGGAACCCTGCTAGAACCCTTATGGAAGCCCTAAGCCTTAAAAGAGTCCGAGGCACACGCTGAGCCTCAGCTTCGAGTGGTCGGGCTTCAGCCAGCTCACTGCCTTTCACTTCCCGGCAAAGCTCCGGACACTGTCACTCTCAGGCTACTGCTTTAGGTTAGGGTTTGAGTGTTTAGGTTTGTTGGTTTCGGGTTCAGGTTTGAGGGTCCAGGGTTTGGATTTTGGGTTTAGGCTTCAGGGTTTAGGGTTTAGAAAACGGGGTTTACATTTTACTTTAGGATTGGGGTTCAGACTTGTGGGTTCGGGTTTGAGAGTTCAAGCTAGAGGAGTTTGTGTGACGGGTGCTGTAGGGGCTAACTCGAGGTTTCTATAGGTTACCATACGGCGTACCGCAGGGGTTCTTAAGTGTCTTTCGCATCTGCTGGGTTGAGGATCAGGGTGAAGGCTTAAGGGTTCTGCAAGGGTTTGGGTCCGTAAGGGTAGGTTAGAAGGGGCCCCCACCCTGTAATAGTGGTATAGTAGGAGTATAATAGGGCCCTAATATAATTTAATCTTTATAGTCACTACTGTTGATGGACAAAATCTTGCATGACCCATTATAAGGAATATACCATAGCTCCCATAGTTTTGAGTCCTTCGGGTCATACAGGATTTTGTCCATCAGTAGTATTACAGGGTGGGGGCCCCTTCTAAGGGGTAGGTTCCAGGGATTAGGGTGCAGGTTTGGTAGCTTTGGGATAGGAGCTCCTGGAGATTCGGGAGAGTTGGAGCTAAACCCCAAACCCTAAACCGTAAACCCTAAACCCCAAACCCTAAACATGATAAATGGAAATTGCTTGTCCTTGTTTGTAATCACCGCTACGGCCCAACATACCGGTTAAGAACTGAACAAGCTTCTTGATAAAATACGCCCAAAGACGGGCCCTGATCGCGTACGCAAGGTCATGCTGGTTCACAGGTAGATACATGCCGCAATTAGCTATCCGCACGATTCGTTGCTGCCGTTGTGGCTCACATGTTTAGTCTCATTTGAGCTTGAGTCAGGTTCACGCAAGCGGGCAACGACCGTACACATTACACAGCATGACTTGCATTTGCACTTAGCTATACTCCTCTGTACGTCATGGCTGTATGCCTATCCGAATCCCTCGGCTAGCTCTCTGTACAGCTTCGACCCTTCATGATCCACAGTGCATTTCACGCAAACGGACGTTCATATGTGATAAGAGCCTTTAATACTTGTCCTAACTACTCTTTCCTTGTTTCTGCGTGTGTTTTTTGTCTGCTCTCTTCCGTACTCTGTTGCCCGATGCTGATCGTACTGATCGTACTCCTGTTGGCTGTGGTCCGGGACTGAGTAGCCTGCGTTGTTCTGTTTTCTTGCGGTGCTGTCGACTGTTGCAAGGCCTGGAAGCGCCGCCGTCAGAAGGCCTTGGCAGTGACTTCGTGCATGGTACCGCATATGGCGTTGCGTTATGGTTTTACCATTTGGACAGGAGCTGAAGTCCAGTTGGGTTATATATGTTCGACCAGGCAGCTCCGGGTTGCGGTGTGCCTTTTTTTGGAGTGGTGTGTCGATGCACCTTCATGCTCTGTTAGACCGACGAGTGGCACGACTTTCTGCACCTCGTCCGAGCCTCACGTACTTGTGACATTCTGGTTCGGAGCTCCTGGACTGGTGTCGTAAGTGATTCCGCAGGGCGGCGAAGAAACCACAGCAGCCGCATCGCTCAGATCGTGTGACTGCGTTAATGGGCCCGTGAGATGGTCTGCAATAGGCTCGGGTGTTTTGAGGTCTGAGCCTATTTAAACTGGCTGCAGGCAGTCTTCGCCTTCGCAGAATCCCGGATGTAGCAGTTGTGAGTCAGTTGTGAGTGTTGGTTTTGACTGCAGAGCGTGCTACCCCTTTACCGCAGGCTGCTGTCGCTGGGGGCAAGCGAGTCTCGCACTTAGTTATCAAGTCATACGGTTGTGTTTGTGCGGCCTTGTTTGCGCGCCTCCGACTTGGCCTCTTGTCAAGCGGTGCACCTGGAGAGTGGCCTTGGCAGGCTCGGGAGGTCTCGCGCTTGGCCTCGTTATGGATTGGTGTCTGCAACGGGTGTCGTATCCGTGGATGTCACCAGGCACGCACCTGCCTACAGAGTCGGTGCCCACGAGTGTCGTCTTCGGAAACGTTTCGGTCAAAACTTTCGGTCAAAACGTTTTTGGCGCCCAAACTTCCCAAGGCAAAAATCCCAGGAGAGTTATCTGAGACGGATGATCCAAGACAACAAACTCAGGTACAACTCCAAAGGATAGTCTTCCCAAGGCAAAAATCCGTTTAGGGTTTAGGGTTTCGGGTTGCAGGCTCAGAATTTAAGGTTTAGCGTTTAGGGTCTAGGGACCGTCTGAAATACTATTCTAGTTTTTTATTCAGTATTCACGACAATCAAACTCCAAAAGGGTTCAAAGTTTCAGGTTTCGAGTGTACGTCTGTGTCTTGCACATGCCCAAAAAAGCTATCTCCATGTGGAAATAGATGGAACGCACTTACGTGTTCCGTCGCGCATTTACGGAAAAGCGCGTTCCATGAAGCACCCCAGCACAGCCCCGAGCCCTCAGCCCCCAGCTCCCAGCCCCAACAAATCCAAAATGTAGTTCCAAAAAAGAAAACTCGGTCAAAACTTTCGGTCAAGACTTTCGCTCGAAACGTTTCGCTCAAAACTTTCGCTCAAAACGTTTCGCTCAAAACTTTCGCTCAAAACGTTTTTGACACTCAAACCCTTAACAATTTCTATAAACCCCAAACAGTATAGAATTCCATAAGTCAGGGATGGGTTTGGGCTGTAGGGTTTGACGATCATAGCCCGTGTCTCCTAGCAAACTTGCTCTATTTCGAGAGGCGGGTGCGGTCGTTGGGTTCTAAGCTGCGTAGTCCGGCTTTCGGGTTATCTTGAGGGAGGGGGAGAGAGAAAGAGATAGAGAGCGAGGGAGGGAGGGAGAGAGCGCCCAGGCGCAAACCTCGTGGCAGCGCCGGCTAAATGCGGGGCACATCTAACCTGCACGGCGAGCCCTCCAAGAGGGGAATCCACGCGTGGATCTGGATATGCCCTCCGCCTCGGCCGAGCTTGTTGGCGAGGGGCAGGATATTCTACATGAGATGACCGAGCCGCCTCCGATAGGGGCGGGAACTTAGGTCTGCGCCGTGGAAGATCCCATTGGGCAGCCTAGCTAGAGCCCGGCACTCTTTTTTTACAACGGATTTTGATTTCAGGCCACAAATAGGTGGCCCAGGTTCACATTACCTGTTTGCGCGCAGACCTTCTAGATTCCAGAAGTTGCTGCAGATCGCTGATTAACCCCCTTCTCTTAAGGACTTCAACATGAGGATCTGTGTTATAGCTCGTCTAAAGACAAAGGACTTCAACAATCAGGGGTGACCCCTAAACCCTGAACCCTGGACCCTAAACCGTTGAGGTTAATTTCCTGAGGATGCCCCGCCTATCGCAACCGCAGAGGGTTCACACCGCTAGTCGCATGATACATTCCTCAGATTAGACCCTAAACCTAAACCCTTAAACCGAAACCCTGAACCGTTAAAGCCCGAAACCCCTAAACCCTAAATCCTAAACCCTAAACCCCTACACCCCAAACTCCGAAACCCTAAACCCTTAAAGCCGAAATAATGAACCTTAGAACCCCGGCCGGAGCTCCGGCCCCGTCTCAGGATGCCCGCGCGAACTAATGATTCAAGGACTCTCCCTGCCGAAAACCCTAAAACCCCTAACCCCTAAACCCCTAAACCCCCTAAACCCCCTAAACCCCTAAACCGTAAAGGGAATGAAGCTTTTAAATGGTGTTCAAGAGAAAGAAATGCTTTTCTAAAAGTTTTGATTCGATATGAGCTCGAGCTCTTTCTTTCGAGTCACCCCCTGGGAGTACCTGCGAGATTCTGAGTCAAGGACTTGAAGTTATGAATTTTTCGAAGCTCTACTCTATAACTTCTCAAAGAAGGCCTACTGCACTGTGAACGAAGCCCTTCGGCCCTAAATCCTTAGCCCTGAACCCTTAACCCCGAACCCGTGGACCCGCCTCATGGGAAAAAGGGCAACCCCAAACCCTAAAACCCTAAAGCCCCAAAACCCTAAATCCTTAAACCCCTAGGCCTTGAACTCTAAACCCCTAAACAAACAACCAGTGCACCCCGTCAGCTGCTTGGTCACATGTGTGTACCACTCATGCTCAGCACTGAGCAAGCGGTCGATCCGTTATCCGCATTGTGAACTTCTCGAAGCTCCTCTGGCCTTTGCATCTCTCAAGACGAGAGATCGTGTCGCCTAGGGTGGTCGATTGGGTCGGACATATTTATGCTGTGGCGCTTCAGTGACGGGGCCCGGGCCAATTTCAAGATGGCGAAGTGGATCGCCCAACACCCCCCATCGACCACGGTTATGGTCCGCCACTGCTGCAAACGAATCCTCGCTGCAAACAATACTGATGCAACATTGGCCCGCTTTCCTCTGGGGACGGGAGACATAATTCAGAATACATAGTCTTACATAGCTATCAGTGGCTGCCCTACACCCAGTATCCAAGGGTAAAAGCAGGGACCCTTAATAAGGACCCCTAGGTATATACCCTCAATACAGCTATTATATACCCAGTATGTAGCCACAGGGAAGGGGTCCCCATTAAGGGTCCCTCGTTTTCCTCTTTGACAGTAGTAAATGCCAAGGGTCCAATCCAAACCTGGCCCAGGCGGCCTGGATGCGGCAGAGCGGCCGCAGCAGGTGCTCTTGTCAGGGCTTAGGGTTTAGGGTTTTGGGTTTTGGGGTTTTGGGGTTAAGGGTTTAGGGTTTAGGGTTTTGGGGTTTAGGGTTTAGGGTTTTAGGGTTTAGGGTTGTTTTGTGATATCAGGATTCCGGTTCAGCGTTCTTTAGGGTTTAGGGTTCAGGGTTTAGGGCTTAGGGCCTAGGGGGGTTGAGGTTAAGTCTATTGGAGTTTGTCGGTTTGCGTGCTTCAGGGTCAGGGTTTTGGGGTGTGAGGGTTTGGGACGTAGGGTTAGGAGTATGTGGGTTAAGGGTCCAGGGCCGAGACCTTTGTTGAACAAGCACTCTCCGTCCTCTAGCTGCCGTAAATCTCAATCCTTGACCCTAGACCTGAAGACCCAACCGTAAACCCTAAACCCAAAACCCCGAACCCTTAACCCCAAACCCTAAACCCCCAACCCCAAACCCTAAACTTATGAGGTGCCCTTCATCGCCTCGCTGGCGCGTGAGCTCCCCCGGCTAGGGCATCTGCGGAGGCTGTCCCTGAACTTCGAAGGCACTCCCGGGGTTTCAGGTTTCGGGTTTAGGGTTTGGGAGTTTATCATATTTAATATGGGTGGTTCTCTATGTTAGGTTCCATTTTAAGGTTCCCAAAATACTACGGCTCCCAGAGGTTTCAAGGTCACTAGGTTGTATTGGGGAGACCCCTTAAAGTGGCGCTCTTAAGAGGGACCTTATAGGGTCTATATCGCCAAAAATCCCCGAATCCAAACTCCTAGATGCAGGGGTGGTGATGTGGGTGGTGCTGTATACTAGGTTTCCTTTTAAGGTTCCCAACATAGTACAGCACCCTTACATAAAGGACCCTAAAGCTTTAGAAGGGACCCTAAGTTAGAGAACTACCCATGCAGGGGTGGGAAAAAAGTCTCACATTATTCCCTTGGGTTCCCCTTTAGAACTGTCGGATAGTATACCACAGAGCCTTATTCTGATTGTTTAGGCCCCTATGGTAAGCGACAGTCCGCCACACCCAAACCTGTTCCAAACCCGCAGAACCCCAAGGTCAAACCCGCCCAAACTCTAAATGACTTCCTCGAATGGAATGACCCTAAATCCTAAACCCTGAACCCTCAACCCCTAAACCCTCAACCCTAAACACTAAACCCCCCTCCAACCACACCCAGGTTTGCAGAGAAACCTTGATGTGTAGAACCATGACTCGGTGGGTACTGCAATGGTCCCGAGTATATTGAGGGTCACGAAAAATCGCCAAATTCGATGCCCTGAAACGCTGAGCAGCTACCCGAGCAGTTGGGAGTCTGATCAAACTCCTAAGCCCCTAAACCTTGACCTGAACCCTAGAGGCCCAAACCAGAGCTCCTAACCCCGAATGCCCAAACCCTGAAACCTTACCGCTCCTCGACCCGTTCGGAAGCTTCATAAAACACCAATAGTAGTCCTTAGTCTTGTTTTTTACTTATACGTCAATATACCCCAACATCCTTCAAACTATTCAGGCCCCTACATTAAAGAACCCTTATCGAAACCCTTCTAGACCCCTTTAGAAAGCCATCCTGAACTCGAAACCCTAATCCTGAACCTTAGCCCCTCTACTATAGGACCCAGAGTAGGCCCTTATTCCCTTTTTTGGGGGTCTAGGTTACCTTATAACCCACTTTAAACCAAAAAGGGCACCCTTTTTATTCCTTGGTTACTCTTAGGCCCCTAAACCTTAAACCCCTATAGATTCCTTAAAGGAACCCTTGTAGTACCCTTTAAAGGACCCCTAAACCCCCTAGGTTACTCTTAGGTCTAGTCTATCAGTTGACACAGGTTGCCACTGGACGGCTGCAGAGGCCTCACAGGTCCTGGCCGCCTCCGGTCCACTGGCGGGGGGCCTAATCTTTAGGGTTGAGGGTTTAGGGTGTGTAACAGTATGCGCGCGGTGGGTGCGCCTTTGACTTTAGGAATAAGGGGCGCGCCCACTAATCGCGCGCTTGCGTCAGCATGTAGTCCCGCCCCAACCACCCCAACTATTCTCAATTAGGATTTTAGGGTTCGCCCCCAAACCCCCCTCCTCAAGGGGGGCTTTCTTGCTCTCTGCTTCCTTTCGCAGCTCGACATGTACAACAATATTTCTCCAGAAATCACAGCTGAAATGGATTGCTGTCGGGTTGTGGGTCTTCGCGGCCTGTGCCGGCCGCTCGACGAAAAGAAGCGTTTCCAACAAACAACCTGGTGGTCGCGCCTTGTAAGGGCTGCTCGAAGTGTGAACAAGGAGGAGCGCAGGCAGGGTAGCAGCACAGAGCAGGGCAAGGGGCAGGGCAGGGCAAGGCAGGGGTAGGACAGGGGCAGGGGGGCAGGCCAGGAGGGCAGGCAGGGAAGCGCAGGGGGAGGCGGGGCAGGGCAGGGCAGGGCTTGAACCGCTGGAGGCCCTGGACCCCGCCTGAGGGGGAAAAAGACATCAATGCTCGTGGGTCCTCCTTGTAACGGACTAACGTCCGTATCGTGTGAGGCGTAGCCGAGTCATTGCCGTCCCCGTATACCGGGAGGCTTTACCCTCCCTCACCGTCTTGTCGGGACGCTCGGCCGGGGGCCTCGGTCGGAGCCTCGAGCGCCCATGCAAATGGTCAGCGGCGCTCTCGGCAGTTTAGGGTTTAGGGTTTAGGGCTTCAAGGGTGGGATGAAAGTAGGTGCGATAATCCCAAAGTCAGAGTCCTTATCTAAGGGATCCTTAATCCATCCCAACTTTTGAGGCCTCCAACAACGAAGGGAATGGATGGATATAGGGTTTAGGGTTTAATCAGGACTGCTAAGGCTGTACAGAGTTTTCGAAACAGGGTTTTGTAATGCAAGGATCTTTTTGGGTACGGGAGGGCTTATGAAGGTTTTGGAAGGGTTTGATAAGCGATTAAGTGGGGATGGGCTTTCTAAGCTTTCAAATCCCATCAGGTAGACCTATAATAGACCCCCAAGCCAAATCCTAAACCCCCGTAGAGGCCAGTAAAGACAACCCTAAACCCTAAACCGTAGAGACCAGGGAAGAAACTTTAGGTGAAGAAGCTGGACGCCGACTTCGGCACCATCCTCTTCAAGGAGAGCTTGGGGCTGTCAATGAGTCTTACAGGATTGTTGGGAGGACACTGTGAGGGTTTAGGGTTGCTTCAGGGTTTAGCGGTTGCTTCGCGGTAAGTTTCACCCTAAACCCTAGACCCTAAGGGCTCATACAGGAGGTTCTGTGGGCCTAAGTTCGCGATGTTCCAGAAGCACGGAAGCTTGGCATAGTTTCTGTTATCTAGTTTCGCGCTCGCTCGTGCCCTAAATACTAAAGCCCGAAGCGCTAGAGCCATAAAGCCCTAACCCCTTAAGTTAGGTACTCAAAAAGCACATAAGCCTAAGCATTTGATAGGGATATCCCTACCTTATTGGGCTTCTTTATACTGGGGCTTATATGGGCTATCCCTATCCTAATTTTTGCTTATGTGCTTTTTGGGAGCCCTACTAGGGCCTCAAGCTCTGAGTCCTCGTCAGTTCCTGAGCCCTAAAGCCCTAAACAGGGTTCAGGTTTAAGGGTTTAGGGTTTAGGGTCTAGGGTTTGGGGTTGAGAGTTTGGGGTTTAGGGTTTAAGGGTTTAGGGTCGAGAGTTTAGGGTTTAGGGTGCAGGGTTTAGGGTTTTGAGCCTTAAACCTAAAGTCCATGGCGGCTTAAACCTCGTAACTCCGCAGCAGCCTGACTTCCAAAGCCCGGGTTGGATTATGGGCAGTTCTCTAAACCTTTGCAAAAGAGGACCCTAAGTTGGAGAACTACCCGTATGGATCCTACCGGTCTGAGGATGTTTAGCCATGGGCACCTCACGCAGCCTCCTACAAGAAGCACCAGGCTCCAGGCCGTGATGTAGTCCTTAACCTAAGCATGGTAGAATATTATGTATAGTATGCTATACCCGGAAGCTGTATTGTGATTCATTGCTGCCCTTCTAGTATAGGCATCAAACCCTATATCAGTACAACCTGGAGAATGGCGAAGATGAGATTGTTGGGCCGTGAACTAGGCCCCAGCTGTGTATCAAGTAACGCTCGAAACCCTGAACCCTAAACCCTGAACCCTAAACCCTTAATCCCTGAACCCTAAACCCTAAACCCTGAATCCTTAAACCCCAAACCCTAAACCCCTAAACCCCCAAACCCTAAACCCCTAAACCCTAAACTCTAAACCCTAAACCCCTAAACCCTAAACCCCTAGACCCTAAAGTCCCGCCCTGGAGGAGGACACGCCGGACAGCTGGGAGGCCCTTTTGGGCCCCTTCCAGGAGCGGTTTGGCGGAACGATCAGGCCAGACGGTTTAGGGTTTAGGGTTTAGGGTAGCCCTGGACCGATCCTTCGAGAGCAGGATTTGAGGCTTCAGGGTTTATAGGAAACTCCAGAAAGTTGGAATATGGTTTCAGGGTAGGATGCCTTATAATTTGCCATAAAGGGCTCAGGATAGTCATATTCCAACTTTCTGGCTTTTACTTTAGGGTTTAGGGTTTTAGGGTTTAGGGTTTAGGGCTTAGGGTTTAGGGTTCAGGTTTCCCAGAGACTCCGAATATCCTTCAATTAAGGAATATACCTTAAACTATAGTAGGATCCTTAATATGATGTAAGGTCTATTCCGATTCCCTAACTAAGGAATATTGGAGTCTCTGGGGCTTCAAGTTTCCCAGAGACTCCGAATATCCCTTAATACAGAGATATTGGAGTCTCCAAGTTACGTTCGGGTTACTTTCGGGCTACAGAATCCATCAAACCCTAAACCCTAAACTCTATAAGCCGTACACTTCGTGCGGACCCAAAAAGGAGCCCTTAAAAAGAAACCTATAAGCCGTAAATGGTTTCTTTGAGTCGAGGAGTCACCTGGAGTTTGGAGCGTGGTGGGTGTTCGGAGGTCATTGCGGGAGGGCTTGCAAGTTCCTAAATCCGACACCCCGAATGAATAGTTGTCAAACTTAGGGTCGCTTTTTGTGGGTACCCTAAATATAAGGTGCCGTACTATAATAAGGACCCAGAAAGGGACCCTAATTTTGACAACCGCCCAAATCTTAAAGCCTTTAGGCCCCAAGGGGAATCTCCGTTGACGTGTTTTGGGATGCCGCACGCAGCATCCCTCTCGAGCTTCGTGCGGCTTCGGGGTCGGGGCTGAGTTGTGGAAGTTTCGCGGGAAGCCACAAGTCTGGTTATAAGCACCTGTGGCAGGGTTTAGGGTTTAGGGTTGGGTACGGCCTCCACTCAGTAACAGTTGGATAATATTCATAAAAAAAATATAAGGCCCTTAATAGTAGCCCTATTGTAGACTGTTACTGTATGGGGGCCGTACCCAAGTTGAGGGTGTAGTTACCCTAAAGTGACCTGGCCTACCAAGTCCCGCGATGTTCTCAGCAGCAACCAATTCACATAGGCCGAAGGCAGAACGACCCCTAAGTTAGAAGCACGCTTATCATATGGGTGGTCGTCAAGATTATGGTCCCTTTTTGGGTCCTTATTATAATACGACACCTAATATTTAGGGTACCCAAAAAGGGACCATAATTTTGACAACTACCCATATGGACCCTCAGCCCAAATCCTCCGCAAAGGCATGCTGAGGCACGGAACCCGAATCCTGAACAGATTCTAAAGCTTGATCAGAGAGAACTAGGCCATGCGAGCTTAGACCCAGCACCCCAGATCCAAAATCCTACACCCCAGATGGGTCCTAAACCCATCTAAACCCTAAGGCCGTTTTTTCTTTTCCGAAGCACGCTTTCCCTTGTCTGCTTTGGGAGTATATGCCTCCTTGGACGTAGAGCCGTACACCCGCCAACTGCAAATACGCAGCCCCAAATCGTAAGCTGTTGCCGCTCCGAAATTGGGATACCTTATTTTGGGGACCATATAATAAGGAGCCTACTATTTAGGGTACTATGTTAGGGTCCCCTATACCATGTAAAGGCTTATTCGCTGTCCTCTAAGCACCCAGTAGACTCATTGCAAGCACTGGTAATGCCTAAACCCTGCACTAAACCTTAAACTCTAAACTCCGAAACCCTAAACTCCGCACCCCTAAACCCCTAAACTCCGAAACCCCTAAACCCTCATAGCGAGTGGGGGAGGATGCCGGAGGGCACCGACCGAGACGACACGCTCTATGCTACGTGGCATCATGTGGGGATGAGTGTTCAGGGATGAGTATTTAGGGTTGAAGGTTTAGGGTTGAGGGTTTGGGGTTTAGGGTTGAGTGTTTGGGGTTTAGGGTTGAGGGTTTGGGGTGTAGGGTTGAGGGTTTGGGGTTTAGGGTTGAGGGTTGAGTATTTAGGGTTGAGGGTTGAGTATTTAGGGTTGAGGGTTGAGTATTTAGGGTTGAGGGTTGAGGGTTGAGGGTATGGGGTTTAGGGTTGAGGGTTTACGGGCCTAATGTGGGGTCTCAAAGGTGGATGTCCGTGTCTGGAGTTTTCGAGTTCCGGGTTGCGGCTGATGGGCACCGTCCTTCTCGAGGGTTCCCGAAACCCTAGCCACACCCTAAACCTCAAAACTCCAAACCCTAAACCTGTCTTCCGCATCCCGGGATCCCGTGCTAAGCCCACAGCCCGAAGACACGAAACCCCAGGACCCTACGACGACTAGGACCCAGAGTAGGCCCTTATTCCCCTTTTTTGGGGGTTTAGGTTACCTTATAACCCACTTTAAACCAAAAAGGGCACCCTTTTTATTCCTAGGTTACTCTTAGGTCTAGACCCTGGGCCAGGCCTTAGAAACCTTCTGAACCCCATGCTTGGAGCCGGAGTCCCCAAACAGTACACTGCGAAATCTTCGATCTTCCGTTATCGTACCTCCAACATACTTAGATAGTGAACGGGGGAACTTTCAGCGTTTTGGCCTCATATATCAGCCCTATCTTCTAAAGCTTGAGCTTTTAGGGCCCGGTTGTTGAAGAAGAGAGTATAGCGCCCTTGTAGCCTTTGCCGTAACCATGTAGAGCCGTAAAAATAGAACCCTGAACCCTAAACCCTATGATGTGGCCTCAAAAGGTAGGATGAAGGTAGGTGGGATATTCCCAGAAAAGAGTCCTTATATAGGGGATCCTTAATCCCACCTACCTTCATCCCACCTTGTGGGATGAAGGTAGGTGGGATTATTGTGAGACCTCCGAACCCAGTGCTCCCGAGGATGCGTTTGGGTCTTCCAGAGAATCGGAGGCGACCGAGTCAGGCGACGAGGTCGACTGAGGCTGCCGAGTTTTTCCCGTGTCCGAAGGTCTTTTTTGACCTTAAACCTCAAATTTAGGGTTTAGGGTTTAGGGTTTTAGGGTTTAGGGTTTCGGTCCGAAGTCTTTTTTTGACCTTAACTAACCATTGATATTGGAGGAGCTAAGGAGCCAGGGATGATGATAATCCTTATTAGATAAGGAGCTAAAGAGCCCAGGGAACCCCCAAAACCACTGGTTAGTTAAACCTCAAATTTGCAGGGGTTTCCGGCCTTTGCACTTGTCTTCGGTTTCAGGGCCTCAGAATTGTCGGGTGTGGACCAAGCCAGGGACCCTAAGCCTTACACCCCAAAGGCTTAACTCGAAACCCCAAGCCCTAATTTCAAACCTTTGCAACATTTCTCGGAGCATCGCGATTCGGCTTGGGCACGCCGGCCAGGAATATGGCTTTGAGGGTTCAGATGTTTCGGACCGTCTTTGAATTTGGAAAATTTATAGATAGCCTTCGTTTTGGGCTCTCTGTTCCTGGCAAAAGGGTGAGGTTCATCCGCGCGTCCCCGTAATGCGCCGCTTTCGCAGCTATAGTCCTGGTTAGCCTGCCCAGAGGGATGCGGGAGTTTCCGAAAACAGGGGACCCTAAAATAGCACCCTGAATAGTAGGATCCTTGTTATGAGGACCCCCAAAAAGGTACCCCGGATTTTTGGAAACTCCCATACAGACAGAAGAGTGAGAGAACGCCAGAGGGAGCTGAGAAATCGGGTTTAGAGCTTAGGTGATTAGGGCTTAGAGTTGAGGCAAGCAGGGTTTTGAGTTCAGGTAATTAGGTTTGTGAGTTGAGGTAGTTAGGGTTTAGAGTTGAGGCAAGTAGGGCCTTGAGTTTAGGTAATTAGGGTTTTGAGTTTGGGTAATTAGAGGCAAGTAATAAGGGTTTTGAGTTTAAGCAAGTCGGCTTTAGAGCAGCCTGGAACAGAACTGCCGCTGCGCTGTTGCTTAGTTGCTTAGCGGTTAACCAAGCAGCGGCTGCTTCGTTGGCAACGAAAGCCCCCAGAGAACCCAATACCGCTCAATCAGGGAATATGCCTTAAATGATAGAGGCCTGAATATTATGATTTAAGCTATATTCCTTCATTAAGGGGTATTGGGATCGCTGGGCCTGCTACAAGTCCTGTTATCATGGTTTTCGCATTCAGGAAGCGGACATGAAAGGCAATATCAGACCCCGAGTTGCAACTAGGTTGCATGTGTGTTTTCTATTGATTAAGTCAGGTTGTGTACGCTTTCTCAACCACATGTATACTCTAGACTCTAAACCCTAAACCCTAAGTGTGTTCACATGCTTCGGAGATTCAGATCTTGCGGTTTTGCAGTAGCCCATCGATTAAGCTCCCTTTCCCGCAAGGTTTGGTTCATGGGGGTTGCCTCATCTCCACCACGGGGAGGCTTGGGACGGAAAAGCTGATGGTTTCTTGCTGGTGGTCGGAGATCAGTATAATGTAGGGTCCTCAACAGTTACCAAGACTATTTTGGGGGGTTCATTATTATGATTATTGTATAAGGGGCCCCAAACCCTATTCTAATTACTGAGGCCCCTATATCATAGAACCCTGCCATAGATCCCTTATAGACCCCTTAAAGGATCCTTTGACTCAAAGGAACCCTATTCTAATTATATTTTGGCTCTTTTCGCAGGGTGCTAGAAGACTTCGATGGGTAACATCAGCCTGGCTCATTAAGGTGGCTCATTAAGGAATATAGCTTAATACCCCTTAATTAAGGAACACAGCTTAATACCCCTTAATTAAGGAATACAGCTTAATACCCCTTAATTGAGGAATACAGCTTAATGCCCCTTAATGAAGGAATACAGCCTAATAACCCCTTAATTAAGGAATAAAGCTTAATACCCCTTAGTTGAGGAATACAGCCTAATACCCCTTAATTAAGGAATACAGCTTGATACCCCTTAATTAAGGAATACAGCTTAATACCCCTTAATTGAGGAATATAGCTAAATACCCCTTAATTGAGGAATACAGCCTAATACCCCTTAATTGAGGAATACAGCTTAATACCCCTTGATTGAGGAATATAGCTTAATACCCCTTAATTGAGGAATATAGCTCAATACACCTTGATTGAGGGGTACGGCTTGGTGCCCCTTGATTGGGGAATATAGCTTAATACCCCGTAATTGAGGAATACAGCTTAATGCCCATTAATGAAGGAATACAGCCTAATAACCCCTTAATTAAGGAATAAAGCTTAATACCCCTTAGTTGAGGAATACAGCCTAATACCCCTTAATTAAGGAATATAGCTTAATACCCCTTAATTGAGGAATACAGCTTAATACCCCTTAATTAAGGAATATAGCTTAATACCCCTTAATTGAGGAATACAGCTTAATACCCCTTAATTAAGGAATATAGCTTAATACCCCTTAATTGAGGAATACAGCTTAATACCCCTTAATTAAGGAATATAGCTTAATACCCCTTGAGGAATATGGCTCCTTTAATTAAGAAATATCGCTTCTTAATTACGGAACATAGCTGAAATCGTACTATGAAGCCCCTAATGATTTAAGGTATATTCCTTACTTGAGGGTTGTTTTTGGCTCTCTGGGTCCATGGAGTATGTTGAGCAGCCTTTGGGCTCAGGGTTTAGGATGAGATCCGGGCCTTCAATGCTAGAGTGTACTGGAACTAGGGTTTAGGGTTTAGGGGTTTAGGGTTTAGGGTTTAGGGTTTTGTTTGACCCAAACCCCAAGCCATGTAAATCCTTCAACCTGAACCCCCTTAAGACCAAAAAGAGTGGTGCAAGGAAGCTACCCAGAGACTCCAATATCCCTTAATTCAGGAATATACCTTACATCGTATTAGGGATCCTGCTATAACTTCAGGTATATTCCTTATTTAAAGGATATTGGAGTCTCTGGCTACTCCGGGCTCAACCTCTGCGGACTCCAGCGCGAGACCTCGAGGACCATTGGGTTTTAGGCGGACGTTGGGTTCTAACCCACCCTGGGACGATTTTCCAGAGACTCCAATATCCCTTAGTTAAGGAATATACCTTAAATCATAGTAGGATCCCATATTGGAGTCTCTGTGTTCAGCAGTCTGTCCGATAGTCGACCCTGTTTTGCGCTTGGACCGTGCCTTTGTGAGCATGCATCTCTCAGAAGCCATGAAAGCTAGCTTGACCGCCGTCATATTCTGGAGACTGGAGACGACAATCTGGTCGTGTCTTCTTGTCCGTCCTGGCCTCGTTCGGAGCCAGTCACGTTTTGCGTTGTCACGGCTTCAACATACCAGGTCCAGAAATTCCGCAAGGTCCAGCAACACCTGTCACAACTCTGCAGTGGGGGTGTCTCGTTTGAGACCTCGGGCAAATAGCAGGCTTGCCTGCTTTGGACGCGACCGTGATGGGCCGCGTAAACTGCCAGCTGAGCTAGGACCAGTCTCGACTGTCGCAGCGGGGGGGCTTCACACCTGTGCAGTGCTTGCAGATGGTCAGCTCGTCTGCTTTGGAGCCAACAAATCCGGGCAATGTGGCGTGCCGGCAGATTTAGGACCAGTTCTGGCAGTCTCACTGGGATCTCAACATACCTGTGCAGTGCAGGCAGATGGTCAGCTCGTTTGCTTCGGAGCCAACCAAAATGGGCAGTCTGATGTACCAGCAGATTTGGGACCAGTTTCGGCGGTCTCAGCCGGCGAACATCATACTTGTGCAGTGCGTGCAGATGGTCAGCTCGTCTGCTTTGGATCCAACCTTGCCGGGAAGTGCGATGTGCCAGCAAAGTTGGGACCGGTTTTTGCAGTCTCAGCAGGATTTTATCATACCTGTGCAGTGCAGACAAATGGCAAGCTCGTCTGCTTTGGAGCCAACCACAATGGCCAGTCTGATGTGCCAGCAGATTTGGGACGAGTTTTGGCCGTCTCAGCAGGTGAATATCATACTTCTGCTGTGCAGGCAGATGGTCAGCTCGTCTGCTTTGGAGATAATGCACTTGGGCTATGTGATGTGCCTGCAGACCTGGGACTTGTGTCGGCGGTCTCAGCAGCTTATTATCATACCTGTGCAGTGAGGACAGATGGGCAGCTCGTTTGCTTTGGACCTGCCCTTGACGGGCGGTGCGACGTACCAGCAGAGTTGGGACCAGTTGTAGCGATCTCAGCAGGCTCTCTTCACAATTGCGCAGTGCGAGAAGATGGCCATGCAGCTTGCTTCGGACACAACGGAATGGGCCAGTGTGATGTGCCCCGGGTGCCTCCGTGACTGCTACCCTTCCTTCTCAGTTCACCTTCCAGCTTTGACAGCCGACATGGCCACAAGAGTCCAGGCCCAGACCATATGGGAGTTTCCAAAGTTTAGGGGTACCTGAATTTGCTGTAATCAGGGTCCTACTATTTTGGCTACTATATCAGGGTCCCCTACTTCTTTAAACTCCCATATGCTGGAACGCCAAATCACGGAGGAAAACCTTTGCGTCACCCAGCAGCACCTTACAATCCCGGTGGGACCCGAAGCCCCTAAACGCAACCGACCTAGGAGCCCGTAAAGAGTCTCGTGCAGGAATAACCCTTAGCCCCTAAGATCCTAAATTCAGCCTTGTCCTTTTTCATGGTTCCACCAAAAAGGAATAAACAGACCGGCTAGTAGACCTTCTTAAATATTTCCTACTAAGGGATATAGGTATAGGGCTCTGTCTATTATTTCTAGAAGGACAAGGGTGATCCTAAACCCCTTAACTCTGAATAACTTACCTTTTTAGGGTTCCTTATTATAAGTTCTTTATATTATAAGTCCCTCAAAAGTTAGGTTATATGGGGTTAAGGTAGCCCCTAAGATCCTAAACCCAACCTACCATCGAACTGCTCGAGCTCTTACAGGAACTCGTGAAGGGATAGCCCTAACCCTAAGCTCTCATCAGTCCTTCCCCTGAACCCTAAACCCCCAAACTCTGAAAATGAGCAACCCAGAGAACCCAATACCCTTTAATTAAGGAATATACCTTAAGTGATAGAGGCCTTAATATTATGATTTAAGGTATATTCCTTAATTAAGGGGTATTGGGATCTCTGGCAACGTCCTCAATCCCCTGGCCTGGTTGTGCAGGCGGCCAGCACGGCGCAGCGTGAAACCCCTAAATTTGGGGTTGTTGCCGTTTTTTTGCGGTGTTTCGGACGGTTTAGGGTTTAGGGGTTCGGTTTGGGGTTTAGGGTTTAGGGTTTAGGGGCTCGGTTTTTGGGTTTAGGGTTTAGGGGTTCGGTTTTAGGTTGTATCAAGGCTTTGAGGTTTGGAGTTATGCAAGGGCTTTGAGGGCTGCCCCAACAATCCACCCGAGGCCACAACCTTAAACCCAAAACACTACGGTATCCTCATAGAAGGCTTCAGAGAAGCCTTGTTTGGAACCTTCTGGAAACCCTCATGCAAGCCCTGATCCTTCAATCCCGGCCCTTAGCCCTAAATCCTGGCCTCAAACACTGCAAAGTAGAGCCGGTGTGATTCCGCTGGGCTTCTTCGCCTAAACCTCCGGTGGGCTCAGGGTTTAAGGTTTATTGTCCCATCGTTGCGGCCCCTGTAGTGGACCCAAGCTCTGCAATCCAGTCTCTGATTGACGCACGCCGCAGAGCCAGCTCGAAAATCAGAGTGGGCCAAGCCCTGTCGCTTTGAGATTTGGTGTTTCGGGGTTAAGGTTTTGGGGTTGAAGGGGTTTCGGGGTTCAGGGTCTAAGGTTTACCTCTGAGTGTGTATCGGTTGGGGTCTAGGGTTTAAGTTTGATTTTTCGTGGGGCTGATTGGTAGAGCTCAGCACGTCCTAACCTGGAAACCTGTTTGGCAGGATCCATGCTGAGAGCCCTGATAACTATAGGATCCTTAAGGGGGGGTGGTTCAAGGGGGGAGGGTACTAGGGAGCTTTGGGGAACCTTAGGGAAGCTTAGGGAGTATTGGGGAATAATGGGGATTACTAGGTTACCTACCCCCCTTGGACCACCCCCCCTTAAGGACATCCTAAGATAAGAAGTGGGCGTTTTCTCCATCAGATTTCTACATGAAGGCCAAAGGCCCAAAGCCCCAAATCTCAACCCCCCCCAACACCCGTAAGCGCTTTTGTGGGGTCTTTGAAACGGTCGCTGAAAATGGGGATTTCGTCTGGCGCCCTTTGTATCACCTGGAATCAAATGTCCTATCATTTAGGATCTGAGCAACGATACACATGCCCACTGTTTTGTTTTGCTTGGAAAGTACCTTGGTGTTTGTTATCACAGGGGTTAGCAGCCCCAGACCCTACACCGCTCACTGCAAAGCTTAAACCTCTAGGACCTACAGTAGGCCGGTATTCCCTTTTTAGGGGTTCGGTTCCCTTGTAAGCGCCTTTAAACCAAAAAGGGCACCTTTTTATTCCTAGGTTACCCTTGGGTCTAGACCTTATGGCACCCTTTGAAACTTCGGTTGTCGCGTTTATCGGTCAAAGCGCAGTTACACTGTTCAGGGCTTTCGGGTTTAGGGCTTCGGCTCTAGTGTTCATCTGTATCGCTATCCGCAAGCTGTAAAGTGCATGGTTCCCCAAACTTGCGTCGGCAGCCCTGCCTTAGCTTTTTAAGATTGATGCAGGTCTAGATCACACACCTATCCAGAGAACACACACCCAGCACTGTATGCCCTAACTTGAAATCCTGCAGCGCTCACCGCCCGTAACCCTTCACCCCTTAGCCCTGGATCCCTGCACGCCAGAACCCAAATCCCCAACTGCTCCAACGTAAATCGTAAACCCTACAGTACCCTAAGCGAACCTGCACGCGCTGCCTCTTTGGCTCCCGGGGTGTTAGACCATCCATCTTCCAGCACACAGGCGGGTGGTGCAGAGAATAGGGGTTAAGGCTTAACACAGAAACGGTTCCTGGCATACCCACCAGCACCATATTCGTACGTAGACTACTGCCACTGCTGCTATAGGATACCACAAAGCTTGCATGTGGGCTTTGGATTCAGAGGTTTTGCGTTTACGGTTTGGGATGTAGGCGTAAACTTGTGTCTCTAGCAGGGTGCTGAAGACTTGTAACAAGGCATCGGAGCACGACAACCATCGTTGCTATCATTACTATGCCAACCAGGCCATCATGATGACGATGGTGATGATGGTGACGATGATTTGGCTGATGGTGTTGTTGATGATGATTAAGACGACAATGATGTCGATGATGACGAGAATATGATGACTGTTATGTTGATCGTCATCGTCGCTGTCACCATACTACTACCACCACCGTCATCATCCTCCTCATCGCCCACCTCGTTCTCCTGGTCGTCTTTGTCGTTGTCATCGACACCTACTCCCCCTCGCCATCAACATCGTCATCATCAACAACAGCCTCGTCGCTTCCATCATGAAGACACCCCCCCTTCATCATCAGCATGACCACCATCTGTAGTACCATCACCACCACCCAGGCAAGGCTCACAGGTGGAATGAAGGGATATGTGATGTGAAACCTGCGCTGACGAACCCCTAAACCCCTAAGAAACCTTAAACCCTAAACTCTAAACCCCTAATGAACCGTACCCAGATTTTTTCCAGCTCCCATGCTGGAGGTGCTGACTGCAGCGGCGCGAGCTTCGAAGTCGGCGAAGCCTCGGTGGCCGATATGGAGAGTGCCGGGTGCTCGGCGTACCTACAAATTTCTACGTCTGTAAACTCTAAACCCTAAACCCTAAGAATTTTCTTTTTTTGCTTGGATTTTGATTCGTCGATGATTTTTGGGAGCGTCTATCAGAGCGGGCCCTTTTGGCTTGGGATCCGGGGCTTTCAGGGCTAGGGTTTACCTTAACCCTGAAGAACCTACCTTTTCAAGGACTTATCTAAGGAAATCATGACAAGGGACCCTAGAAAGGTAGGTTCTTCAGGGTTAAGGTAAGGTTTAGGGTTGGGGTTTGGGGTGTAGTATTTGGGCTTAGTTCAGGCTTCAAGGGACAGAGTTATGATCTGGCCATCTGGTTGAGGAGCACCCAGACCTTCCAAAATCCCTCAATTAAGGAATCTACCTTAAATTATAGTAGGATCCCAAAAGTGATTTAAGGCATATTCCTTTTTTTCGGGATTTTGGAAGGTCTGGGCACATCCTTGTTCCCGAGCTCTCTTCCCTTTTCTTGCCGGCCTGTACAGGTGGAGGGCCTTGCAGCACCCAGCAACTTGTGGTTTAGGCTTGTGAGGTTCACCGGGCGTCACTTGGCCATAGAGGGTCTTCTTGGACTGATATGGTTTAAGTTTAGAGCTTAGGGTTTCTTGCTATAGAGGGGATTGTTTTTGATGTTCCTACAACTGTCGCATAGGGTGGGCCAGGGTGTAGGATTTCTGCATGCCCGAACACCGCCGCCGTCGGATTGAATTCGTGCGCCGCACATGTTTTATTCAGGATCCGAGACATCCAAGACCGGCATGAAGCCCAAAAACCCTACATCCCTATAGCCTTGAATCTCTAGGCCGAAACCCGGAAGCCTGAGGCGCGACAGCCGTGCACTCTCTTCGCTGCCCAGCCCAGCGTCTCGAGCAAGCCAATCTGGTACAGGCTCCCTAAACCCTCAACCCTTCATGTGCGCTTGTCGTGTTGGAGCTTCAGAGTTCAGGGGTTAGCCTCTTGGCGTCTCCACGGTAATGTTGGGACCCTCACAATTACCTATACTGGTTTTTTTTGGCGGGTTCTAAAATCATAGTATGATATACCCCAAAACCCAATTCTAATCATTAAGGCCCCTGTAGCAATAGTATCATCCAGAACGCTGTCGAGTGCGGCATTTTAGCCTTCACGGTGCAAGCACTTCCCAAGCCGCCTTCAACGGGAGGCTTCTCCTACTAAGAACTGCAGAAGGGTTTAGGGTTTCGGGGCTTCGGGTTTAGGGTTTAAGTTTTAGGGTTTAGGGGTTTCGGGGTTCCTTCCTGCTACAAGAACCACTCAGTCTAGCCTTGTGTGATGCGTAGAAATGTGGAGTGCTGCTTGAACCCGCTTTCAGGTGTGGGATCTCGAATAGAGTAGGGCTTACCCTGGAGGATCATGGGACTTAGTAGGTAATAGGTTATAAGTACCTC